AATAGCCATTGTTTAGCTATTTTCTTACAAAAATGTTGTTGGACATCAACAATTTTTAAAAGCTTATTCTCAAAAAAACACTATTTTAGATTTTTGCGTGAACATGGACAATATCTAAATGTATTACTATCATAAAAAAACGTTTTGATGCGTAACTTATAAATTTAAAAATAATTTGTACATTTGTAATTTTACAATTGCAGTTTTAAAACTTCACTCAAATATTAAAGAAATATTAAATTGATGGGACATTCTTCTTTTTTCATCATAAAGTACTCTAATAAAAGCTTTAATTTGATACAGGTTTAAAGAATGCGACGTCCTGGAACATTTTCAAAAATTGAAAACAAAAATTTTGTTTATTTTTTTATTTGGAAGATCAATTTTTCCAAGAACAAATGTGCAGATATATGAAAACATTTTCAAAAATTGAAAAATTAGATTTTCCTAACTAGCAAAATAAACTTATTATCTCAAATATATTCTATTAAAATTTTATAAAGATTTATCTATTTTTAGACAATTTATTGCAGCTTTAAAATGTAGAAACAAATTCTGATTTTACCATTTTTTACGGCTGCTAAATTTTGAGATATATTCTAAATTTTAAAAAATAAAGGGGTTTTTACGATTTTTGAAGGCAATATATTCAACTAAATTAAATTCAGTTTCTTTTAACATATAAATCATCAAAATAACTGTTGATTCATCGATATATTATGAGAAAAAATATATCGATTAATCCATACTATTGCACATTAAAAACGATTATTGGATATTTTGCGCAGGTCTACCCTAGTATACAGTCCACTTATCATAGTAATTCAAACAAACTATAAATAATACATCTTATAAAACTTACAAAACTACTTATATTTAACAACAGAGTGGTTCAATTAACACGAATCGCTTAATTAAAAAAAAATTAGAATAATATTGATAATTTCTTATTGGTTTCTTTTAGTTTGATGTTTTTTTTTTATTTATCAATCATAAAATATTTTTATAATTCATTTATTACACCTAACAATAGTATCAACTTTAATTTATAAAGTGGCAACACGCATGATTAACTGCTTATTTAATAAGTAATAACCTAATAAGAAATTGACTGGTCGATAACATTTTTTGAACTACTATTTCAGAAATTAACAATTTTAAGTAATAACTTTTGGCGAGACGCAAGTGATTTTAATCACTAGACATGTCACTACCGTTCTTTTTCTACCGCCTAAGTATAAACATATCAATTAATTCCAAAATTCTGGTTCAAAAGTTGTTATCGACCAGTCTTTTTCTTGATTAGATAAAATAAGCTAGTCAATTATATTGTATTACCATTTGAGAAATTTAAGTTACACAACCTTATAAGGTATAAGTGATGAACATTAAAAATACTTAATGATTGATAAATAAAGAGAACCATTGAACTAAAAGAAATCAATAAAATTATTATTAAAAATATTTAAGTTTTTCGATTAATTAAGTGATTCATAACAAGTGAATCATTGTGTATAATTTAAAACAAAATTTAACGCTGTTCTTGTAGATGCGTTGATCTATATTGTAAACATTTTTGTTCAGTACTAAGTGCGTGAGTTTTGTTTTTCAATTCTTCGTCAATTAGATTTATATGTCTAGTGAGAATATGGAACATTTCTCTGTAAAACAAAACAAATAATAAATTAAAAACAGATTAACAATTGTTCATGAGTTATTATCTCAACGTTTAAGGGGCCACCTTGATATGTCGGTTAATAATTTCTTTTTACCAATTGATTTTTTTTTTTTTAATTTAATAAAATATCATTGAGGGTCTGTGGCTTATATACATGTAGGGCTTTTGGATCCGAACCCTCCATTAACATAAAATCTTGATAGTGGTGTATAGTAGAGGATTGAAGCTAAAGTTTTCCTAAATACGCCATCAAAGCAGAGTTGACTTGATAACTGCTAAAGGCCCTAACACTACAAGTCCGGGCTCTATCATACGGGAATAATGGTTCCCTGAAACCAGAGTCAATTTTCGCATGTTTCAAAATACATAGTGTATAATAAGAAAAACTAGTATATAGAATGCGAAATTCAAAAAGGTGTAACGATTAATTATTTGATCTTATGAAAAAAAAGGCACAAGTCGATTTAGTTAACTAACTCAGGGGACAGTGAAGAGGCAAAGACGGAGCAAACGAAGCGAATTCCTCTGATCACGTGCTATTGAGGCATAGAATAATAGTGTAAATCTGAAAATATTCATTACTACCACCAAACAAGAAAGTCGTACTTTTACCATGTAATGTTTTTCTGGGGGTCATCCCATTAAATTTTCTTCCTACATGGCACAGGGATCCCATAAAATCTAGCGTCGGTACTGTCAGAAGATCACTTTTAAAATGACAAACCCAACATAGTCAAACATAATCTTAATCAAAACATAATCTAACAGTGTAATATTACAATAATAAAAAACGATGTAGAATAAATAAATATGAAATTATAATGTTAAATATTAGCCATAATTATTCAAAATAAGTGAATTTTTTTGTTATATCTATTAACTTTAAATTAATAGAATTAAATTTTTTATAAGTGTGATATTTGTATAATATTAACATCCTGTAGTTATTTAAATAATATTTTTTCCAATATTAATTTGAGCGTATTTAGTCAATTATATCATTAACTATAAACTAAATTATATTAAATAAAGTTTAAAATTAATGTTATTTTAGAATTATAATTTTGGTTGTTTTTTTTTAAGAAAAAAAATTACCTAGTCTTTTGTAATTTTGCAGTTAATAAACGAGTTGTATAGTTCAGCTCAAAAATTTCTTTGTGGAGTTCATGGGTAGTTTTATCAATACATCGTTCTGAACTGATTCTATATAACTTCTGTTCACATTTTGTTTCAGCTAGTTGTTTTAAATATAGTTTACTATCCACAGCAATTTCTAAATTCTCTATTTCTTTCAATAATTTTTCTTTTTCACCTTCCATCTGCAAATAAAATAATAAATAAAAAAATACAGAAAAATAAACTCGTTTTAACTGACCTTTAATTTTTGCCAATACAATTCATTTTTTAATTTTTCAGTTTCAAATATTTTGGCACGAAGTGTTAAATTAACTTCATCATTTTGTGCTCTTATATCATTTTTTATTTTCTCACGAAATACATACATGGTTTCTCGCAACATTTTGGAATAATTTAATTCTGTTTCTATTTTCAATTTTAGATTATTACAAAGTTGAAGCCACATTTCATATTCAATAAAACTAAAAAAAAAAATAATTGGATAGTAAAATGATAAAATTAAAAATTATGCTAGAACTTAATAATATATTTCAATTTTATCTAGAGAGGTTTTTTATAAAAAAAACCCTCCAAATTATATTGAATTTTAGTATTTTCACAATTATAAATGTTAGTAACTTATTTTGTATATAAATAAATTAATAAAATAATTAAACATTTACTCATTCGGAATTCGTAAAGGATCAGGCTTGAGAGAGATATGTTTCAAATCTTTAAATAATTCACTATTTATAGTTATGCTTCGATTTTTATTTTCTATATCTTCAGCTACCTTAATACATAAGTTTTCCAAGTTACAAATTTGTTCCCATGCAACATAACATTTTTCAGTTAGTTCTTTTTTCATTGATTCTAACATATTTTTCTCCTAAATAATTAAAACATCTTATTATAATATTACCCAGTAATTTATTATTCACTTACATTTTTTAATTCGATGTCAGCAATATCATAACATAAATCAGAACCACCTCTTTCATCTCTTATACTCATGCAATGATTTATTACACTAAAATTTATATGCAAAAATTCGAGAATTCTTTCAGATAAATTTTTTTCACTTTTTAAAATGGTCACTTCTTTTTCTAATTTCTTGTAGTATTCTTGAATTGAATTTTTCCACTTTAATAATTGAGTTTGACTTAAAGTATTATAAATAATTAGTAAATAAATATTTGAATTCAAAATCTTTTAAACAGTCAAACCTTTCAACAATTGACTTATTTGTGTGCTCCGTGTTCCAACATAAAGTTATGTCTGTGTTGTTTCTTAATTTATGTGAATCGTTAAGTAATTTAAAATTTTTACTCATTAAAACATCACTTATTTCTTTTAACTCAGATATTTTATTTAACCAATCAGGTTTAGAAATTTTAGGCATAGGTTTTTCAAGTACGACAATAGACATTTTTTATATTTTTATACCTAAGGACTAAATATTATTCCAAAACGTTCATAAATACATATAGTAAGTATTACCAATAACAAACAATTAAACAATTTTACTTAGGATTCATTGAACAAACTTAAAAAAAATTTTGATTATTTTGATATAACAACGGTTACTATGACAATGATTGTAAATATGTATTTAAATTTTTCTAATTTTAACTTCTATTTTGTAGTAATATGCTCAATGCTTTGCATGACGCATCTTACAATTATTAATGAAAAATGTATAATCTGTATTTTAAATAACTTGTAAACAATCAAATAATTTATCTGTCATAACAAATATGATGTTCAACACAATTTCTTATTATTTATATATATATGTCAATTTATCAATTGTTAAATATGTTATCTGAATATAATAATCCTGTAATGTATAATTAATACAATAAACAAAAAAAGATTACTAAAAGCGCTGACAACAATATCCCTGGATTGGGGGCAATATCATTTTACTATAAAAAACACTGAAATCCTTTCAGTCCGAGAGAGTCAGGGAAAGACTCCAGAGAGACGAAAAAAAAAGAAGAAGTGACAGCGACCAAAAGAGTTCGTTTTCTTCGAATTAAAAGTAACAATTATCAGTCACAGCCCTGTGTTGTTGTCGGCTGACTTTTATGCATTTTATTTATATATGAAAAGAACTTGCTTTAATTATTTATCTTTTGACGAAGTGCTAATTAAATACTTTTAAACATATATAAACATATCGAGATAATTATCAAATCATTTTACAAGCAATTTACAAGAATAAAAGAAGTAAGTAATTTTATGTTATCCCAATTATTTGGAGTTAATAAATTTGAGTAAAGAATGACAAAGCAATAGATCATTTATTAAATTAATATCTTAAAGTGTCAATTTTGACTGGTTGGTTAAAGAAATTATACATAATCACGTTATATGGTATTCGTGAACTGGCTCTGCCGTTTCGTTGCCTTAAAGATGTTTTAAAAAACCTAGCGTGATTTCTACTGTATAAATTAGGCTCTGGTATTCGTGGACTGGCTCTGCCGTCTCGTTGCCGAGGTATTCGTGAACTGGCTTCGCCGTTTCGTTGCCTCTTAGTTAGGACATTAGAAACTAACCAGACAAAAGTTTATTCTACCTCTATAAGAGGAATATAATATATTTTTATATCTACTTGTCTTTGTCGTTCTAAACCCTCGAACCATACGACCCCGATAGAACCACAACATCAGGTTCTCACTAAGCCCATCACCCTTCATTTATTTTCATTATTTTTACTTAACGATTATTGATTATTTTATTTGAATTATAACAATTTTAATTAATTTATGAGTGTTCTGAATACTTGTTTTTAGCTACAGCAAAAGAAGGGTTATGTCTTAGTTAAACGCGGGAACCTTTAATTATATTTTATTTAATAACTCTGGAAAATATCAAACAAAACAGAATGTTATATTTAATATATTGATCTATCAATTGAAATATTAATTTATCTATTTAAATAAAAATTAAATCAAAACTAGTCTTTAGGGAACTAAGACTTAATAAAGCTATGGTATTATCAACATCATTATTTTTATTTATTTTATAAGCAAAATAAATAGCATAATAAATTTTGATGCACTTTCTTAATTTTATTGATTAAAACTAGTTATTTAGGGTTTTATTATATAGTACCATGATTTAGAGTTAACCTAATTAAAGCACAACAAACATCTTATAAGTAATAGTTTAATAAAATCCAACAAGAGTAAACTTTTACTATACATTATTAATATATAGTGTTCAGTATGTAAGGAAACGGATTTCTTCTGTTCTCATTGTTTATAACAATTTACCTATTTCCTTACTTATTGAACACTCTGTATATATACAGAGTGAGAACAGAAGAAAACCGTTTCCTTACATACTGAACATTTTGTATGTATACAATACTATTATAAAGTAGATCAGACAATAGAATAATACCCAACTGTTTAATCATATTAACATAAAAGAACTGCAAGAAATACAAATTTAACGACATAAACAAACTTTTTCATTTTAAATTAAATATTTTATTATGTATAAAGTCAACACAAATAATTTATGAAGTAATAAAAATAAACAAAATATTTCAATTTTATAATTCTTAAAATATACTTAGTAAAAATGTTAATATAAACATTTATAAAAGAAATAATAAATAATATAAAAAATTCCATTCAATAAAATATTTACAGCTTTATAGTAAAACAATTTAGATTCATACATAAAAAATATAAATTCATTTTTTTTTTACATTTTTTTAGTTCTATAAAGAGTTACAAATTTTAAGATTAAAAATTTTCATAGGAACAATAAATTTATATATACATATAGGTATAATATTAAAAATTACTATTATTTCATAAGTCTTTTACTTTTTAAGTAAGTCTTTTTGTTCCACAATAAATTAATTCTGATAGTCTTTTAGCAAATTATATTATAAATAAGTCAATATTGATATATCTTAGAGCTTTCTTAAAATGTATACAAAAAATAAAAATAGACACCCTAAAACTAACCAATTGCTCCAAAAATTAAAAAATAGCATGAAAATATACACTTTTTACAACTATTATTATATATTAATTTTAAGTAAAAATTTAACAAAATTGTAGCAATTGATATTATTATTGAACAAAATAAGTCAAACTTAAAATAATTATAATAAAAATAATTTTAAATGCCTTACATATTAAATATGTAATAACATGAACTTAAATGGCAAATTGTAAAATCAAAATAGTACCAATATAAAATAGAACTTTTATAGAATTAATTAAACAAAAATATTAAAGAAAACTTCATAAATAAAAAATTTATAATAAAACTAAAATACTTTTTTAATTGTTTATAGAATACTAGATACAAAAATTATTTTTAGTTTTAAAATAATTAGAAATAAATTAATAAAAATAAGTTATATCCAAAGTAATATAGCCAATATTATTACCAATATTATTTTCCTTATCAAATTTTTTAAAAATTAGTCTGGAATGTCAATATAATAAATTAAAATATTCATATAATTTAATTAATTTTTAAACAACTAAAGAACTGCAATAGGTTCATCTTGTTTACGATTAGTTAATAGAATTTCTGGCTCACATTCAATTAGACCATTTTCTGGACTATATTGATTTTTTTTACTGATTTCAACCACATGTGGATACATTGAATGTAAAAAGAATATCATGTGTAAAAGATTCTTCATCATAAATACTGAAGCATTTTGATTATATACAACCCACATATATAATCGAATTCCAAGAAATGGCATCTGAACCAATATTAAATGCATAAAGTTATAACATATGGGCTGTGGAAAACCCATTGGCTTAGAATTAAAATCTGGTTGAGATAAACTATATAAAATCCAAACAGGTAAAAGGAAGTTAATAAAAGCTGTAGCATATATTAAGTATTCTATATAACCAAGAGAAACATTGATTGATATGACTATTGATAGTATTTCTACAGAATCAAATATTTCAACAATCCATGCATTAGTTGGCCACTTTTCACGGTTAATTTGTCTTCCAAAACATTCAGCGTTAACCAATAAATAAAATACAATTCCAGACAACCCAATAAGAAGCTGGTAAAAATAAACAATTATATCAATAAAAGTTAAATGCTTTTTAATAAAAATAATAATAGTCTCTTTTTACCTTAAGCATTTGAGGTCCCATGAAGTCATCATAACCAATTAATGATAAAACTTCATTTGAAAATATTAAAACAATTTTGCTAAACAAAACTACTACATATGTAGTCCAAGTAATACAATTTAAATATACAGGATATTTTGTCTTATGTACTACAACTTCTGCAGTATTAGTTTTTTTACTGCGTTCGTATTTGTATTCTTTATAACAGTTGAGGAATGTATGATAAAATAGTAATGTCAACACAATGTTTAGGACCAAGAATAATGCATTCGGATACCTTGAATACCAAGAATCTTGAAATACAATCATAATGTAAAAATCTAGACTGAAAAATTGAAGTAGTTGTAACGAAAATAATGCTCCCGCATCTAAAATGAAAATTGTTCTCATTTTTTTCATTGTTATTAACGGCACAATAAAATTGATATAGAACTGTAATTTAAAAGTCAATTAATATTAAATTAAAACAAATTCTTGAATTTAATAAGAAAAGTGAATTTATAGTAACAAAAAATTTGTACCTAATTAATATTTATCACTTCTACAAAGAAACTAATGAATTAAAAACAAAACGGCAAAACTAATAAGACTAATAATAACAGGCATTGTTATCACTATGTACTCTACATGTTGTTTACGTTAGCGTTGCTTCAGAACTTGGCGCTTTGACAAAGAAATGGTGACTCATACTTATGTTGATAATTACATTACAAAATTTATCGATAAATTGGCCTTGACTCTATTAGTGAAATAATTTACGTTATCACACTACTAATTAAATTTTGAACAATTGCTTATTAATACAAGTCTATTCAATAGTGTTATAGGAATTTTTTGCAAATATCAATTTAACAGCATTATAAAATCAAACTATGAACAAAATTATTATTTACCACGATAATAATTATTATTATTATTATTGTAATTGCATTAACCCATTAAGTCCAAAGTTTTCTTTTTATCATTTTTTTTATACATACGTTTAAAAAAATAATATTAATAATTTTTTTATTTATTATAAACTAATGATGAGATATTTCACGTTACCATGTGTTAACGCTAGGACTTAATTATATAATATAAACTAAAAATATACACAATTATTATTATTTATATATTTATCTCAACAACATAAAAATCTATGCGCAGGGTGGCAAAATTATTGGGGGAGCTAAATTTTATTTTTTCGCCTTCAAAAAATTCTTATATAACAATGTATATAATTGTACTAAATTTTATGGGGAGACTAAGTCTCATGCCCTACGCCCGTGACAAAATTGTACAATACTATAAAATTATTATAAATACAATATTGCAGCTACTCTCTAAAAGTATAGCTTTCAAGCTTTTCTTTTATTCAACCCATCCGTTCGGTTTCATAGAAACATTGTAAAAACATCAAGGAAATTTTTTCTTGTTCAGTGGCTGGAATGCAAGTTTTTTACTAAACTAATATAATGATACTAAGGTCAAATGTAAGGCGCATAGTCTTTAATAAATATGTTTTTAGCTTCGATTCAAAGCGGTGAAATACTGATTAATAATTCAAATGTTTATTCTTTTTATTATTTTGTTATTATTGATGCAAATACTTAAATTCTATTTAATTGATTACTAATTGTATCTATTTAAAAATATTACCACAAAATAATAAAATAATTTAATTTGTTCCTTGTAAATTGCAGTAGACTCCCAAACATTATAATTATAGAAACTGGCAAATATATAATATATAAACTTATATTACTAGCTTTTAATTAATAATATCATTATTATAATAGAACTATTTTTTTTTTAAATGTAATGATTGAAAAAACTTTTTTTGGGTAGTACCTTCATAGACGCAATCTAAAAAGGTCCAGTGGGGCTAAGACCTCCTTAAAAATTTAAATGTGTATAATTCTATATAAATGTTAAATTATTTAGAAATAATACCTTTGACATTTTCCGAATACATAACAAGTCATATAAAGTAATAAATTTTTGTCAATTCAAATTTTTAAAATGTCCTGAAACTTTTAAAACTATAATAAAATTATAATAACGTATTATATTAAAAGTCCAAGAATATATATTGTATACTATCCAGTAGCGTGTTAAGGATTTAAATACCTTAGAATAGATTTTTTGTCGCACTAAAATATTTTGTTTAGCAGAAAAAAAAATGTATTTAGCTTACACAGAAAAAAATGTCTGACTTAACAAGCTTTGAATATTTATAAATGCAAAAACATAAATTATAAATAACATTCTTTTTTGAAGTTTTGTTGGGTTGATCTGCTATGATGTTCTCAGACTCAGGGGTACCTTTATGTAGACACCCCTCTGATATCATTGAAACAATTTCTTCTGAATCGGTGGTTCCGATAACTATTCTCTAGTAGACCAAATACTATATTGTCCAAGAGATATAGTTAAAATGTTATAATTAAATGCGTGTATTTTAGAAATGTATATTATAAGGGTACGACACAAAAAAATTTCAATGAATTTCACTTTGCTCAAGTTGTTAGGCAAAACAAGGACATGTCACATAAGAAAAACTATTTAATTAGGTCTAATTGGGAATAATAGGGTCAAGACTAATGAAGAGCATAGCTATTAATTCATATAATTTGATGAAAAACAAAAAAAAAAAATCATTTTTACTATTAAAACTTAAATCTAGCGCCGATACTGATAGGGTCACTTTATAATTAACTAATTGATTTAAATTTTAAACATTTTATACGTTTCTACCAGAGAATTATTAAGAAATTTTGAGTAGGTGACATTTCAGATATAGTTTAAACAAATTTTGAGACATTAAGCTCAAAAAGTTTTAATGTTATAACTTGTAGCCAGGATTTTATAATGCGGAAATTATAATACAAAATTCTATATTTTAGAACATTTTTTTGCTTAACAATTCATTTTAGAAACGAATATTGCTGTCAATGGGGGGCCTAGTTATATCAATGTTTTTTAATACACCTTTACTTGATATTTTTCTTAATTTCAAATGAAATTACTCTTACAAATTCATTATAAAAGTAACTATACATACATTTTTTTCGACTCCATGGTAAAACCATTTTAGTTTTATGTGATTAGAAAAAAAAACTATTTAAAAAATATATACATATATTTTTATTTATTTACATTTGTTGAAATAAATATTATAAATAAATTACTTTCATAACAGTTTCATACTGATTATCAAAGTATTAAATTATCTATAATATGAATTTCAATAAAAATTGAAATTATACTTGAACCAAATAATTTCAGAATGTGTTAATTATGTACATGTAGTAAATGATAAATAAAAATTATTTTAATTTCATCAATTTAAAGGATTCTTATTTATAAAAATAAATGTGAGTAGCACATTATAAAAATATAAGTAAACAAAAGTTCCATTGAAATGATATGGTTAACAATTCAAAAATATGTTTTGAAAACATTAAAATATATGAAACGAAGCAAAATAAATTAAGAGATTAAAAATATACACACATTTTACTTGTAATGAGTTTTAATGTGAGCATAATATGATCGTAAATAGTTATACTGTCTATTACAAAGTTTGCACTTTAAATTCTTCAAATAATTATTTTTATTATTATCTAAATATTTACGTTCTGTTTGTTCATGAATAATTTGATGTTTTTTAAAATTTTTATACATTTTAAATTTGAGACCACATATTTTACACAAGAATTGCTTATTATTTAAACCTGAATGTTCAGTCTGATGCATTTTCCATTCAGCAATTGAAGCAAACACTTTATTACATTCTTTGCATTCTAATGTAGAATTTTTTAAATAATTAATTTCTACATTTTTTCTATGGTTAGTTATAAAATTTATACATTTATTTGGAGATTTTACATTTTTATCATCATGCATATTAGAAAGGCAAGATTCATTTTTATGATTAGAAATTTCAATAGAATCAGATTCATCACTTAATGTTATTGTTTCTACTTCACTAATGTTTTCAGTTAACCAAACACCAATATTTTTATTTACTACTGTCAATTTATCTGTTAACATGTCCTTGTGATGGAAGTTTTCTTTATTTTTAATTACAAATAATTCATTACTTGGTTCAATTTTTTCTTTACTATTACTTGTTAACTCTTTACGTCTTTCAATAAGTTTTGTAAGCATTAGAGCTAGTTTTTCTTTATGTTCAGACTCATCAATACTTTCTAATTCATTTGAAAGTCCTCGAACTTCTTTTTCTAAATTTTCTATACTAGTTATCAAGTATTTTTCCAATAAAGAATTTTTAACTTCTTCTTTATGAGACGTATTATTTTGATAGTATTCTATAAGCCAATTATATTCTTTTATATCTTTATCAAATCTCAACTCTTTACCAGCTACAGACCAAAATTTATCAGTTAATGTTTTAACTTTCAAAGAGAGCTGCTTTTTAAACGCTGTTAAATTATTATTGACAGCATCATCTGTATTAGGAGAATTTTCTTTAAATAGTACATTTTTAGAATTTTCAATTGGAATAACTTTTCTAGGCCTTCCTCTCTTTTTAACAGATTTTTCCACAATAACTTTTCTAGGTCTTCCTCTTGGTTTTTTTAAAGTAGGATCATCTGTACTAGAATTATTTTTATTTTTATTTTTCACACGTTGATGAACAATATCAGAATAACAATTATTTCTTGTTTGTAATGTATTCAATAATTCAGGATTCAACAAATTTTTTTTATTTTGATGACCACTTAATTCTTCTATAAATTTGCTTTTAGATTTTTGTTTACGTCTTTGTCTTCCATGTTTATACTTGTAATTCAAATAAATAAGATTAGGTCCATTGTAAGTTCTTGTACAAATATCAGTTCCAATATGAGCTCGATACGACATTTTAGAAGCAAATTTTTGACAACACTTTTGACAAACTACATTCTTACCAACAAAATCAAAATCTTTGAAAGGTAAAAGTTTTAGTGATCCTTTCTTGATTAAGAAATTTTCATACCCAGTCTTAATGCTATTATTTTTATCAGATAGATCTATAATTGGTGTTGTTGATACAAAATAAATCTGCAATAAAAATAATAAAACAATAGAATAATATTTAAAAAAATTTATTATGAACAATAGCAATATTAAGTAAGGTAATATAAATTTTTTTTTTAATTATTTACCAACTTTTCAAATTTGAATATAGACAAGTATTGAAAATAAAGATGGTTTATAAAAAAAATATGGGAAGTAGATACCTCAATGTTTAAACAATTACTTATTTTCAAATATAATTAAAAAGACCCAAGAAACACTAATGTATCACAAATATTATGTAATTTAATGGACCACAAAAATAAACAATTATTATAAAAAATTATGACTTCCAAATGTACATGAAAATTTAAAGAAATATTTAAGTTCTTTTTTTTAATTAATTTTAGATTTAAATGAAACAATTCATCAGCAAACTACCACTTTGTATATAATTACATTGAGCTTAAAAACACTCTGCATAAATAACATAAATAATTTCATAATTATTCATAATTCAATAATGTACTTCAATAATTTTATAAAATTAAAATGAAAATTTGATATTTGATTATAACAACAAATATAATAATAAAAAAGCAATATATTATTATTTACTATAAAGAATATATATAACCCAATATTATGGAATTAATGTGCAAATATAAACTGAAGGATCATAAAGATATTCCAACAAATTAAAATAAATATTAAAACATAAGAAGAAAATATAGTAAAATTTCTGTAGTGGATAAATATTACCTTTGGTAAATCACAAGTTGGCCCTGGACTAATAGCATGGAGACCCAAAAGACTGAGAAATTGATATTTAGTCAATTCTTTTTCAGACATTATTTTCTATATAAAAATATATAAATAAAACAGTATTATGAACAACAATTACATAAAATCTATGAATTAAACATAAAAACTTAAGGACGACAGTAAATTTTTATATATATATAGCTAATTAATTACCCAGAATATTGAACTTGATATACCAATGTAATAAACATTTATTTAACATTATTATATAATAAATAGCCCCTGAATTTTCTAAAAAAAAATTGATGATGTCATGCATTGAATTGTAAAGATTTTTTTTTTATGAAGCATTTATTTTTGTGAAACTTATAAATAATAAAATAAATAAAAATATTAAAAATCAAATTTTAAAACTAATAACTGAATTTTAAGGAAAATCTCAAATAACTCATTGAACATTAATCAAAGAAATTGCTTTTTAACTTTTTCTTACAATCAATTTTTTGTTATTTTCCATGTAATAAAATAAAAATCACATTTATACTCTGCTACTTGTTATTGTTTGAAAATGCTATCACATTAATAATAATAAAAATCAACAATGTGATTAGAAATGTGTTTTTGTAGACTAATTAAAGTCATAGTAATTTCCAGGTTCTTCAAAATTTTGCTTTTTTCAAGTATGAAACTTTTTGTTATGAATAGTAAAATATAATTATTTTTAGTCTATAATAATTAAATGCATAAAAAATTAAAAAATACTTTTCATTATATTCTAAATATAAGTATTGACATTTTAAAATATAAAATTAATGCATAAACAATTTAATAACATCCAAATGTTGATTTACAACGTTTTTTAATATTTTTAATGCTTCTTTTTCCTTGAAATATTTTTAATAGAGAGCATTTTAAATAAATCTACCGACCTTATACAAAGAACCACCCAAGGATCTAATTTACTTTATTTTCTTCTAAATAAACCTTTGCATCCAATTAACTTAAAAATAATGTATTTAACAATGATTGAATACTACTAAGTCAAAATGATTTTCTTTAAAAATTTTAAGAGAAAGATTATGTAGAAAATTTTTGACAAAAACTAAAATTTTAACAAAAGACGATTAAATATCTTAATTTTTGTTAATGGAAATTGTTATTTAATATATGTAAATTAGTTTTATACACTGAGAGCAGAATATTATATTGTTAAATGGTACATGTAATACAAAAGATGTTAATAAAAACATTAGTTTCAACACATATATTTTTCAAGATGAAGATATTAATAATTTCAGTTATTTTACTATGAGAAAGATTACAATAATTTAATAATAATATTTAACAGTATAACAACAATATTTATGTTTATATTAATATGTAATCAGGAAAAACTAATTTTTCAAGTTTTTAAACATTTAAAAAATTACTCAAATGATTTAACCTGTAGATCACTTTTTGAAGCGATTACATTACTATTTTCATTTGATGGTTTTTTAGAAAATATTCATTTTATTTACACTCAGAATGTTTAAACTTTAACATTATACACGATTTTTACAAAAATTAGAATATATTTAATAAAAATTGATATTTAGCTAAGAAAGAAAAATAGTTAAAACATCTTAATGTTAAACAAAGATAAATGATTAAAGTAGTAATGTTTGATATAAAGATATTATTACTGATTTTAATATTTATAGTATTAAAAAAAAAAAATTAATTATTCCAACATGATCGAGAAATTAAAATGCAACAAAAAATAAAAATATTACAACTTACAACATATAATAATTTGAAGATAAATTCGTAGTTCCTGAATAAAATTTTTTATAAAATTAATTAACAACAACAATTAAAAAATTTCATCATAATATGATAAATAAAAATTTAACTTAATTAATTTTTTTTTTTTTGAAAATATGAAAGTAAAAAACAAAAAACTAAATGTAACCCAAGTAGAGAGCACTGCTAGCAATGGCCAGCTGCAACTGGCATAAAAAATATCGAATCCATAGTAAATCGATGTTTATTCATTTTTTGTTACACCTTATCAATTTACCGTAAATGAAAATTAATTATATGTAATAAGTCCAAAAATAACATTGCTGTAAATATGTAAGCTAACATATATAGATATGTATACTCAATATACACTAGTCTATTAATTTTGAAGTCCAAAATATGATAATTGAATCGATTATTTTCAAAGGATAATGTAGTATCGATATGAACTATACCCTGTCGGATACATGTATAATCAGTGTAGCCATTGTCTAAAAAAATAATTCGTTAAAATGTAACTATAAAACAAAATAAAGTAAGGCATTATAGATAAAATAATTTTTTTTTTATTCAAAAACAATTAAAATACTGAACATATGTGACAATTATACAAAATTTTGTTTATAATAGACTTTTAAAGTATCTTATTTGGCTAGATTATTTTATAAAATTTAATTAAGTCTAACAAAAATTGCATATGATAAATTATGCAAAGTTATATAAATATATTCTTTGGTCGAAAATAGAACATGTTTTTCAAAATAAATATTGCACAAAGAAAAATCTATCCAATAACAAAAAATTATTTAAATTCAATGGAATTACGATAAATGAGAATACAAAGAAATTACAGAAACAATACCCTCACGGACGAAATCACGATCCAAACTTGACACAGAACTGTCTCGGAGGAAAAATTAGAGGGAGTAAAAAAAATTACTTTTGCTAATATAATTTTTTTTTAATTATATCTTTTTCTGTTATTATTTTATTGTAGCAACTTTATAAATAAATATAGTGTAGATTAAAATTATTAAATATTAACTAGAGGTAATACCGATTTTAGAAAAGATATAAAATATCTTAATACCGTCAGTAGCTTATTTAAAGAAAGAATAGGGGCACGTGCCCCCCGCCACCATTGACTAAATCATATAAATATTTTATCAAGCAATGTAATAATGTATAATATCATTATAAAAAGTTATTTTTTGGTTATCGATAATAACATGGGCTTATGAAATGTTAGTCTATATAGTCTTGTGGAGCAAAATTTGACGCCCGCACAGTTGTCCCGTTAATGTTATTACCTATTTTTAAAGTGTTTATTACGTAGAAATATTTTTATTAATAAAAATGGATTCAAATAAATAATAGATTTTTTTTTCAAAAAAATCTAAAATATGTGTTAACAAAAGTTATGAGCAAAAAAAAAGTCGTTTTATAGAACTTTATTCATAAATATATTTTTGTCCCCCCATTATAAATTTTTAAATAGGGCACTGAATATCGTCAAACACATTCAACAATAATTAAAATTATACATCATTGTTGTAAAATAATAATGTATATTAGCTTCGATGCGAAGCGGAGAAGGTATTAATTTTACTATGATGTGTATTTTTTTTTTTTATGTCTGTTGCCACTTTTTCTCAGCTCTCACTGGACCGATTTCTTTCGAAAATACGTCAAAAGATCACAAATCGTATCTAGTTGAAGACATTACCCTTAAAAATTGAAAAAAATTCCCTCGTTCCCCGCAAATGGGGGAAATATCCAAAAAAATTACAAATTTAAAAATCGCTAATTTTCGAAATTTTTTCACTTTTTTTTCTTAAAACTTCCATAACTTTTTGAAAAATCAACAAATCAACATAATTTTTTTTTATACTAAAACCTTAGATATTTACCTTTCATTTGATATCATTTTTTTGAAAATCTATCACTTAACCTGCTCATTGGGGGGGATTTAAAATGGCAACTTTTTTACAAAAATTAATTTTTTCAACTTAATTTTTGAAAATGTTCCGGAAATACTGCGTCCTTTAAACATATATCAAATTAAAGCTTATTTTATGTACTACAAAATGAAAAAAAAAAATTTGTCCCGACACTTTTTTTTCTACATTTAAACGGCTGCCGTAGTTAAAAAAACACTATTTTTGTGTTAAAATTTTCGATTTTCGATTTTAAATTTTCAACTTAAAAATGCTATAACTTTTTGAAAAATGTATATATCAGCACAAATTTTTTTTTTCTAAATACATTATAAGTACATCTTTCATTTGACATACTTTTTATTAAAATTGGACAATTTCCCCTTATATAGGGGGCGTTCAAAACTTAAAATATTGTAAAAAACATAGATCTTTTTCAACTGAACTTTTGAAAATGTTCCGGAAATACTGCGTCCTTTAAACATATATCAAATCAAAGCTTATTTTATATACTATCAAAATGAAAAAAAATATTTGTCCCGACATCTTATCTTCTATGTGCAAATGACTGTCGAAAATTTAAAAAAAAAATGTAATGTTTGCGATAAAAATTACATTTTATCGGGATGTTTTTTGTACTTAAAACTGCCATAACTTTTTCAAAAATGAACAAATAAAAATAATATTTTTTTATACTAAAACCTTAGATATTTCCCTTTCATTTCATATCATTTTTTTGAAAATCTAACACTTAACCTGCTCATTGGGGGGGATTTAAAATAGCAACTTTTTTACAAAAACTAACTTTTTCAACTTAATTTTTGAAAATGTTCCGGAAATACTGCGTCTTTTAAACATATATAAAATTAAAGCTTATTTTATGTACTACAAAATGAAAAAAAAAAATTTGTCCTTACGACCTATCTTCTATACGCAAATGGCTGCCGTATTCAAAGATATGCTGTTTTTGTATTAAAATTATGGGTTTTGTATTTTATTTTAATAGAAGTTGATGTTGATTTTGCAATTATCCATCAATTTTTTAAAATTAAACACTATCTACAGATTTGCATCGAAGCGTTTCTTATGATAGTGATTTTAATCACTGTCAGATNTCGAAGCGTTTCTTATGATAGTGATTTTAATCACTTTCAGATTAAATCTATACTGGACCTAACTATGTAATGTCTCCAAAATGCCGCGACCCCACTGTGCTACCGTTTTATAGCATAATTATAATTATAGTAATCAGTATTTGGTAAAAAAATAATGTTAATACATTTTAAATTCAAATAAATAAGAATTGCCTAATATTATTAATACTATCCATTTTAATTCTACTAATTTTTAAATAATAATGTATAAATTGTATAAAAGTGCTATTATTTATATAACTATACGTGTAATGTTATAAATAATCTATACACTAAATTATTATATACAATAATTAGTTATTTTGAATTATTGATCAGTACTTCACAAAACCTAACACTGGTACTGACTATAGGAGGGGTGATCATGAAACGGCCTTAATGAGATTACGGCCAAAATTTGACTAGACAGAGTTCTGCAGGAATAATATTACGAAATTATTAAGTTTAAACAATTATATTGTAAAAATTTGTTATATGATAAAATAATTAAAAAAAAATTCTTAATAATAGAGTAAGATATGAATATTTACCGTTATGAAACAAAATGGTAAATGTCAATATAAATGATTATTATATTCATTTTTAAGTGATCAAGAAATATCGTTGATTACTTACGAATAAAGGTATTCAAACTATCTTTAATGTTCTATAACTAAATTAGTTTGATTATTTTTAATAATAAATAAATAATTTTAAGTCTTTTTGGGGGGAGGGAGTTATTAGAATTTGAGCAATTACGTATTTGATTGAGGGGACAAATGAGTAAATACCACTTTATCTCATGTTTATTAAACATTTTTTTTTACTTTTAAATAAAAAATATTTTTATGCAGACATATTTTTTTCATGAATAATGTCATATAATTGAAATATTAAAAAGAAAAACTTAATTATTTCGAACATTATATATTAGTTTCTCCATTTTATAAAAAAAAAATGGCCATAAGTCATACGTCTATTAGCAAAAATAGTAACAAACATTTTATATTTCTGTTTTTCACATCAATATGAATTAATAACAAATTCATTTATTTAATAGCTTTTGTTAGAGAAAGTCTTATGAACATTTAATTTCTAATTAAGTAGTAAGAATCGTCTATTCAATGTTCCTCCGTAACATTAAAATGTTTAATATACATCACATTTTAATAGTTTAACTAGCAAATCATAAACGTTATTTTTATAAATATTATTAAAATTTATAATGTATATTTTTAAAGCAACTTTTTTGACTATACAGCCACATTTTATTTTTTGAGATAAAGTTTGTAATTTGGGAAAATTATACAAAATTTAATAATAATTAAAATTAATATTATTATTTATTTATTTTTCACTGTTATTTGCAGTATAATGTGATGATCACTATTAATTTAATAAAAAAAAAACACCAGTACAGGGGGGACGTGTCATAGTAGAGACGTACATAGTTGGATCAAGTATAATGATATCTGACAGTGATTAAAATCACTATCATAAAAAATGCTTTGATGCAAATCTTTAGACAGTGTTTAATTTTAAAAAATTGGTGGATTATTCCAAAAGCTACATGATCTGCTAGTTCCTTATTAATATCCTGATTAAGATATAGTAAGTCGAATAAAAAAGGGATTATCAAAAAATATTATTTTTCATATTAAAATTGTGTTGATCCATACATTTTTCAATAATTAAAAGCATTATAAAGTTAAAAATATAAAAAAAAATCGAGAATTTTCACACAAAAATAGCATTTGGTAGCCATTTTCACCGTGAAGATAAAATAAAGTCCGAATTATTTTTTTCTATAATAAAGTATGTTACATTAGCTTTAATTTAAGATATATATAAAAGTGTCAGACCTTCCGGAACATTTTCAAAAGTCAAGTTGAAAAAGTTAATTTTTTGTGAAAAATTTGTCCTTTTAAATCCCCCCTATGGGCAGGTAAAGGGTCAGATTTATAAAAAAAATATACCAAATGAAAGGTAATGATATCATGCATCTATATAAAAAAAAAAAATTGATTTGGTTATTTTTAAAAAGGTTATGGCAATTTTAAGTAAAAAATTTCGAAAATTAGCGATTTTTAAATTTGTAATTTTTTTGGAGGTTTCCTCCATTTACGGGGAACGAGGGAAATTTTTTCAATTTTTGAGGGTAATGTCTTCAACTAGATACGATTTGTGATCTTTTGACGTATCATTGAAAGAAATCGGTTCGGTGAGAGCTGAGAAAAAGTGGTAACAGACAAAAAAAAACACATCATAGTAAAACCAATACCTTCTCAGCTTCGCATCGAAGTTAAAAAGAAAATAGTGATATCCTTCATTTACAGTCATATACTTTTTAAACTTATCTCTTCAATTATTCAATGAAAGCAATAAGTTAATATGTAACACTTTAGCCATCCATTTAAATTACCACTCTTAATCATATCGTAAATTTGGATCAACCAAGACTATTAGAGAGATTATTTGACCCTTCTATAAAAAATAAAATTGTCCTCTCTATATTAAACGCCGCAATAGGTTTGGACCTATACTATAAACCATTTAACATTAAATTTCCGTCACTAAAATATTAATATGATAATATGAAAGTCAAAAACTTTTTTACTCTTAATACTTATTCTTACTAATAATAGGTAAAAATAAGTTTTCAAAGCCTCGTGAAAATTTTCCCTCGAATATGTTGAAATTAAAAATTTGCCTGTTATTTTATTTCTAAGTTTTCCTTCTTAGAATAAAATGTTCGTTATAAATGGGTTTATGAAGACATATTTTAGTAATTAGATTGTTTACAAATATCAAATAGTATTGCGACTACGCCTATCTTACAACCAAGTCGCACCTAAAATACATTAAAATATTTTTTAGTCTATGATTTTTATTTTAGAATTTTATATTTAATTATGTAATTATAGTTTGTCCTAATATGAGACCTGTGAGGTATAAACCCCCACAAATAAACTGTCTTTTAGTGAAAACTGAACGAGACTAAGCAATGTGGTAAAGAAGCTATTATCTAAATCAATGATTAACAATAGAAATCTTAGGCACCAAGATCAGTGCATAAGGGAATTGAATGAACTGCCAATAATATTTTACTATCAAGTTATATTTTCCTCATAATAATATAATAAATACATAACTTATAGTTAATAATATTATCACCATTGTACAAAAAGTAGACAAGTGATTTTATTTATTTTTTAAAACTTATTTAATAACAAGTATAAATTCTTAAATAAATTTATTAATAAAATTAATTTTATATTTAGAATTGTCGAAACACAAGCAATTGTAAAAAAAAAAAATTTTCATATAGTTATTTGGCACGACTAAAAAGAAGTATATATACAACAAATTTATTAATAAATATTAAATTTTTTCTGGCTCTTGAAATTTGTTCTTTTTGAAACCATTAGTTATTTTGGAGAGCATCTACTTCTTCATTTAACATAAAATTAGCTTATAATGACAATTTTTTCAAACCATGTTCATATAACACTGAATTCTTTACAATCTTAGCAACTGAAAAATTGTTTTCTATTATTATACTTATAGTTTAGACATTTATCTCCAAATGTAAAGTTCATAATTTTTTTTAGAAAAAAATGTTTGTTTCTTTATGCAAGTTTTACAATATCAAGATAATTAAAACCAAAATAAATCTATAAAATTGTATAGAACACAGACTAGTTTTATACTAATTTTTATTTTGTTTATTTTTATAAATTAAAAAATATATATATAATTAATGAGTACTTGTCATTACATATATAATTATGTATATGTTCCATAAAAGTCATTATCACTTAGTGGTTCACAAGTTACAACATTTGTTTTAGATTTTAAAGCAACACATTTATTTGAGGCATTTTTAGAAATGTCATGCCTATTACTCATATTCGATGATTCAAAACCTAATGGTTTCTGAACAAATTGAATGGATTGCACTTGTTGATTATTAATTAAAGCATCAGAGTATCCTCGGCTGTACATTGCTTTCAATATAGGATCTTGCAATAACATTGGTAATGGTTGGTTTTGTACATCATTTACACTCCATCCAGCAGATTTAACAATGGGTGATGGTGACCCTAGTAATAAATTATGCATTTCATTGATATCTTTCACTGTTTTGTTTAATCTATCAGTTAAATCTTTGGCCAAATAAGGATCTAAAGATGACATACTGTAACTATAAAATTTTTTAAAAATTAGAATTCAATGAGTAGTATTGCTTATTAATAGATACAGTATGGTATCATCTACCATTTCATTTCTACTGAGCTGATACTAATGGTTTTCAAATGGGAAATTCGAAAAGAACTTAATCAATATACATATTTTATTTATAAAAAATACTTTATTCTCAAAGTATAGAAAGTAGTGTTTGTGTGAAAGCGCATAAATACATGCAACTAAAAGAAACTATCATATCAGTCACTAACTTGGCTTATTAAGTCCACATAAAGAAAAAAACTTTTTAATTATGTAAACTACCTACTTGATAATGATATTGAGATATTAAGTCTGTATAAAAATAATTTTTTCTGCAATAGTTTCTAAATGTGTAAGATTATAATTTTTTATTAATAACATATGGGTATGTTATAAGTACACATAAATAGTATTTTATACTGATGTAAAAAAAATGTTTAACTGTTACTTAACGTTTTTTAGATGTTATATAATAAATGTATTAAATAAATTATTAATATTAGAAATAGTGCTCCTAAATAATCGTTTAAAATGTTTCAAACTTTAGAATACAGCCTATTATAACATTTAAAATGCTTCTAATTATTTTAACACGTTTTTAGAAAAAGCTAACAAAAAAAAGCGATTAAGCATTTAACATAATATTGTAAACACATGTATATTTTTAATTTCTTGTTATCATTAATACGTTTTCATATGGATCGATACATTATGCGTCTTCAAGACTGTGATAGTTGTGTTAATTTATCTACTGATATTTGATAATGGAATAAAATTTAAAAACACTCACGTTGTTTACATGCTCTGAATATTAAGTGAAATAAAATTTATAAAAGTGATACTAGTTAAAAATTACTGTAGATTAATACATTAAAAACAATTTTTTTTTTTTAATCGTACAATTTAATACTACATATTAGTTGGTTATTTAATTTTTAGAGATTATTTTACTTTTTTACCTAACTCTTGATAAAAATAAATATGTGTAATATTGAGATACGAAAAAAATACGATTAATTTGAACTGAATAAAAAATATTAACTTAATTTTTATAATTATATGTGAACTTAGAACGTTTTTGTAAAATATGAAATTGTAGTTTTATAAAAAATGAATCATGCTAATAATTGGACAGAAACGTGTGATGAACAAGCCCGAATTAGTGCAGAGCAGTTAGTTTCAACGTTTTCAACTCAGCCGTCATCTCGACAAGAAGTCTTGGGACATTTTATTAAATCATTTGCTACTCATTTCAAACGAGAATGTGATAGGTATAACTGGCCAGACAATGATTCTGGTAACAGCGATTCTGATACAGAATCAATGGCAACTGTCAAGAAAAAGCCATTTTTCAGGTATATTGCACTAAAATATTTAAAAAATACATAAGTTCATGATTTAAAATAGGATTTATTGCAGACGTATGTCATTTAGAGCTTTAAGACCCCTTTTTCATAAGCAACACTCAGATGAAGTAGAATTAGATGCAGCATCTATTGTATCACAGAGACCGATGAAATGTAAAAAGAAACTAGCAAAAATAGTTGTAGAATGTCGTAAGGAAGGAATAGTAAATTACAGATTAGGTGAAACAATTGATGGCGGTGAACCAAAATGGGAAAAAGCAAGACTTGCTCTAGTTAAAAGTACAGATGGCTACACTTTAGAATTTTATTCTCCTCCCAAAGTATGTACAAATAATCATTAAGTATATTCTACTAATAAACTATTTTTTCGCCATTAAATCACAAATATTATCATTTAACTTATTCCCATTGATATTTCTAAAGATTCATCTAAATTTTTTTTATAATGAATTGTTTGAATTAATTAAATAAAATTAATATTAAAGATTACAGGCAGTTCCAAAATTCTTTTTTTTATATATCAAGAATAAATTACTTAATTTATATTTCGAAAACTACAATGCATAAGTAACTTCTTTCATTTAGTTGAGAACTAGAACTTTAGTATGTATAAATAGGTAGGTATATGACTACAGTAAAGGTATATGTGTTAATTTTTGATACACTGTATTAAACAAGCTTTACTGTTCTCTCTGCAACAAATATTAGCTTATATGAAAAAATGTTGCTATGAATTATAATTATATATCTAATATAAAAATTTAATATATTAATATAATATAAAAAAAATAATAATAATAATCGCGTATGAAATATAGATATAATATTTGATGTCCAACAATAAAATCTTTGTTGATAGATTTTATTTAAATACTTCCAATAGATATATTTTTAATTTGGTAACTTTGAAAAGTATAAAAATATGATATTTAATATATTGATTGGAGTCTTTTATAGTTATAATGATCAATTAAACATTCTTTTATTTCCTAAACTTATCATGCAAAAGATGGTTCTTGGCTAAGCCAATGATAGTTGAGACGGGTCTTTTATATGACATATTTTTTTTAGCTCCAATGAAAAGCTGAGAAGGTATTAATTTTACTATAATGTGTTTTTTTTTTTTGTGTGTCCACTTTTTCTTAGCTCTCACCAAATTGATTTCTTTCAACAATCGTCAAAAAATCACAAATCGTATCTAGTTGAAGACATTACCCTCAAAAATTGAAAAAATTACAAATTTAAAAATTGCTAGTTTTTGAAATTTTTTCAATTTTTTTTTCTTAAAACTGCCATAACTTTTTAAAAAATGACCAAATCAATATAATTTTTTTTTTTAATCTAACCCTTTATCTGCCCACAGGAGGGATTCAAAATAACGTTTTCACAAAAAATTAACTCTTAAAAGTGTTCAGGAAATACTGACACTTTTATATATATCTTAAATTAAAGCTTATGTAATGTACTTTATTATGGAAAAAAAAAAAATTTTGAACTTTTTTTTGTCTTTATGTTGAAAATAGATACCGAATGCTATTTTTTAACAAAAATTTTTTATGAGAAATAATATTTATATCCCTTTTTTATTCGACATAATTTGTCATAATCAGGATATTAATAAGGAAATAGCAGATCATATAGCTTTTGGAATAATCCACCAATTTTTTAAAATTAAAAACTTTCTAAAGATTTGCATCGAAGCTTTTTTTTTTATAGTGATTTTAATCACTGTCAGATGTCATTATACTTGATCCAACTATGCCATGTCATCACTGTACCGCGACCCCCCTGTGCTGGGTTTTTTTTAAATCAGTTTTTAACCAAAATCGCAAACAAATCGACTTTATTTTGTTATATTAATTTATAGATATAAGTTTCATATGGCATAATTCTGTGTATTTTTAAATTTGTATGAAATTTAAATTCAATCCACTTATTTAAGAAATTTTACAAGTCATAAAATTAAAAAATGAGTTTTCAAATACAAGTTATTTTTTGTAGATAGATTATACATCATTTTTTAATTATTTGAAAGAAAAAGTAAAAATTACTTAATAACATTTTTATTTTGAGAACATACCTTTTGAGAACCTTGATTCGTGCAATTTAAACATGATTAATCAATCTTAATTCAACATTTATGTTCACTATATTAAAAAAAATATATTATTTGACTTGCATCATTTTAATAAGTAGTTCATATCTTATACCAATTCATTATAGTCTTTAAAACCAAAACATGGAGTGTTCTGTTTTCTTATACAAGATGCTAGAGAAACCAAAGAAATTGAAATGCCTGAACGATATGCTAATACTTTTGTTTTGAAGGTAATTTTTTTTATGCTAATACATATTTTTACATATTATTTTATAATGATTTTAAATATTTTATAGGATGAAAATAATATTGAATATATAATTGATGCATTAAATCCTGAAGAAATGCGCCAATGGTTAGCAACAATTAAATATTGTATGCGTAAACGAGATGGTTTACATGATGATATAAGGTAGTCGATCCATTTTTATTTTTATGTTTGATTAAATGCACACTCATTGTATTTTTATTTTACAGTATTATAGGAAGCATTGATGGTATATTAGATACATCAGTTACCCATTCAAATGATCACATCTTAAACTCTTCTTATAATTCAAATAATAATTTAGATATTGCAAATTCAGATGTTGGTAAGGAAAATTTAAAAGTTAATTTAATTTTTTAATTTTATCTTTCTACTTAATTTTTAATTTATTATAGAAAATGATATATCAGTATCTTTACGCCTGTATCCATGGTTTCACGGGATGCTTGCTCGATCAGATGCAACAAACTTAGTGTCACATCTTGGTACTGATGGTCATGGCATGTTTCTAGTGAGGCAGTCTGAAACCCGAAAGGGTGAATATGTGTTAACATTTAATTTCAAAGGAAAACCAAAAGTATATTTTAAATATATTTAGATTTAATGTACTCATTGATTTGATATTTTTGTATTTTTAACAGCATTTGCGTATGACATTGAATGATCAGGGACATTGTCGTGTTCAACATCTTTCATTCTCTAGTATACAAGATATGCTTGAACACTTCCAGACCCATTTAATACCTCTAGAAAATGGGGGTCCTGGTGATGTTACTCTTAGAGATTATATATTAAATACACCAATTAAGTATGGAGTCATACCTTCTAATAGTAATATCAATTATATTGTAATAACTCGAGATCCAAATGCTCCACCATCTCAAAATACTGAACATGGATTGCGACCTTCTGCACCACAATTATACCGAGAAGTAAGAAACTCAAACTCAACAAGTGTTAATTTTATTACTTTTATGTATAATAAATTGTTTATTTTGTGATCTAGTTTAAAACAATGTTGGCGCCCATTAGAACAAAGACGAAAGATTTACAAACTGAATTTACCAATCGTTTAACACCAGAACCTGGAGTCGGTAATATAGTCAGAGCAGTAAATAACCAGTATACTTTAAGATAGTCCTATTACTTAATGGTTTATAAATTTCAGTATTATAAGTAATTTTATAATTATTATTATTATTATTATAGTCTTCTTAATTTATTATTGAAATGGTTTAATCTTTTTTTGTGTTGTGTGTTCTTGCCTTATAGTGTATATTACAGTACTAAATACCTATTTACTAATAGTTAATGACTTAAAACTTTATACTATTTATATGATTCAATTAAACTCTAAATGTGTGTTATTGACCTTTTTTCGTGAAAATTATAGATTAAAAAAGTGTATCTTTGTATAAATATAAAATGTTAAAGGAAATACTATGTTTAGTATAAATTTATCATGATACATTGTTTATATATGTGTATACAATATTAGAAAAATGTATGCAGAATTTTTGTGTTAAAGAAAAGGTTACAATTGTTTATTTAAAATTTATAAAATAAAAATATAATTTTAAATAAAATATATATTGTGTAATATGTTTTAATCTCACAATTTTCTACATTTCTTACCAATTATCATAATATTAATCTAGATTATTTTCAAATAAAAAATATTATTACTATCCTCTCAGTTAAGGTGTAATGTGTTGTTTATTTTTATAAAAAGTTATTTGTAATATTTTATTTTATTTATGTTTATTTAATTTAACTAAAAGACTAATAACAAATTTGGATAATAATTTATAATTTGAGTTATTGAATATAGTAAATGACTAAACATCCTAAATAAGAACATTTTCCATTTATAAATAATTATTTTTAATATAATTTTTAGTGTTGGACAAAAATATTGATAGTTTGTTATGTAATAGTGAATTTGGAGAGAAGGTCCATGGCATCTGAACCCCTGACAACGTTTTTTATACATTATATAATATGTAGATTAAAAATCTTAAAGTACATATAATAAAAATTGATCACTTGTAGCTAATATTACTTAAAATTATAACTATTAAAAATATTATTAATTTAAAACTAAAAAATATTAAACTTAAAAAGCAACAAAAAATTACTGAAAAATCGCGGATACTTATTTCGGAAATAATGTTACCATTATCAACGCTAAACACATACTGACTGTATGTGTCAGTATATGTTTAGCAACCCCACTGTGCTGGGTATTTTTTAATCGAACCATTTCCCTTTATACAGGGGTGGTTCAAAACTTAAAATTCGTATAAAAAATAGAATTTTTTCAGGTTATTTTTAATTAAAATATATTTATTGATTATTCATACGTAATATAATAATCAAACATACGTATTTGTAAAATTATAAATATAAAAATTAATGAGACATTTACATCGAAGCGCTTTTTATGTTAATCACTGACAGATATCATCTATACTTGTCCCAACTATGTCGCGACCTATACTATTATTATAATTAATTTTATAAGTTTTAATTTTGTATAGGTTTAAAGAATGCAGACGTTCCGGAACATTTTCAAAAACTAAATTGAAAAAAAAATATTTACTTGCAAAAATGTCTATAGAGATATTTGTACGAGTGTGGTAATGAATACCGAAATAAAATTGTGTACTTTAAAGCCCGCGAACTCAAACGCATCAAATTTGCATACACATAACGCCGTCTGAGAACATTTTTAACGTAAATGTAATCTTTCGTAGTAAAACTCATTAATGTATACTTCAAACGTTCAATAAAAATTACTCTATCCAATTAATATGTTGATAACCGTAATAGTAAACCTTTAACATGTTTTTATTAAGGATAATACACTGTATAACCGGCCGCATGGATCTAGTATCTGGTCGACCTTGCATGTCATCCAATTTTATAAGCATGTGTTGTTCATATCATAAAAGTACTTATTGCACGTATTAGTAACATTATTTTTGTAATACATGCAGAATCCGCTGGCAATACCCAACCTACCTGGAGACTGTAAACGCGGGAGTACTTATGTTCTGTATCACTTTCACCTTCAGTGATATTGGTCTAAAGAACTTTAGCACAGTTTATACATGTTGAACTGTTTGTCACCTCGACGAGTAATCTATTCGACATAAAGTTCTTTAAAGACACTAAAACAATTCATTAGTACTACACCATTTTACAAGTAAGTAAGTACATTTTTATATATCATTAAATTATTTTTAATTATTGAAACAGAAATTTACCATTGTTATCACGTTTGTCAAATTATTGTTAGGGTTTTTCACATTTATAAATTATTAAATATAAAAACTTTTTTATTTTAAACAAGTACATTTTCATTAATATTTAAAAATAAAATGCTTTATGGTAATTTATGTGTATTATTTCAGTAATGTGTAGTGATTTAAACATTTTTTTCAATAATTAAGGAAAATTACAAAAATCTATATAACTAAATTGTTTGCACATAAAAAAAAACATTTCACATTTTAAATTAAATTTATAGTTAAAAGATCTCATAATGAGATTTTTTTATAAAGTAAACTTAAAAAATTACTTCTAAAAGCCAGAAATACTATATTTATTTGCAAATTAACATTTTTACATTCAAAAATTAATAATTATTGCTCAAAAAAAATTTTATTTTAATAATCTACGCTTAGAAATTAAATTTTTTTTAGTTGTTTTATCTTCTAAACATTTCGAAAGGAAAATTGAGTATGTAAATACAAATTATAAATTAATCAAATATATGCAAGACTTAATTACTAATCAAAAAAATTATTTTTAGCTCAAGAAGAGTCTTTTTTTTCGATATTTAGTACATAAAAATTGAACTAATCGATATCAAATTAACATTATTAGATTTGTATACGCATTTTTCTGAATAGAGATTTTATTTATAACTATGTTTAACACAATATCTTTTATGGCATTAAGTAAAATAGAATTATTTTTATGAAAATATAAATCTTTTTCGTTTATACTATAAGTTTAAAAAAAATATTTTCTTATATATTTCCCTCTTGCTTCGTAAAATTATAATGACTTAATTTTTTTCACGTGTTCATTTATATCATTAGATATAAATTTTCAATTTTCTTCTTACATGAGAAGTACACGACCCTATTTGATGATATAACGTGAAGTTTATTTAAAATATTACACTAATTAGACATTTTCGAGGTAAATATTTATTAAATTAATTTCCCTGCTAAGAAGAGTTAAGAACTTTAAATATAACACCTTCATAAATTTCAATAACTACATTTAAATTTTAATCACACTCTCAAGACTGTTCAGTTTACCAACTAAGCCGCGTGAACCCCATCTAGAAGTAATATCTTCTACAAGTGATTATAGTATCTAATATAGTTTGAAATAGGATTTCTGAAAAATATCTTTTTTAATTAGTAAAAATTACATTTTTTCATAACTCGATATTTTAATATGTGACTTAATTGTTTATAAATGACTCAAATAACCAACGAGCTATTATATAAGGTACTATTAAAATGCAAATAAAATTTCTATATTAAATTGTAAATAATTCAAATTTTTTGAAAAAAAAAATCAAATAAATAACATTTTTGATTTATTTACATTTCAATTATAAAAATCGTTACACCTTATTTAAAGCATATAAATCATGATGAGCTAAATACTTTAAGTAATTTCAAAAACTACTATCGCTTCTAAATTGCAAGTCATTCATGTAAATTCTAGTGTCATAATGATACTACACTTTAATTTACCATCGATGTCATTCTTAAGTAATTTTTGATGTAGTATTCGTTTGAAAAATACTATTTAGAATCTTTTATGTATTAAATAGCTAAACACCACATTATAATGGATATTTAAAGTATGTATTGTTGTAAATAAAATGGTAATGTGAACATATAAATTCAGTTTCATTGTGTTGGGTGCGGAACCAACAGTTTCTTTATTTACTATACAATTACTTAATTTATTAAATACTATTAAGGAAAGAATATTTTTTTGTAGTAATGCTTATTCGCTTTAATTTTTTCTAAATTGAGTTTTGCATATATAGATTTCATACTAATGGTTAAACGTGCATAAGAATTATGTGACATTTTGGTGAAAATTAGTTAGGGTGTTAAACTGGAAACTGAGCATTTTGTTTTTGTCCACAAATTATAAATATTTAACTTCAAATACTATCAATTTATAATAATTCAACATTTTGTGTTAATATTAATTCTTACGGCAATAAAAAATTTGAAATGAAGCACCAGAAAATTTCATAAAAGAACACGTACTATTTTGTGAACTAAGCCTTTAAAATTCGATCATTATATGACCGTAGCATTCTAAAATACAAAAAAAGTAAATAAATCAAAAATCTAATATTATATTCGTATTATTTCCACTCTATATTTATTAAGAAAATTATAGTCAGTATTCATGGAATAATAAGGAAAAATATTTAAAAACAGTTTATTTTTATATATATATATATATAAAAAAAAGTAGAAATACTTTATTTTCCGTGGCGCTATTGATATTCATTATCTAAGTATTGTAAATTAATTATTAAAATTAAATCAAACACGACAATCTATTTTTTTATTTGATTATTTTAAAATTGATGATTATTATAAATCTTCTTTTTATGAACAAAATTCTTATTAGGAAAAATATAGCAACCACTGTATATACTTATTTCTCTATTTGAAAATAGTCAAATTGACTATAGTCATCTTAAATTAAGTCATTAAAATATTTAATAATATGAATGACGTTTTACAGCGTCTTTCGCTGTAAGACAATTTACATTGTCTTAAATGACACAAATATTCGTACTACAATAACATATGATATGATATTATTGTAATACTATAGCATTCGCAAAACTAGTCAAACTAGATTATCTTTTTCAAATTTAATGTAAGATGTTCAATCTTATGCAACAGTTTATGAAGGATTTTAACCTTTCTCGAAAAAAATCGAGAACATTGCCCTAGGCATTCCATAAACTAATCCACATACGTATAAATCTACCAACGTAAACGTAATATGACTTTTTTTTATCAAGGTCATTGACGCACAATGTTAACCAAAATATATGAAAACTTTGTATAATAATAGAAAGGAAGTTTTAAAAAAGGTTAGTATTAATTTTTATAAGAAATTTTATATAATTTAATTAATTAGATTAATAAATTATTTACTTTTACTTTATTCATGTTTAACACTAAAATAGAGTACTTTAAGGTCACTGTTATGTTTTCATTGAATCAATTTAATTTTGAAGGTCAATTTAAATCATTACTATTGGGTTCTGTAATAGATTTTAATAATTATCTAACTGTATCAAAACATTTATCACTTACGTGTTAGGAATTTTTATTTCAGATGGCTGAAGGCCTTAGATTGTCCATTTTACTGGTTTTATTCGTTTTCAACTGGGCAAAGTCTGGTAAATATTTTGCTTTAATTATGAATAATTTGGTTCAGCTTTAATTAATAATTAAAAATAAAATAAAAACTTATCAGAGAAATATAACGATTTATTATAATATAGAGTACAGGATAATTTATTAAGAATACTACCCCTATTTTTCATCAATTTTAAATTTGACTTATTCACTTAGTAAAATAAAAATTGATTGTTTGGTTAGAAAACATTATTCCTAAGGGATACCCTGTAAAAATAAAGTTATCCCTAAAATCTATAAATTTTAGAGATATTCAACGTAGATATCTTATCTGTACGTTATGATAAAACAAGTGCCACTAAACAATATCTTCTTATCGCTTTTTATAAATATTTATATTTATATTAAAACTAATATCTCAAAAATTAATTTTACAAAATTAATCATCATTGACCAGTAAAATTTTTATTTTAATCATTCTCCATCTAATAGCAAAAGATATAATACGTTCCCATTTAACTTTTAAAAGCTACACCTAAAATTTCTACTCTTAGAGATAATTTTTTCTTGGAATATTATTGATATATATATATATATATATGTGTGTGTGTGTAATTCATGCTAATAAATCTAATTTAATCTATATATATATTTATGAAAAATTATTTACAAAACACTGTACTAGTATAATATTTTTTTATATCAAAGCCTTAATGGTTTTTTAAGAGAGGACTTTTGTCTATAGTTCATAACTCATTATACTGAAAAACAACTTTTATCACATCGAAAATATTAATATATTTCAAATCATATCTGAGATTTTTAGATTTTTGAGATCCAAGCAAGTGATCTTCTTGAATTAAATATATATAATAAACAAACAAACATTATAATATTTTTTTGTTATATTTAATAAAATAGAAGTCTTACATTTTTTATTGAAACAGGTTTTTTGAAGATAGTCGCTTCAGACCTTAAAATTATTATACAAAAAAGAATTTAAATTATAAATAAAATTATAAAAATATTCTCACAGTAATTTTTTCTAACTATACCTAGGTAAAAATCATGTTTTTATTGAAAATTATTTATTAAAACCAATATAAGACAATTTTTTATTTTAAAAAACTTGTTAGTTAAATTGCTATTTTGTAAAATGTGGATTTAATTTTACAGTTCAATAAAATAATAATAATAAAATATATATACTTATATACTAACATATATATTTTTACAAATACACTATTTTATTTTTTTTTAAAACCTCATAAACTTTTATCATTGAAAAAAAAATTGAAGTGAAATTTTTGGCAAAACTTTGACACTTATTAATTTTTTCTTTGTAAACCATTAATCATCTATATATACTTAATCAATTGAAATTTCTTAATTTTATACATTGTTTCAACATTTAAAAACTATCTTTTTTTATCTTATATATGATTTAGAAAATACAAAATGTGTGAATGTGCCAATGAAACAGATAATTTGCCAATTTGGTACTTCAAAAGAAATAACTGAACTAAATCCATGCCTTTGTACACATATAGCAGTTCCAGTGAGTTTAGAATTAGAAAAAAATGATGACACGAAAGGTAAGATTTTACACTAATTAATATTTCTGAATCTATTTACATAATTACTTAATTTTGTGATTCTTATTAAAGCAGATATATCAAAAACTATTAAATTCTATAAAGAAAGCAACATTAATCTTAAATTACTAGCTGCGGTTACCTTATATGCGGAAGATGTTGCAAAAAAACCAAACCAGATTTGCAAGGAGATAATAGACATACTAGTGAATTACGATGGTGTGCAATTAGATCTAAAACAATCCGATATATCAGTTGATAAAACATTAATTGTGCATTTTTTCAAGGTAAAATGGTTTAAACAATATATATTCTAAGTATGGTAGATTACTGTTATTGCTCAAATAAAAATTGTGAATTATTTAACGTAATCTCATATATTAAAAACTAGTATAAAAAACTCCTTTAAATCAACAATTTTTTTTATCAATATACATTTAATAATATTTTTGTTAAATAAATTGTATTTTTTTTTAATCGAACCATTTGTTTTTGTTGTTTTAAAAAAATATTTGTTAATTGATCAAGTTTGTTTTCTTCTAACAAAAATAATAGTAAAATTAGTAAAGAACTATGATTCATTTAACAAAAATTTTATTGAACGTATTTTGATAATGCATTTGTTAATTTTATCGGAGCCTTTCTTTAGTGTACTTGTAGACAAATTTTAAATACTAAATATTTATAGTACTGTAAAATTGGATAACTTTGATTTGACGGGACAAAATTGATTGAGACCCTATTTAAATTATAATGTCAACATTAAGATATTCGTATTAGCACTGGTAAAATGAAAATAACAATAAGAGGGACGGTGTGGCCAAGTTGGCAGTGTTAAAATTAGTTAAAATTTCCACGATCTCTCTCTCTTTCTCTAATTAAAGCCTTAAAATTGTACTCAAAATAACATATTATTCAGTACACATTATTAAGATTAAATTATATTTAAAAAAATGAAATTGTTGGTTATAGGAGTTGACGTCAAAAATGGAAAGTCATTATCGTACAATTACAAATAAAAATAATGCTGAAGTTGTAATAAAATCAAAAGAAATTCAATTAGTGCTTCCACCAAATTCTGTACTATTATCGAAGCAATACGATCTTAAAAAGTTATCTAAGTAAGTTTATTAAATTAGTCAGGCACGTATTCAGAAAGTTCCCATGGGGTTAGCACTCTCCATACAAAAATTTGGAGAAGAAAAATGTTTTAATTAAAACCCACTTCTCAAAAAATAAAATCCTGACTATGTGTCTATCCATAGTTCATTATTTGTGAATTATCATACTAATATAATAAGATTAATGATATAATAGGATCGTCGATTACTTTATAATAGCAACGCACAACCTTGTAGATACGACAGAGCAAAAATTTACCTATCATCCAAGCAGATTAATGGGTAGTGATGATCTATTAAATGCTGTAAGAATTAAAGACAACTATCAAGTTACTTAAATTTATTTGATAACCAATCAATTATTCGTTTTAGGATGCCCTGGTTGATCTTATTTTAAGTTTAGGAGTACATCATTCTTCATTACTACTATCCTTACCATCAACAGCAAACAAATTCGTATTAAAAGATCCTTTTTTAAATACACCTCGATCATCGACAGTTGGTTTGCCAACAATTATAACTCGACAACAAGTAACTAAATTGAAAAATAAGTATTTAAATGAAATTACAGACATATCGATGGTGTTTGGGAATCTAAATTAGAAATTTGTAAAAATGAGTATATGTTATTCATGATTTAAAAAAATCATTTGGTTATATTTGTATTATGATCTGAATTATAAAAATGGCTATGGTATATCCGGTGTATAGTATAAAGAGTTATATTTTTATTATTAACCCCTCTATTTTTCTTAAAATAATAATTATGCTAATAAAGTCCATTACGGTATTGTTTTATTTCATATATTTCTCGATTTATTAATTATTAAGTATTTTTTTAATTCACTCTTATAACTTATATGGACGTCAACCTAATTTTATTAAATTACAACATACATATTTAATTAACTTATAAAATAAAAAATGATTAAATCAATTAAGAAAAGACTGTTTGATAACATTTATTAACCCATTATTTCGGAAGTTTTAACTATTTTAAAATTTAATGTGTAGCTGAGGTGTGGTTTATGTTATTTTTATCACTATGTATAATTGTAATGCGCTTTACCTCAACTCTATATTTAGAAATACTAGTTCAAAAATTGTTATCGGACAGTAATTTTCATAACTAGAATATTTTTTATTTTGTAATCTAGTTAAATATGTATATTACCATTTTAGAAAAATTAAGTAATACCATTATTAGGTGTGAGAGATGAATTAAAAAAATATTTAATGATTGATAAATCTAAAAATATATGAAACTAAAAAATACCAAAAAGAATTTTCTTAACATAATTATTATTTTAAGAGAGATCGAATGGCTAATTTCAATTAACTTAAATGGATGAGATGAATGACTAAAGAAGATAGAATAAGGAACGAACATAGAAGAGGGTGTATAGATGTAGTGTCAATTGTGGTTAAGTTGAGAGAAAATATACTTAGATGGTTTGGTCATGTTATGAAGAAAGAGGAATTGAAAGCTATAAGAACAGTTATGGAAATGAATGTTGAAGCAAAGAGTGGTAGAGTAAGGCCGAAAAAGGATTAAGGAATGTTATTAAATGCAATATGAAGACTGCTAATATGTGTGTGGATGATGTGGAAGATCGTGTCAAGGGGAAGTTTAGAATAAGGCTTACCGACCCTAAGTATTGGGATAAAAGCGAGGAAAAAGAAGAAGAGTGGCTAATTTTAAAATATTAATGTATATATTATTTTATTAATTCAGAGGTACAGTTTTTTTAAATAATGTATAGTAAAATAACTTTTATAAATTTTTAATTTAGATTGTTTTATTCCAGCACGAGCATTATAAAAAATTGCAATATAAATAAAATTCCTTATTGGTGTATTAATTGATATTTTCATAGATGTGTGAAGAAATGAGGGAAGGAAATTGGACTATAGAGAGAGACGAGGATTTTACAGCTCCATATGCTTTTATGAATACTACATGGATGGCATTTGATGATAGTGTAAGCGCTTCAATAAAGGTAATTAATTAAAGTTTTTAAAGTAAAACATAGAAGTAATAATTGGAATTTGTTGTTAAATTAAAAATATAATTTTATTATTCAAAAACATATTTTACTATCCGAATAAATAATTCTTAAATAAATTATTTAATCTGAATATTTTTATGTTCTATTAATATCTTGAATGTAACGTGAATATCTTTCACGTTACATTAAAAAAATAATACGTTTACTTTTCAGGGTAAATATGTATTACTAAGAGATTTAGCTGGGATAGTAGTTACTGATGTTGAAGCATTAGACTGGAAATCATCTTGCTCGAATCAAACAAAAGCTGAACCTTTAACAGAACTCGCAAAAACATTTACAGAAACGGCAAGAAAGTCTAGAGCTGCCCAATTTCTAAGTTTACAAGAACAATTACAAAACCCAGTTGATCAAGAATTTTATTTTAACAGTAAAATAAATAGACCATTAATTATTTATTTTACGATAAATAACAAATTAATTAAAAATTATTTGTTCTAATACAGATGAAATTAGTTATTCGCCTTATTACATTGAACGCGTTGTAAGTAGAGATGGGGAAGTACATATAATTCGAAAAGACGTAAAAACAGAATTTGAATGTTCACGTCAAGGATATTTTAGACATCCTAGTGGTTGTAATCGATTTTATCGTTGTGTGAAATTCGATCAACAATCTAACTATTTTACTGTTTATGAATATGACTGTCCTGATGGTTTAGCATTTGATGAAAAAGTTGAAGTTTGTGTTTGGCCAGGATCGCTCTCCGACAGCGGAGCATGTCAAGGTATTAATTAGTAATCTATTTTAATTACTTGATAAACTATTAATAGTTTCAAAGTTAATACAACAATAATTATTATCAATTTTTAATATTTACAAAGTTCAGTTTCTTTAAAATATCAACTAGATTTTTTTTAATTTCATAAATTATTTTTAATATATAATATAATAATTTTTAAAGGTTCCAGTGAAATTGCTCCTGTTCCCAGAAATCAATTTATTTGTCCATCAATTGAAGGGTATTATGCCGATCCTGAAAATTGTCGTTGGTTTTTTGCTTGTCTTGACCACGCTAAAGATGGAAATACTCCACTTACCGCTTATGAATTCAAATGTCCATTCGGATTGGTTTTCGATGAACAATCATTAAACTGTGATTGGCCATGGAAAGTGGAAAAATGCGGTATTTAACTTATATTATGAATGTGCATTATAATTTAAATGTATTGTTATATATATATATTTTAGGAAATTCTGCGTATTCCCAAAACTTGGGTTATGGTGAACAGTCATATCAACCTTATCCACAACAATTTAGTGGATTACAATCAATAAATTCATTTTTACAGTATAATCAAAATTTAATAAATCAACAAAAATTATCGTATGGATCAGTTGACACACATATTTCTTCATACGAACCAAAATCATTGTATGCAAAAAACGAACCTCAGAATCCATTTAACACAAAAACATTGAGTTATACTCAATCATCAGATAAATTAACAGGAAGTACTCCAAATATTTCACCATTTTTTTACAGCTCAACCAAAATTGATCAGAGTAGCACACCTAGCCCTCAATTGGTACATAACATCGCTAAAAATTATGTGACTTTAAATAATTTAAAATCTGGTTTTATTTCAACACAAAACTATGAATCACCCAATCAATCCCCTACACCATTTAATTTTATAGAAACATATACGGATAGACCATCAAAATATGCTAGTTCAATTAGACAATATTCAAGTAGTACATTAAGCCCTACATTTACTTATGTTTCATCCGATGAGTATAACCCAACACAAAAATCTATTTTACCTTATAGTACTCCAGATACGTATGCTGTTCCAAATCAACCAACTTTCCGAATTAATGATTATAATTCTGAATTTAGCCGAACACCAGTGCCCGGAACTCTTTATCATCAATCTCATAATTTAAAATCTACACAATATGATTCTACTAAAGCTCCTGGTGTGCTCCTTCATCAACAAAATAATTTCCAAAGCATTCCAGTTAATCAAAATTATGATTCTCATAAAAGTGATATACAGTATCCTCCCTTAAGAGATTATGAGTTATATTCAACTACTCAAAAACCAGAAATTAAAATACAAGAGTCGGGATACTACACAACTAGTATACCAAAAATCTACCCAAGTTCAACCATACTTAACGAACCTCATTTTAATACAGAAATTAGGAAAGATAATAATTTGGATAAAAATTACGAGTATATATTGTCATCAAATGATTTTTATAAATACTCTAAAAATCAAAAACAATATTTTTCAACAAGTGCGCCATATGTACCTTCATCATCAAGCATTGGTTTGAATCTCTACGAAATTTTGTCTACTACACCAAACCCTTTGTCGTATGAAGAAAAGTTATACCAGACGCCGGTTAAATCTTCCTTTAACTTTGAAGATTATTTATCAAATGTTCCTAGTCAGTCATACCAGACAGCACCTATAATAAAAAATAAACATTTACCATCATTAAGGGAGCAAGTTTATTCACAAACTACTCCTAATTATTCTACAACGTCAAAACCTAGCATAAGATATTACAGTCTACCTCAAACTTCAGAGACATATAATTTAATCTTGCCTTATGTTCATTCTTCTTCAAAAATAGAAACAATAACCCAAAACAGCCCTAGTTATAGTTCTCCATCTTACTCGACAACTACAGCTAGACCTATTAAATTTGATATCACTGATTATAAATTCAAAAACCTTGAAACTAACGATTATTCAAATTACTCTCCGCTGAATTACATACCATCGTCTACTCCCAATACTTATACATCAACAGCAAAGCCAACAGTTAATTATTATACACCTTCGTCAATTTCTTCAACTGTTGATGATGCTTATATTAGTGATCTTATTTCAAAATTATCACATGACTCAAGCTATTCAAGTACAGTAAAAACACTTTATCAAAATAAAGATTATGAACCAAATTATTCTTTTAACATTGATGAATATATAGCGAAACTATCGGAAAACATTGAACATTCAACGCTTCGGCCAGAGTACTCGAGTGGTACTTATAAGCCAGAGGTTCATTCAAATAGCTATATTTCACAATTATTACCTACTTCGACATATTTCTCATCAACGGAAAAGCCTATAGAATTTAATGAGCAAACGTATTCAATTCTTCCTATTCAATCAACAACGTGTAAACCTGGAGCTGCTATTAAAGTATCTGCTCCTAAATTCCAATATGTACCTTCATTGGAATCTGTATTCAGTGTAAAACCTATAACTTATACACAACAATCAGAATCGTTAGGTGGATTTTCAAGTACAGCTGCCAATCTTATAGACAATTACCACAACATTCACAATTCTTTAGATTCAGCTTATCGTGCACCATATCCCAAGTATTATTCGCCACCAGTTGGAAATACACGTTATACAACTAATTACTCTTTGCCAAGAGAATACGAAAAAGATGCTGGACATGTTTTACATACCGGTTATCCTTTGTTTCCTTTACAACCAATCATTGTGGAACCAGTTAGTGCTGAGTTAAATGCTGAATTTGAAAAGTATTATATGGCTGGTATAAAAAAACATTTAAAAAGTGAAAAAGATGGAAAAGTATTTGCTGAAGGTGATTCTAACTCTTTATTAGTTGGTAAATTGGGAGCTCAATGTGATTGCACGAAAAAAAATAAGCCCATAATTGTAACTTCTACTACTAAAACAGTAATTGATAATGAAAATGATGATGACGAAAAAATAGTAAGCGTTAAAGCAGTAGAAACTAAATCTACAGTAGTTTTAGAAGAACTTAAAAAATCTTCGAAAAATAAATTATGTACTCGTCCGGGGTTATTTAGAGATCCAAAACAATGTAACAAATTCTATTCATGTAATTGGGATAAATGGTCCCAAAAATATGAAATAAGTGAATTTAAATGTCCAATTCACCTCGCATTTGACGAAAATATAAGCGCTTGTAATTGGCCATCCAAAGGTCCAACTTGCTCACATGATACATTAATTACATACACAACATAATTAAATATTATTTAATGTCTTCAAATATTCTTTCCATTCAAATAAGTTAAAAATTTATACTATTTTAGTTTAAGAATTTAATATTAAAATTAGGTTACATTGTTGTGTATAAAATAAAATAACAATATATTTTTATTAAGTGTAAGATAACATTTTTTAATTAATTAAAAACATCATTTAGGTTTTTTAAAAGAATTATTACTAATTTTGTTAGTTTACTTGAATAATCCAGATAATCATTTTTTTTAAATCAACAATAAATTAGTGTTGATTAATAAAAAAAAAACGGTAGCACAGTGGGGTCGAGGCACAGTGTAGACAAGGCATAGATGGGACAAGTATAGATGATATTTGACAGNTCCAGATAATCATTTTTTTTAAATCAACAATAAATTAGTGTTGATTAATAAAAAAAAAACATAAATTATTCATCATTTAAATATATCTAATCATTATATAAGAAATGGTGAACAGTAATGTAGTCATGAAATATTTCATAGGTACGCGCCTAAATCAAAGTATAACTCCCAATATATTACCCAATATTCTATACTCCCCAGAATTTTTTTTAGGGTGGGAAGAGAGCATAATTTTTTCAAAAAGAGGTACCATAAAGAAAATTAATGTGCAAAAAGTAATTGAAAGGTCAACTATGACTATAATTCAAGAATGGCTATAATTTTTAATAGAAGTTAATAGATATATTATATAGAATATAATAACTCCCAATCCTCTCATGATTGTACATGTCGTACGTCGGTAGTGCCCCAACGTAGACACAAAAGTTTATTAATGTTTTATATATATATCTTGATGACGAGTTCGTCGTCCGAGCTCTTCTTGAGTCCTCCCGTTGGATAAACTGATCAGCCCCAATCTCTCTAATTAGTGGACTACTAAAGGGGTAGAGTTTAGACCCGTCAGCACAGTCTAGCTCAAAAGTAGCAGACTGAAGGGTGGCTCCTTGTCAGCCACCAGCACAACTACCTTTTTACTATACCCACTAAAGGACGGTTAAGCCCAAAAACTAGCCAGCTCGTACACTAATTATTAAGATTGACTAAAGGACCAGCAGTCCAACCTAGACTCTAGCCGCACACACACACACACAAATTCTAAGAACACGGTGAATAAAATATTTGCGCTAAGGCCAGATTTTTAAATAGATATTTTATTTAAAAACGTATTAAACACAAAGTCAAATATAATATAAAAATTTAACACAAAAATTAATTAAATCTTACAAAAATATAAAGTTATTCTTACACCAACGACCTAACTCGTAACTCGACGTTTCTTCGACAAAAACGTCCAGTCTCGTCTCCCTCAGTATCGTCTCCCTATACTTTTCATGTTTCCCTTTTATATTCTTTTTCCCACTATTATTAATTTGCTTACCCTGCATTTCCCTTTTATATGGAATTATTATTTTGCTTAAGAGTTCAAAAATTGCTTACTACTATTGTAAAGCTTATATTATACTAAAATCGACGTAATNTTGTAAAGCTTTATTATACTAAAATCGACGTAATTCAATACTTCCTCATCTAATTACTACATACAATAACTTAAATAGTTTTTCTATCTTGATTTCTTAGTTAATTTTAGAAATTAAAGGTTTTACAACGATGTTTATAAAAATGATTTCTTAATGAAATTTTTAAATAATAGTAATAATAATATTTTTACTATGATGGAAAATAGGAATAATCCCCAACATTGTTATTTGATATTTTCAAATAATTTATGTTACATGTATTTAAATCATTTGAAAATCTAATGTTTATAGTATAAAAATTTAATATAAATGTTAGGAATAATAATTGTGTATTAATGGACCAAAATTATTATTATGGATAAAGGTATAAATATAAAATTATAAAGTCGGTACACACCAAATACCTGCATATACCTCCCAACTATACCACTGATGTATTTGCTTAGTAATTAATTTTTCTGCACAGCAAAATATAGTCCATAAATATTCTTTTATATAGAGTATAAACCCCCAAAAATGTAGAAAAAAAAGAACTAACAAAAAAAAGATTTAAGACATTAAGCATAAAATTATAACACATGCGGTTAATGTTGTCAATGATATCTCGAGAAAACACAGAATATACAATGGACTACAGTTAAACGTATATTTATGTGCTTAAGAAATACAGTTAATTATGGTCTATTTTATAATTTTATAAGTGTTAAACTTGAATTCGTAAGATACAGTGATATTGATGAAAACTGAATTAAATTGACACTTAAATTAACACTTTAGTTTAAGCAGTAGTAAAATATTATTTTAACTTCTACCTTCCAACATTTATGCATGAGAAAACTCTAAATTTTAAAAGAACATTTATTTACCTGGAAAATTTAAACAATTATTTTGTAATTATAATTGAAGAAAATTGAGATTCACAGTAATAATAAAAACAATATATTTAGTTTTAATTAGACTATAATTAATACATTTTATATCACATTATAATATTTAAATAACAAAAAAAACACATAAAATCATGGCTTCAAACTCAATCATTTTTTCTTTCAAATGGATCAGTCCAGACATTCATACCTAAAATTTATTTGAGAACTTTGTTTAAAAAAGTTTTAATTAAAATTAAGATTTCATACTTGATGGTAAAACTCTGGCTTGATCTAACTGAGAACGATTTATTTCTTGAGCTTTTTCTAAAAATAAAAAAATAACTTAACAATTAATTTTTAATACCTATAAATTATAGATATAATATAATGATTATCACTGTATCCCGAAGGTAAAGAATACTATGTACTAAAGTTGTAATTTTTCAGGAGAAAATTTTATTGCTAGATCTTAATACAGTTATAAATTACTCTTTTAAACTTTATTATGTCATAAACTAATCCAAATAATATAAATCAAGAAAAAACAAAATCAATGAAATATTTTGCATAAATCATGTAACCATAATACCTCTGCAAAATATTTTTTTCAAAATAAGTATTTTTTTATGCCTAATAAAATAGTATATTTAAAGTGGGCAAATCAAATATAGTTTTTGAGTTATTATAAAAAATATTAAAATTGACTTATTTAAAAGGTAAATTTTTTAGAAAATGTAGCAAATTTTTTTAGATTTTTCAAAAAAAAAAAAATTTTTAATGATTTCAAATTTAGGATCAAAATATTGAAACAAATTCATTTATTCTATTTTACTTATTTTTTTAATTAATTAAAAAAAAGATTTTTTTAATTAATTAAAAAAAAGATTTTTTGAAAAGAACAAGTTTATTTATAAATAATTTTTTTTTTTCATGATTACGTTAAAAAAAACTTATATAGCATAATTCCTACATTATTTATGTAGTTCACTATATCCTGTAATGCTTTTTTTTTTTTATAGAATAAAATAAAATTTGTCTCAAATGTTTTCTTTTATAAACTTAACATATAGTTTTGACTTAATTTTCCTGGAATTTGGTAACTTGATGATTTACATATTATTCATTCATTAATTCAATTTAATTGGTAAACATAAGTCATATTTCTAATTAATATACAAAAAAAAAACAAATTTTTGCACCCTTTAAGATTAGATTTAAAAACAATACCCTAAAACACCTTATATTTATAATATTACTTAATAAATGGAAACAACTAAACATTTTTAATTTTTTAACACACTACTTACTATATTCTTCTACATGAGTCATAGGATAAATGATAATAGGATAAGTTGCTAATCCGATAGAACCAACAAACGCCGAAATGAATGCTACATATTTCCATCCTTTTAAAACACTCATTCCTAATTAAAGAAGAAATTTGAACTTGTCAAAAATTTCAAAATAATATTTTTATTAATATTAGTTATTTAATAGTGATAAACCATCACTGATAATACTTATCACAATCATAAAATTTACTGTTTTTAGCAGAACTTCAATTATTACAGTCACATATCCATCGTTAGGACTTTTGAAATATGCAAAATGATTTCTTAATATAATCTTCAGAAATGTAAAGAGAATTAGATTTTTTTTTTGTAGAATCTTAATCTTTTCTCGTGTACGAATTATAAAAAATTCATAACTTTTTTTTAGTAAATTTACTTGAATTTTTTAAATGGCAATAAATAAATTAGCTTAACTATAAGGAATACGTCTAATAAAAAAAAATTACAACATTTCAACTAGTATTTAATAATTTAAATATAAATTGTTGGAGAGGTGTTGGTTAAGGTATTTCTCTATAGTGCTTCTATTTTTACTCAAGTTTAAAACTTATTAACGGTCAGTAATTTTCTTGATTATAAAATTTTCCAGTAAATTAAGTCTCAGAAGATGATGCATAAGACATTTTAAAAAAAAGCACTGTATATTTCATTTGTTTTCATTGAGTGAAATAGTTATAAGATACAATAACTAACTCCCCTAAAAAATAATTAGTAGTTAATAAAATTGTATATTTCATTGAATTATGAATTCACAATGAAACGTTTTTTATGATGGTGATTTTAATTACTGTCAAATACACCTANACGTTTTTTATGATAGTGATTTTAATTACTGTCAAATACACCTATACTTGTTACAATTATGCCGCCACCTAATTGGCTAGGTTTTTATTTAAAACTACTTTTTTTAAATTATTTTATCCATTCAGTAATAGTCTGACCACAAAGTTAGGGAACAAACATCATAAATCATTAGACTGGTAAGGTCATACCTTAATATTAATAAAAAAACTATTCAACAAAAACCTCATAGATTATTTGCTCTTTGATTGAGACAAGTGAACTAAATTTACAAATAAAACAATTTTAAAAAGATTTAGTTAACAAAAATTAATAAAATATTACTATTAACCCTTACATAGAGGGGTCCTTATATAAGTTAATAATAATGCATTTGTGGTCTTACTAAGGAAAATGTCTTGGATACATAAAATTCTTCTTAGCCTCTACCCCAAATATTTGGTGTTAAATTATGATGATTTGATGGGAATTTTACACCAGCTTTTGACCTGACACAACCTCATTATAGTTGAGGGAACCAATACGGCATTGTATAAAATTTAATAAAATCACTATCACTTATATAAAATAATAATAATAATTGCAATTTAATAGTTATTAATTAGTATAAATAAGTTATAGTTGTTTATTATAAATAAAATTAATAATTTCAGGTCAATATATTTTTAAATAATTATCACAGGCTAAAATAGTTAATATACACATATTTTATTTTTTAATTACAAAACATTTATTCATATTGTAAAACAGTAATATAATTTCATTTTCTCCATTTAATGGCTCTGTAAGCTTTGAAATTTGCTATTTTTTCTCCTATATGATCATAATTATAAGATAAAAAACATGATTCACACATATGGTTAACAGTTACAGGAGTTCTGTCATCATCACTAATCATAACAATACTAGCAATAAATTTATTGCAAAAGATACAATTTTTTAATCTTTCTTTTGCTGTACTTACAATTCTTGGATAATTATTTTGACCTAAACAATCATTTGTTTGAGCAAAACTTATGTCATTAAAAATGAATAGGTGTTCACAGCGTCCCAAATGTTGATATACATAAGGCTGGCCTATACACACTTCTAAATCTAAAAGCTGTGTATCCATTGTTAACACATCTTTAATAGGTCTCTTGTTATCTTCGGCCCATTTCTTCATAGAATTTGCATGGGTAAGAGTAGGTCCAGAACATAATGAATCGATATACAAATTATTATTTATATAAAATAATCCTGGTTTTAAGTCACAGTTCATGATAAACTCTAAAACACATAATTTAATAAATAATACATTTTTTATGAAAAGTTTAATAGTTTATTTTTTAGAGATATGATTATACATTATTACAATTGAAAAATTTCTCTTTAAATATATATAGCTATACTATATCTAATAATAAAAAACAATGATGATAAACCATTACCATATTATTACTATTATCCTTCATAGTAAATGATTTTAGTATACATTTAGCATATAACTGATAAATCAAACTATTAAGTAACTTAATTATTATATATTTTTTTAATAATTGAAAACATTTAACAAAATATACACATTAAACAAGTATACTATTTATTTTCATTTAAAAAATTAACCATGATACTATCTCTTAGTAATTGACTATCCCACAAAATGTCTTTAAACTCAATTTATATCTTAAGTAATTTTTATACCATAATAGTACAAACAATCTCTAAGTACACTAAATATAATTATATATCTTTTATTTTTATTGATACATACCAAATGGTTTGAAAGGATTTTCACTTATATCTCCACTAATTTCACTATCAATATTAATACATTTGATTGCACTTTTAACATCTCGGAGAGTCTGAGATTCATGAAATTGAATAGAATCATTACAGTGAGGAATAACGGCTTCATCAGGATCTTGATCTTTAATCCAATGAAAAGGATGATAAACAGAAATGGTAATCAATACAGTTTGACCTGGAATAATATTTCCTCTAGGAGTAAATACAGGAGGCGGCGTATAAATTTTTGTTCTCTTAATTTGATATAAATCACTGGAACTTCTTTTGTGTGTTTTGAGATCTCCATCTGCTGAATCATAAATAGGAAAAAGACATCGTGCATTTAAACAATCAGGAGAATCAAAGAAACTTTGGAAATTGTACTTTTGCAGTTTGATATTACAGTCATTCATTTCATTTTGTAAATTTGAATAATCCATATTTGGATTGATTGATTTAAGTTTATCAATAATTACTCGATAAGAGACTTTTGAAATTTTAACTTGATCAAAAGTATGAGCATTTTCTGATTTAAAACGTCTTATATTAATTAAATTTGAAAAATACCCTCCCAGAAATTCATGACTAAACTCCATCGGTTATCAATATCTGTGAAACATTTTTGTTGGATTAAAAAAAAAAACAATAATACCGTATGCCAAGTTCAAATAAAAATTCTTAAAGAACATCATTAATATGTACAATTATTTCTAATTAACATAAACAGCAATAAAATAAAATAAATTCATTAATAATTGATAAATACTTTCTATTATTTTACCTAGGGAATTGACAATCTGAAGTAATGCTAACAATTATTAATTAAATTATTATTTTAGTTCAATTATTTTCGAACAGAATAATTTTATTATTAATTGGACATCATTGGCTTATCATTGAACTTATCATGATTAATTAAAACATAGACAAGTATACTAATGGAATAATTCCTTAACACTAGTAAGCAGTGATAACCACATTTACAGAATAAATCAAGAAGATATGACAAATCTAATAACTATTGATTAAACTATTATTTGTATTGAATATTTTTTTTAATAATTATTATTTGCTTCTTAGACTACGTTCAAAGTATATATTTTTATTACTTATCAGTAGTAATAAAATAATAAAATTAAAAATTACATTTTTAGAATATTTTATAAAATTAACTAAGAACTCTTTGTGAATAAATAATTAAAAACATTTCCTAAATTTACTAAAATTTGCTAAAAAGGAATGTTTGAATTTGACGTTCAAATGATGCAAAGTAAACTAAAATTAATAAATCTTCCGTCCTGTATTTTTTTCTATTTGTTATTTATCGCCTATTAATAGTATTGTAAATAGATTAAATTTATCAAATGTATACTGTTCATTATTGCAGGTTAGTCAATATTTGATATACATTATTCATGCACCACATTTTCTAAATTAATTTTATTTTTTTGTTCTATTTTTAGCAGATATTGTTGTTATGTTAGTATGGCAGTTTAAAATTTTTATTTTACATTTTATTTAAGACTAAATATATGATGTTCTTTACATAGACTAAATTATAGCTCAATAGCAATCTATATAAGTCAATCAATCATAAAAGACAAATCTTATTATCAATTAACGTAATTATTGCATTAAAAAAAATAATTCTGAGGTATACTTTTGTTTCCAAAACAAATGTTATAGGTCAAAAACTTATGATTCATGAACTTGAGACTTAATTTTTAACACGCTTATATTAGTTTCACATGTATGTTGTTGTTTGTTTGTAAGTTTGTAACTCCACGCGGCACGGTTATTATGTCGCGTATGCCGTCGTCTATGACCTTGAGACTAGACCGTCGTAACGCATTCACCCCACCCCGCTCACCAGTCGGCGACAACACTATTTTTTTCTGTATAATTTTATTTTTGGTTCTCGTACCTGTATACACGTATATATACACGTGCGTGTCATGAATTATATATATATATATATAACAAATTTTTATTGTGACTGACACAACCCCGCGTCGCTTCATTATACACGATGCCCCCCAACTCATGCCACCTTTATCAGCCATCGCCCTATTATGAGTATTTGACTAACCAACATCTCGCGTTATACGCCGTGGTGCAAAGTCCAGCAAGTGCCGCACGGCCGACGATGTACCGCCGCAAATGATACCGTAGTCTTCTTCCCGTTGTCAAAGTGACAATGTCGACGAACTGATCTGTACTCGCGCACCGTCGCCATCAACGCTGCTAACCTTTTGACGCCCGAGGATCACGCCGGACATCGCGTCGTCGACGCCAACGAAAGTGCCACGATATTATGCGAAGATTATATATTCTTACCATCGCCGCTAATATTAATATATATATACATATATATATTATTATTTATATATACGTATATGTTAATATTCATTTATATATCCCTACAGCCGACGCCGCTGCCGCCATATATGCCTCGCGCCCCGCCCGCCAACAAAACACAGCTATACCTCGTGCATGATACGTTTACGTACTTAAGTCGCTTTACATGTATATATATATTTATTTTAATTACTATTAAAACTTATATATTAATACGCTTTATTCTCATTAAGAGATATATAGGGTATTTATTCCGATTACAAAGGATGATTCCCGTATCGTCATTTTACGTCACTACCTCCACGTTGCGCGCCTGCTGCTTTCCTTGGATGTGGTAGCCGTTTCTCAGACTCCCTCTCCGGAATCGAACCCTGATTCCCCTTTACCCGTTACAACCATGATATTGATAGTAACTACTATCATAACATGTAACTAAAAAGTGAAAAATAAATATAGTTTAAAAAAACTAAAAAACACGCTTTTAAAGAACATCGAACTAAAAAGTTAAAAATAATTTTTATAATAAGCTTAAAACAATAATGTAGGAAAAGTACTAGTATTATTGTGATAGCGTGGGTGCTTTGTGCCATATTTTTCGTATATTGAGCGCCCGACGCTTTTATCACAATAATACTAGTACTTTTCCTACATTATTGTTTTAAGCTTATTATAAAAATTATTTTTAACTTTTTAGTTCGATGTTCTTTAAAAGCGTGTTTTTTAGTTTTTTTAAACTATATTTGTTTATCTATAAATCAACCGAGTCCTAACTTTTATAAAATGAAAATTTCTTTCTCCCAGGGTTGTTAAGAAACATGTTTTTGACAAATGTAAATTTTGACATTTTTAGTATTTTAAAACGTAATATTCCTGCTTCCTACCTAAAAATTATATTTTAAGAATTAACGTTACTAAATTATTTTTTTCATTATATACAACTATTAAATGTTTGTGATAATTATAAAAATAATTATATTTTGAATTTATGGGATCGATAGCTTTAGCCTAGCGAAATCATTTAAGTATTATTTTTATACCCATCAAGACCTGTTAACTACGTGTATGAAAACTTTTAAATACGAGTATTAACTATCTAAATTAATTAATGAATTATTAAATTTAAATGGTAACTACCTATTCATTTTTCGACTATTGAAATATGATATTCTACAATATCATACTCTGACAATTAATTACACTTAACAGATTTTCATTTTATGTATTTTATTTATTTAAATCATTATATATTAAACGTTATGAAAATGGCCCTTTATTTTGATGAACCTGAGTTTAGGATCTGTACGTAAAACAAGGGAAATTTTTTGTCAATGTCGTATATTTTGAAGTACTTTTCAATGTTGCTAATTCCTATAAATCAAAATTGAAAAAAAATTTTTGTTCAAGTAATATCTAAAAATAACCCAAAATTAAACAAAATAAAACAACAAAATTATCTGTATTCTTGGATCAATGTTTATATCTAATAGTGTTATATTAAATATTTGTCGGTAAGTATATTAACATTCTGCACACAAAATATAACCCAGCAATAAATTCGCCTCTCTGACATTATTTATGATAACAGTTTGAATTTTGCCGCCTTAATTCATAATTGTTTTGAAAGAAGATTAAAAGTTATGTTTTAAATAATGGACAAATATTTGTATGAGTTCTTTGATTAACTTTTTACACATAAATACTTTAAGTAAAATCATTTGATGCACATATCTGAATATTCTCATATATTATTATTTATTAGCAATATTCTCTTTATATTTGTATGTAAAGTGAATCCAGTTATAAGTTCTGAAAACCTTCCTTTGTTATTTAACAATAAAATTGTTGAATCTAACAAAAATATACATTGGTTAGGTCAAATATTTTAGATTTACTGATTATTAGTAATTGGATTTATGAGTTTTCTTTAAATACTAATACTAAATGGAATGTCCGTTCTTCTGTTCCAAGTGGAACTTACATTCAGTGCAAGTTAGTAAATATATTGTTTTTTTGAATTATGTTTAATACAATAATTAATTAACACTAATATAATATTTTATAACTGTTTCATAGAAAATTATTTATATGTCACCATAGCTCTTNTAATGGACAAATATTTGTATGAGTTCTTTGATTAACTTTTTACACATAAATACTTTAAGTAAAATCATTTGATGCACATATTTGAATATTCTCATATATTATTATTTATTATAATTGTATTATTTATTAGCAATATTCTCTTTATATTTGTATGTAAAGTGAATCCAGTTATAAGTTCTGAAAACCTTCCTTTGTTATTTAACAATAAAATTGTTGAATCTAACAAAAATATACATTGGTTAGGTCAAATATTTTAGATTTACTGATTATTAGTAATTGGATTTATGAGTTTTCTTTAAATACTAATACTAAATGGAATGTCCGTTCTTCTGTTCCAAGTGGAACTTACATTCAGTGCAAGTTAGTAAATATATTGTTTTTTTGAATTATGTTTAATACAATAATTAATTAACACTAATATAATATTTTATAACTGTTTCATAGAAAATTATTTATATGTCACCATAGCTCTTACCATAAAGTTGACAAAGAACACAATAAAAGAGGACAATCTAAAAACACTAAGTGTAAAGCCAAAATAAAAGTTGTGGTAAAACTAGATTCTGTTTAACTAGAAAAACTGATCTCTACATTAAAGTTAGTATATACAAACATAATGTAGAAAATATAATAGACTTTTCTTTAACTATTTTAATAATATTTGAAATTGATTACTACACTATTTTACATATTTTTAAACACTACTTTGTATAACCCATTTAAGGAAACAATACAATTAAAGTTAAATCAAAATTTAGACAGTTTTACATTAGTTAGTATTACACTAACTTTAAATTTTAAAGTTAGCATTGAAAAAAATACTTATAAATTTTGAAAAAGATAAAAAGTAGTTTTTTCATTTTTTGAAATGTAGTTGTATCATTATATTGACTATTTTATGTATGGACAGGAAAAATTATTAGGTGTTTTTATAATTTTTAATGAACACAATTACAACATAAATATAGCAGAAGCTTTAAAATGCTTAAATGCTTTTCTCAGAGAAAATTTTGAAGTATATTTTAATGATGAAATGACTATAACTGAAGCTATTCTGTTTGTATGTATAATGTATCTATAAAATAAAAGTACAAAATTTTAAAATTATGTAATTAAGTAATTTTAAAAATAAATACATTTTTTTAAGTTTTAAATTAATATAAAATATATAGTTTACTTATTTAATCATTTTTAGTCATATGATATTTTTAACATGCAATATTCACCCGTTGAAAAATGAAATTAAATATAAGTTTTAAATTAAATTTCCCAGAAGTCACAATTTTACACTTATACCATTTTACTTGAACACCACTGAATTATAAATAGTGTTAAAAAATATTACTATTACATTTTTACATAATTTTTATTTTAATATTACTGATACATTTTTAATTGAATAATTTTTACAAAAATTAAATGAAAAAAAAATATATAGTGAAAATGGAATATCAATATATTTTCAAGAAAACCCTTTTGCTGTACTAATACTGACTCCTATTATGTTAAGAGCTCATGATTTGCCTCTAGTCATGGACATAGTTTTTGTTGATTCTACAAGCTCATGTGATCCAGAAAATCATTGTATAACTTTTTTACTCACTCCTTATGTTTCTGGTGCAACTCCTTTAGATGTACTTATAACAAAAGAATAAAGTGAAGAGTCATATTCAGCTGGTTTTCAATAAATTAAAAAAAAATTTAGACAATGCTTTTGGTGGTGGAAAAGGTCAAACTATATTTCTAACTGATAACTCTGATTCAGATATAAATGCCTTAAATAAAACTTTGCCTCATTCAAAATCACTTCTTTGTATATTTCTTGTTTTACAAGCAGTTTGGAGATGGTTGTGGGATGGTAAAAATGAAATAATAAAAGAGCATAGACAACTTTTCATGCATGCTTTTAGAAATATTTTATATGCTTAAACTATTGAAGAAGCTCATGCTGCTTACCAAATCACTCTTGAAGAAAGGAAAATGTATTGTAAGTGGCAAAATTATATTAATACATTTCGCTGGAATCATAAAGAGTGTTGGTGTTTATCATGGAGAGATCACATAAATAGAGGCCACTGTATTAATAACTTTAGTGAAGTTCAGTGAGAATTTTTAAGGAAAATATATTAAGTAAAGTTAAAGATTACAATGTTATTTCAATTATTGATTTTTGTTGTACCAATTTGGAACATTATTAAAAAAAAATTTCTCGACTTTTCAAATAATAAAAATGCAACTGTTCGTAATTTTGTTGAAAAAATTATAAAATTAACTGATTATGTGTCCCAAGAAGATATTAAATTGGATAATGAAGAATACTATGTACCAAGTCAAAAAAATAAATAGTTGATGTATTATGTTATGCCATCTATAGGTACTTGTTCATGTACAGCTGGAATGTATGAATAGTTTTGTAAACATTAAGGTATTGTGTACACGTTTTTTAATAAAGTTGGAGTTAATTTCCCTCCTGTTACAATAGAGGATAAACATTCAATTGCACAATTAGCACTAAGCACCAAATAAATCATTTTATGAAGGTCTTTAACCATTAGAGGTTATTCATAAAAATGCATTGACAGTTGAAGAAGTTAAATTTAAACCAGTAAATGTAATAGAAAATATAGAAAACAATATTAATGAAAATAGCATCTTTGGCAATATGGTTGAAGAAAAAAGTACTATTTAAGAAGAGACTTGTTTGTCAATAATAGAAGAAATCAATCAAATTTTGTTGAATATTAATACTAAGTATGGAGGATCAATCTATAAAAATGTACTAAAATTTAAAAATAGATTAAAAAAAATAAAATCAGAAGGGCAGTTCAACACATTTTTAGCCACTGCTGGAGGAACCTCTTTATCTTTAAGACTAAGAGATGGTACAACAATAAGAGTTCAGCCAACCACTATTTCTAGGAGGAAACCAGGCATAACAAAAGGAAGCAAACGTCTATTGGCAGGTAAGTATAATTTATAAATACCATTTGTCAATTAAACAAAATACAATGTTACTTTTATTTTTAGGTAGACCAGCAATTTCAGAAAACAATTGCCCTAAGAAGAAACCAAGAAATATACTTCAAAACATAACTAACTGTACGCCTAATGCAAAATCGCACTAATTTATTTCTGTTACTACATTTTTTAAATAATATATTTATAAATAATTTATAATATTAATGTTTTCTAGATATTAGGGATATCAACTCAAAGAGTTGACTCTTTTAGGTGTACTGAATGAGCTGAATCAGTATGCCATAGTACTGTGACTCGGTGTGGATTACTAAGAATTGAATTTAGTTTAGAACGTCTTATCAATAAATTTTGAATCATGTGAATTGTGATATATAGATTTAACTTACAGAAGTAGAAGTTGATGGAGCAATATTTAGGTCATCAATCGTGTCTTCTATTACATGAGTCTTTCTATTTATTAAATTTACTAATGGATGCTTAAATATAATATGTCTAATTAAATTTGAAGTCGAAGAATGATTATTTTTTAATTTTATACGACAAAGTCCACACTTTACATGAATATTATCTGCTTCAAGTTGAAAAAATCTCAAATAACACTTGATTTACTTATTTTAAAATGAAATAAAATACCTTTGTAAATTAAATAGTGTTTCACAATTTTTGATTTTATGCACAAGATTTATTGTGATTACAGGAAACAGTGTTTACACAATGAGTAAAATTTTAAATAAATGAGACTAGGTTATACATAATATGTCAGTTATTAGAACAATATTCATTCAAGAATAGACCTGTAATTGCATACAAGAAAATTTTGAAAAATATGAGAGAAGAGACCAATTTTTCCCACTGCATGCACTAAACATTAAACATTGATAATACCTACATTTTATTTGTATACCTAATTTAACACATAAATAAATCTGATGTTAATAATAAAAAAATAGTTTTTTTTTTTATTTTAAATTTACTCTTTATTTCAATAATACTTAACAAATTTAAATATAATTAGTAAAAATATTAAACAATTTAATAGAAAAATATTTTATAAATATCAAATAACCAAATAAATTACTTTTTGTGGGTATGTATTGAGAATCTAAAATTTTAACAGAAGAAAAAAGGAATCAAATTATTGAATGATTAGAACTTTTAACTTAAAATTAGCTCAACGATCTTATAGGTAAAAATCAGGGTTTGAGGCCCATTATCTCATAAAATTATTAATATATAACCAACTACTTTTTCCATAATGTACATACAATTTGAATTTGATTCTCATTTCTTTCGCACTTTAATTTAATTCCAATATATATAAACAATTAATGAATAAAAAATTATTGATAGCAATATTACATTTCATTTTACGATAGTAGTTAATAAATAATAATTATTTACAATGAGTAAAATAAATTATTATTCACATTTGTGTAAAACAATAATTCATATTTGATATTAGTATGCCTTTCGAGTTGTAATTCGCGTTCCACAAACTTCTACAACTCACAGATCAGAATCGCGTCTTTAAAGATTTGGGAATTGGAGTTGACTCAATGAGTCAACTCATTTGAGTGAACTGATTCATATCAGTGAGTCAAAAATTCCACCTCTAATTAATATACTACTACTATTAATAATAATAATTCACTGATATCAACTGTTATAATAAATAATGTGTAGCCAATCAGAGAGGCGAATTTATTGCTGGGTTACATTTCGTGTGCAGAATGTTAATATGCTGCCGGTAATATTTGATCAATAACTGTATAATGATAACAAAAATGTAAACATATAATTATTGATAACAAATTTAAAATATTAAATGTTTAGAATATGTTACATTTTGCACTGGACATCTTATAGAAAATTTTGAATGAAGAAAATGTTTATGTTATAATTTATTGTATATAAAAACATAGGAATAAAACGTTTTTATATTTTACTTGACCTGATCTAACAATTTAATTGTATAAAATTTAGAGTTAATGGTTTGAATTAATTTGAGTTTATTAAATTTTATTAAAATAAGTTTGAATTGATAGCAGATTAATACATTTTAGAAATTTAGTTTACAATATGAATTTATTTAAAATTAACTATATTACCCTTACTACTTAAATCACAATAATTAATTTTAACATAAATAAAAATATTTAAATGAGTACTAAAGTAGAATTCTCTATTAAACAAAACACTTTTCATGATAAAAAATGGTTGAAAGTAGAACTTCACGAGGCATTGGATGAACACTGTCTTAATAACTACTGGAATGAAATGATAGAAGATTCTGAACTAGTTCCCATTAACACAGATAACAATAATACAAAACAAAAAATAGGTTATTTACATTAAATATATATATATTTAAAATATTAAATTACTGAAAAAATATTAAAATTTTTTAGAATATTTGTGTAATGATAAAATTGGTCTTTGGGCTCCTAATTGCTGTATAGAAGAAGAAGATAAATTAGACACTTGTGTCTTATGTCATTCTAATAATGTATATGAAATGCATAGTTCTAAGCAACTCTTTGAGTCAATTGTGTGGAAATCAAATTGTAGTAAGAATTTTTGTTACCATTTTATATTTTACATTTCAATTTTTAGGAAAATAACTGAGTTTATAATTTTAAACATAAATCTATCATTTAAAATTTAACTAAATCTTTTAATTTGTAATTGAATTTTGTAGTAATAGTTACAAAATATAAATCCTCAAATATGTAGTTTATTTTAAAAAACACAAATAATATAACAGTTTTATTAAATAGATACTATAAAATTCAGTGACCAATCTTTGGGAGGACACTCGCCCTCTCCTATAACCATCTTGGCCTACTAAAATAGGAGAAATTACCTTTGGATAAATCTGGCAAAAAAATGATTTTGACATCTTAAATATTTTTTGTGTTCTTCTCTTGAAAATATTCTAAATTCATGCCTTACAATATTAATATTTTGTAAAAATAAACTTTTCGATCATACTTTTAATTAGATAGACATTGTTCTATTGTCTCATTCAACTTTTAGAATTTAGAATTTTTAATATTATCAGATCTAAATGAAAAGATGATTAGGGCTATAGCTAGAACTATTGTAAAGCAAAAAAGAAGGGTAACACTCAACATTTCTTTTGAAATATGAAATACTATAAGAGGTACATTAATGATTTGAATTAATCATCAAAGGTAAGCAATTAGTTTTTATGTTAAGTATATGATTACAATAAAAAAAACCCAGCACAGGGGGTGCGGCACAGTGGTGACGTAGCATAGTTGGATCAAGTATAATGATATCTGACAGTGATTAAAATCACTATAAAAAAAAACGCTTTGATGCAAATCTTTAGATAGTGTTTAATTTTAAAAAATTAGTGGATTATTCCAAAAGCTACATGATCTGCTAGTTCATTATTAATACCCTAATTAAGATAAAGTATGTCGAATGAAAAAGGGATTATTAAAAAATATTATTTCTCATAAAAAAATAATGTTGATCCATACACTTTTCAATATGTCATAGCATTATAAAGTTAAAAATGTAAAAAATAAAAGTAAAGTTGAAAAAGTTGTCATTTTAAATCCCCCCTATGGGCAGGTAAAGGGTCAGATTTATAAAAAAAATATACCAAATGAAAGGTAATGATATCATGTATCTATAGAAAAAAAATTATATTGATTTGGTTATTTTTAGAAAGGTTATGGCAATTTTAATTTGAAAAAATTTCGAAAATTAGCGATTTTTAAATTTGTAATTTTTTTGGAGGTTTCGCCCATTTACGGGAAACGAGGGAAATTTTTAAATTTTTGAGGGTAATGTCTTCAACTAGATACGATTTGTGATTTATTGACGTATCTTTGAAAAAAATCAGTTTGGTGAGAGCTCAGAAAAGTGGTAACAGACAAAAAAAAACACTTCATAGTAAAACCAATACCTTCTCAGCTTCGCATCGAAGCTAAAAATTAAATATTAGTAAAGCAATTTGTTAATATATTAATCCTAATAGACTGATCATCTTGTTCTATAATTTTAGTTTTCAAATATTCTGGCTATTCATTAGAGCTTTATCTATTTATTCTAGATGAAGATGATATAATTTCATTGATCACACATTTAACTGCTGAACAAAGAAAACTTTGTGAAAATATTTGCTATTCAACCTTATTTTTTAATCGAACTCAACTACGAATGACAATTGCTTCTCGTTATTTTGGAGCTTTTTATCGAGATTTATTTTTTCAATTTAAAACAGAACCACATAACAGTTTAAATGCAATATCAAAAAACATTACTAATACTGAAATTATAAAAAGGTATGTATGCTAAAACATAATTTAAAATTGTTAAATTTAAACAGTAAAAAATTTTCTGTGCACATTGAAGTTAACAAATCATGGTTGCCATAAGTTTAAAAATCCTAGATATATCAGAGGATTTTAAAATGGCTTGATATATTAAAGGAAAGTTAAAGATTTTGTAGAAATTTGCCTACAATTTTTGAAAATATATTTAACCATCATATATTTAGATTATGTTATTGAGAGGTAAAAGATTTAACCCCCATTACTCATTTATTTATATAGAACTTTTATATGTTAAAAATTATAGTGTGAGTTTTTTTGTTTATGCTCTATATGATTGAAATGAAATTTTTTGAATTCACTAAAAAATTACTCATTTTTAAGTCAGGGAATTGGAATATTTTAACTTTATGGCAAACAAGCAAGTTTTATAAATCTTTTTTTATGGTAAGTGACAAATTGTTTGAAATAGGACTTAATCTTATTTTTTTAGTAATTTGACTAATTAAATAGTCCAAATGTCAAAATTGTCACTTCATTAATAAACATAAAATAAAAATTAAAAGTTTCAATATTTATTAATATAAAATGCCAATTAAAGTAATAAAATTGGACAACAATTAATGAAAAAATTTTTACTGTGTATAATATTTAGGAGAATTCTTATAAGGAATTTTGATGCTAATTCTAATCTGGCTTCAGATTTTATCCACCTCATCTAGTTTTTTTAGATATTTACTAATTTGTAAATTACCAATAATTAAACAATTAAATCATTATAAACATTTGAAAAATAATATTTTTTAAACTTCTAAATATGAGTACAATTTTTACAATAATGTAATCAGATTTCCAGATATGAACTGCCCACTTCAATCTTGTGCCTTTTACAAATTGTACTATACTTTCTTTTTCATATAATTGTTGTACTTTTTCGTTTGATATTATTCTCATATTTGAGTTTCAGGGTTATAAACAGTTCCACAAATATTCCTTAACACCTTGCTTTCAAAGATATTGAGTCTATTCCTAATCCTTGCTATTGTAAACTAGGTACAACATGCATAAGACACAACTAGTCTACACTAGAGAAACTATATACTATGTATATAGTTTCTCTTTGGTTTTCCTAGTATCACAGTTGCCGTAAATTGACGTCAGTCATAGAAAGTATATTGAAAATTGATTGAAAAAAAGGCATAGTACAGGATTAAAACTCATGACTCTAGGCGTTGTAGAGACAAACTTGTCCACTATCATCTGCGTAGGTTAGGAAGGTATGACTTTTATTTACTTCCAACTTAAACAGGAAAAGACTATTTAGTAAACTAAAGTAACAGTGGATAGACGTAGTCAAAAGAGACATGCAAGAGTTGAGACCAAATTGACATGAAGATCTAAACTATGTGTTTAATAGAGAGTTGTGGAAAAATTTAGTGATGGCAGCAAAGGGCCTAAATGACAAAATTTAAGGCTTCTCCATCAAGTTTAAACATTTTTATAAACCTATAAATTTGATATTATAAAAACTTATAGGAGTTAGAAGCTATCTTTTAAAATAATATGATAATTATTTAACACTTTATATATTAAAATGGATAAAATAAGATCACGATTATTAAATATAAAAAAATAATTTATTAAATAAGGTATTTAATTTATAAAACAATCAAATTTTTGTGTTTATGAAACTTTAATCTTTATATTATCAACATGTATATACATTTTTAGGAACAATAAAGACGAAGAAAAAAATTCTTTGTTTGCTAAAATTGGTACACAGACAGCATTGAATTTTTCATTTGGATTCCTAGTCAGTACATGGCGATCAGGAAACAATTCAGATTTGTGTACACAAATGTTAAAAGAATCATTATCTTCATTACAAAGTGTTCCTGAACAGTATCTTATTAATAAAAATAGTATACCCAAGTATTGGATTGAAACTTTGGAGAGATCAACAAAGTTCCTTTTTCAAGTTGTGAATGGGTATTCAAAATAATTTATATTTATTATTTAACACTAGAAAATAATTGATTTTCTTTTTAGAAATGTTACTTTGTCTGATCCAAAAATCATTAATGCCAACCAAATTCCTGATATAGACCGCCAATTAGCTTTATGCCTCTCATTAGAATTAGGCATTCAAAGAAAGTCCTTATGTCAGTTATTACAATGTGTTCTTATGTTTTTTGATTTAGGATCATCTTGCAATAAGTAAAAACAGTTATTTTATTTAAAAGTTTTGTTGTTTTAATACTTTTTTTTTTTCTGAATGTAGGTTTTTCAGTGCATATTTATGTAACTCGGTAACAGTTACAGTTAGACGTTTGAATTGGTTTGTAAAAAAACTTCAAAAAGACACTAATATTAATGAAGAATACAATGACTATGTTAGTAATGAGAAAATTAAAAAATTCATTTTTTACTAGATGTAATTTTATCAGTATAAGTTTTTTCTAGGCTATGGTTACTAAAAGTTTTTTAAGATTATACGGCTGTTCTTTAGATCCAGAACCTAGTGATATGAAACACACTGCTGTAACAGTTTTAGCTTTATTAGATCAAATTGCTTCTGTTTTTTTGAATAATCAAGTAATTATAAGATTTTTTAAGTTATTGTTTTTATAAAATTATATTTAAAAGTCGTACTACTATAGAATGCTAAAGAAACTAAAAATGTCAAAATTTTTGTACAATATTGGGGTAAACCTTTCCATTCTGAAACTAAAAAGAAAGTAATTTCTGCATTAGAACAACTGTCTATAGTTTCCGTTGTTGGATCAAGAAATGAAATCTTAGCTCTTACCTCTCATGGCACTCTACATTTTATTAGTTATTCTTCTGATTCAACGGTAATTTTGTATTAATAATTATAAATAACTTATTTTTAAGAATAATAATTATTATTTTTATTTTTTAGAATTTTGAAGAAAAACAGTTATTAAATGTTCCTATCAAATCAATTGATGCTTATGATGAAACCTTTATGGCTATTACTAAAAAGGGAGAGCTTTATTCATGGGGTATAAATGAGTTTGGTGCTCTTGGACATGGTCAAAAGTATTCAACAATTACATTGCCTGAACAAATTTTAAATCTTCCTAAAATTGAAATGGTGTCATGTGGTAAAGATTTTAGGTAAATTGATTTTTGTTAGTTCAAAAATGTATAATTATTGTTAAAATATTTAAAATCAATGTTTTTCTTTGTTTTATATGATAATCAAATTAGTTGAGTTAAAATACATAGTTAGCTTTATGTATGGCTGACATTAGAATTAACATATACATATATAAAAAAATATTTTGTGTTAAGGAAAAAATTTATACTATTATAAACTCTTTAAAATTAATTAATTCAAAATTATAAATACAGTTTTTTTGAAAAGGTGATCAAGTCAAATCTTGTAATTTTAGCTTATTTATAAATTTTATTAGAAAATCTTTACTGCATTCAGTTATATTTTTATTGTGATTTGAATTTGAAAAGTCACTTTTACTATCACATAAAAAAAATGTGTATATTAATATTCAAATATAATAATGTATAATAATATTTTAGTCTAACGGAAAATTATAGTTTTTTACTTGACCATCTTCTTATAAAAACTGTCCACATGGCTTTATTAGCTTAGATGTGAAGCTGAGAAGATATTAATTTTACTATGATGTGTTTTATTTTTTTTACTTAAAACTGTCATAACTTTTTCAAAAATGAACAAATCAATATAATTTTTTTTTTTTAAATTTGATCTTAACCTGCCCACAGTGGGATTCAAAATGACAACCTTTTCACAAAAAATTAACTTTTGAAAGTGTTACGGAAAGTCTGACACTTTTATATATATCTTAATTTAAAGCTAATGTAATATACTTTAATATAAAAAAAAAATTTCGGACTTTATTTTGTCTTCACGGTGAAAATAGCTACCGTGTGTTATTTTTGTGTTTAAATTCTTGATTTTATATTTTACATTTTTAACTTTAAAATGCTATAACTTTTTGAAAAATGTATGATCAATACAATTTTTTTATGAAAAATAATATTTATATACCTCTTTTATTCAACGAACTTTTATTTTAAATCGGACCATTTCCCATAATACAGGGGGGGTTCAAATCTTAAAAATGCATATAGAAAGTAAAACTTTTTCAACTTAATTTCTGAAATACTGACACTTATATATATCTTAAATTAAAGCTTATGTAATATACTTTAATATTAAAAAAAAAAATTTCGGACTTTATTTTGTCTTCACGGTGAAAACAGGTATCTAAATCAATAAAAAAAATATGATTTTTGTAAAAAAATTCTTTTTAATATTTTTAACTTAATATCATTATACTTCACCCAACTATGCCACGTCACCACTGTGCTACAACCTCACTGTGCTGGGCTTTTTAAAATATTTTGATTTGTAATTATGTATAAATATTTTTATACTTAGTTTTTGTTTCTCTCATACAAATTTTTGTATTTTTAGTGCTGCTATTACTGAAGATGGTAAGATATACATGTGGGGCAAAATAAAATGTGGATCACATACCTGTTGCTATACCCCTGAATTAATAAAATCTATAACAGGTAAATAGAAGTATCTAATAATAATACTCCAACACTAATTAAAAATAATAATAAATTTTCAATTTTCTTTAGATTGGCGTATAACAAAAATATCTTGTGGTGCATCTATAAGAAATACTTTAGCTTTATCTAAAGAAGGCATGGTGTTTTTATTTGATTACAGTAATAATGAAAAAGGTTAGTATTTAACAGGGGTGTATTTACATATTTTCCGATTATAAGCATTTAAAAATTTGCTGCTCTTCATTACAGAGGGGGCTCATTTTTATATATTTTCGCCATAACACTATTAGTTCTTCCTCAAAAAAAAAAAAAATTAAAAATATTTTTCAAGTAAATCTATGTTTATTAATAAATCATAAAATAAATTGCTTGTATCTATTAATATACATATTATAAATACACAATAAATGAAAACGATTATGATAATTATTAGGAAGTCAATATGTCATAACAACAGTAAAAAAATAACTCGCTTTGTTGGTCTTCAATATTTTCTGCCCCTTAAAATATGCTGCTTTAAGCAGTTTTCTATATTGCCTGCATATAAATACACCTTTGGTCTTTAACTATATTAAATTTCTAAGGATAGTTTGATTAACTTGGTAATGAGGTAATTCCTGATGCACACTATCATTATTTGAAAATTGGTCATTAATGTCTTCTTTCACTGAAGATCAGATCAGCTTAGTAATTTAAGTTGCACTCCCTTTCTCATGTGACAGACAAACTGGCTGTCGCGGAGTATTTATAATTAAAACATCTTCTCTTTAGAGAAGGCCACAATAGCTCTTGATGGATGGACCATATAAGCAAAAATAATTTATGAAGAGGGTAGCGTATAATTATATATAATTAGGATTCTGAAGCAGTCGATTTCCAAAGTTAAATTCTGTATCTATTTTTCAAAATTTTGGTTATTTTTTTGGAAAAGAAAAAGCAAATTTAAAATTTAATAGCATCTTATGTAAATAGACATTTTTAAAATGCAAAAACATACCTTTTAACAAAATTAAACAACACTTTTTAGTAGATATTATTAATAATCCCAAAATTCTATTTTGGTAACATCAATTTTTGAATTCAAGACAAAAAATTATAACATTAAAAATTAAAATAAATTTTTTATGCACATTATTTTAATAACCCTGAGATCTGAAAATATTAAATATGGTTTAATTTTGAATTGAATTTTTTGAAATCTGATGAACAATGGTGTATTTTTATTTTTATTAGGATTGGATGAAAAATCATTAAATATAGTACCTACTATGATCGATTTTGACTATGAAATAATATCAATATACTGTAATAATGGCATGAATGCAGTGATTGATTGTGTCAAAAATGTATTTACTTGGGGTGTTGGACATAATAACCAATTGGGCCATAATAATTCATATCGAGTTAATAGACCCAAAGAAGTAAAATTTTTGACAGGTAAACAATTGAAATTTGATTTAAAAACATATAAGCTATTTTTGAAATGATTTATTATTTAAACAGGTAAAAATGTAATATCATTATCATTAGCTGACAATTATACTTTAGCATTGACTGATACTGGTCAAGTTTATTGCTGTGGCTTACTAGATAATGACAATTTAACTGACTGTAGACCAGTAGAATGTCTTATTAATAAAAAAGTTAATAAAGTAATTTGCTGTTTAAATCAAGTAATTTATTTTGTTTATAATAATTTAAGAATGTTACTTTGTATTCTCAAAATGATAGTTAAAATATTTTAGTGTTTTGCATGGTATGAAAAAGAAAATTTTGATATTGAAAATTGTTCACTATTTGTAACTGATTTACAAGTACAAACTTTGAGTACATTGGAACAACTTCTACATAATGAATACAAAGAGTATAAACTTAACATTTATTGGCCACCATCTCAACAACAAGAATGTGTATTGATAACTATTTTACATTTACTTACTATACAAGTAAATTCTCTAATAAACACATTAAAATTTAAAAAATTATCATTCAAATAAATTTTTTTATAGTTTCAATTAATTATTTCTAATAATATAAATGTTGATACGGTTGGGCTTATGAGTAATTCAAAAATATTATTAAGTATTCAACATATTACTACTGAATTAGCATCAAATTCTAAAGTTATCAATACAATTAAAGTAGCTGCTCAAAAAGTATTAGAAGTTGGATGGCATATATTATTTCAAACTCCAATTGAGAGAGCTAAAATTTTGAGTACTATTCTTCAACCAATGACATCCCCTAACAGTATGTAATATTTTAATTACTAATATTAATTATCTATTTCTTGTCATATTAAATCATTTAGATGATATGCTAATGAGTGGAAATCAAGAATTTATGATAAATCTTATAACAAGTAGTTTACTTGGCGATAATATTCTCCATTCATTTATACAAAGTGCTATTGAAAGTAAGTAAATGATTTTTTTAATTATCAGTTTGGTGTATAAACTCAATAACAGTTATTTTTATAAAATTTAAATTTTTTTAACTTTCTTATTGCATCAATTTAATGTTTAATAATATTATGTTAAATACTGTTATTTACATCATCTCACTAAAAGTTAGATCATGTGTTTGTTTATTTAATTGTGGTAATAACTAATTTAACTAATAATAATAAATAAATATTTATTGTTATTGAGTTTTCACTCCAAACCAATAATAAAATTTAAATTTAAATAATATTTTTGTGGTATAAAGGTGAAAAAATAAAAAATGTTGAAGTTTCAAAACAAAATTTAGAAGAATCAAATTTTTCCTTATTTTTTATTGTTTCTCAGCTTCTTAAGTAAGTAAATCTCTATAGAGCTTAATACTCTACTCACAATTTGTATTTTTACAGTAATTATTTTACAAGTATTTCAATTCAAATTCAAACAATGAGATTGCCTGCAGTTAATTTTAATCAGTCTCCAAGCTTAAAATTTATTGTAACTTTTCAGCGTCTAATTATAATGTTTCTGTATAAACCTAAGGAATTTAAATCTAATTATAAAACAGGTAAATATTTGATAAAAATTGTTATTTTTTATTTGTATTTTAAATTGATAAAATTTTATAATTTTAAAATATTTTCATCAAAATTTTTTAATTCATTCCTGAGTAATTTCATTAAATAAAATTTTAAATGTTGATACTAAATATAAGTGTGCAATACTGTTTATAAACATTCTTTTTATTTTTTTTTATTTATTAAATATTTTAGATCAATATATTGAATGTGCAGAATCACTTTTTTTGAAATATTTAAAACATTTTGTCAAACGATACTGTCAAGCTATTAAATTAGCTACTATAGTAGCTGGTCGTAGTTCCAAACATCATCATATAGTTAACAAAATTATTAGTATCACTGGTTTTGGTTAGTAATGTAAAATTGTCAAATAAATCAAGCTAGTTTACTAACTAAATTATATTTTTTATATTAGATAAATTATTCTTGGAACTTCTAATAAGTTTAATCATGGTTCACAAAAAAAACCCTTTACTTCTTAGACACCTAGATTGGTATAGTCTATTTTCACCTCTACTTAGTACATTAGATTCATTTAATTTAATGACAACTAACTTAGAACGCGAAGAAGATGATAATTTGTCTTGGCCAGAATTTTCAAGTATATATTTATGATATCTTGAAATGATTAATTTCTAATATATTTTTAAATATTTTTTGGTTTTAGACTATTCTTGTAATACATGGTACAAAAACACTGAAGATGTTTTGTTAATACGTAAAGCTGATTTAGAAAACCATAATAGGAATGGAGGTCATTGGGTTGTTTTCAATAAAAAAGTTTATGATATTCAAAACACAAGGTGACTATATTTACCAAATTTAATTTTGAAGTTTATCACTTTAAATACTTGAATACTTTATTTTTAGTGATATTATTTCATTTACAAACTTAATACATTCATCATCAATTATGGAACATATACTTACTGAAATGCCAGATGAGATCTTGCAATCATGTTTTGTTGGAAATTATTTAGATACTGAAGAAGATATTGTTGAGGTAGAATTTTAAAACATTTTGAAGATTCTGAAAAATAAATTTAATTTGTATTTTTTAGCCCATAACATCCATTTTATCAGAATCTCTTTTACTAGACATTGAAAGAACTTTAGGATTTTTACTAGGTCTTCATTCACATTGTCTTACTACCGTATGTCCTATTAATGACAGTTATAATAATTTTAAAGGTTGGTCTCAAATTCTCCAATCTGGTCTAGACTTTAGTAACAGAAAAGATTATGTAAGAATAAAGTAATTATTAAAATACCAATTGTTATATATTCCTCTTTTTATTTTAGGATGAGTGCTCAAATATCATTATTAAAATGTATAAAACTAACTCTAGAACTATTGACAGTCATATTCAATATAATTGTGACCATCCCGTAGAAGAAATACTTAGGATTGTTGCTAAAGTATTAGTTAAACACTTAGATTTAGTAAAACATGAAGTTATTTCTAAAGGTTAGTTAATTATTTTTATAATGAACAACTAGAAAAAGGTTTTTAGCTTCGATGCGAAGCTGAGAAGGTATTAATTTTACCATGATGTGTTTATTTTTTTTTTTATTTTTTTTTTATTTTTTTTTGTGTCTGTCACTACTTTTTCTCAGCTCTCACTGGACCGATTTCTTTTAACAATACGTCAAAAGATCACAAATTGTATCTAGTTGAAGACATTACCCTTAAAAATTTAAAAATTTTCCCTCGTTCCCCGCAAATGGGGGAAATATCCAAAAAAATTACAAATTTAAAAATCGACAAATTTTGTCATTTTTTTCACTTTTTTTTCTTAAAACTTCCATAACTTTTTCAAAAATCAACAAATCAACATAATTTTTTTTTAAACTAAAACCTTAGATATTTTCCTTTCATTTGATATAATTTTTTTGAAAATTTAACACTTAACCTGCTCATGGGGGGGGATTTAAAATTGCAACTTTTTTACAAAAACTAACTTTTTCAACTTAATTTTTGAAAATGTTCCGGAAATACTGCGTCCTTTAAACATATATCAAATTAAAGCTTATTTTATGTACTATAAAATGAAAAAAAAAAATTTGTCCCGACACTTTATCTTCTGCATGTAAACGGTTGCCGTAGTTAAAAAAACACTATTTTTGTGTTAAAATTTTCGATTTTCAATTTTTAATTTTCAACTTAAAAATGCTATAACTTTTCGAAAAATGCATGTATCAGCACAATTTTTTTTTTTCTAAATACATTATAAGTACATCTTCCATTTGACATACTTTTTATTAAAATTAGACAATTTCCCCTTATATAGGGGGGGTTCAAACTTTGAAACATTGTATAAAAAATAGAACTTTTTCAACTGAACTTTTGAAAATGTTCCGGAAATACTGCGTCCTTTAAACATATATCAAATTAAAGCTTTTTTTATGTACTATAAAATGAAAAAAAAAAATTTGTCCCGACACCTTATCTTCTATGTGCAAATGGCTGTCGAAATTATAAAAAAAATGTAATATTTGCGATAAAAATCACCTTTTATAACGATGTTTTTTGTACTTAAAACTGCCATAACTTTTTCAAATATTAACTAATCAAAATAATATTTCTTTATATTGAAACCTTAGGTAATTTTCTTTCATTTGATATCATTTTTTTTTGAAAATCTAACACTTATTCTGCTCACAGGGGGGATTTAAAATAGCAACTTTTTTACAAAAACTAACTTTTTCAACTTAATTTTTGAAAATGTTCCGGAAATACTGCGTCCTTTAAACATATATCAAATTAAAGCTTATTTTATGTACTACTAAATGAAAAAAAAAAATTTGTCCCGACGACCTATCTTCTATGCGCAAAAGGCTACCGTATTTAAAAATATGCTATTTTTTATTAAAATTCTAGGTTTTGTATTTTATTTTATTTTAAAATATTTTATTAGGGGAATAAACTGACTTTCATGAATATTATATAATTTCATTGACATAGAATAAAGTTCATAAGACATATGATATTATACTTATTAACATTTTTTACTTTTTTAAAGTCGAAAAAGTAATTTTTAAATTTGAGTTAGCTTAAATAGCCAATTTTATCATGCAACAAAAATCAACGAATAGTTGCCGAATGGGTAACACCTTGATCTTTAACGCCTAGGGTACGAGGTTCAAATCCGTTTGTGGCTTCTAAAATTTTGCATTTTTTTTTTGAGTTAGAATAGAATTTTCAAATCATTTGATATTTATCTCATTTAGATTCAATAATTTCAATAAATATAAAGGATCTTATCACTATAGTCTCCCCTCGTGAGAAGAAATTGATATTCATGTTAATATTATTTTACTATGTGGTTCTTTTTCTGGCTACGATTTATTTTGCCAACCCTCACTAGACCTACTTTTTTCAACGATACGTCAAATGATTCATTTAAGTTTATGATATTTAAGTTAATGATTAGTTTAAGTTATTACTCTTAAAAATCAAAAAAATATTCCTTATTCAAATAAAACTTAGCTTAACTAGATTTGTCCATACAAACAATTAAAATCATTAATTTTTAATATTCTTAAATTATTTATTGTCGAATTAAATTTGATATGATAAAAGTATTCAACTACAAAAGTAAATAATTTTACTTTATAATTTATTAATTTTTTAACTCTATTTCTGTGTGCTACTACCAGTCTATAATATGCCAAATTTTTTAGTAATATTTTGCTATATAAATCATAAATTTAAAAAAAAAATGATTTTTAGTTTCACCTGAAGTTAACGATGGAGTTTTACAATTATAATTATATTTTTGATAATATGCTCAATTGAGTAAATCTTTTTAACTACTTTGGTTTGATTGGTTCATTTAATTAAAGTAAATTATTAAAATTAATTAAGTTCTGAATATTTCAATTGCAGAATTTTTTTAAACACCAAAAGTTATTAGGATATGATTACTATTCTTTCTATTTCAGTTATCTATTACGATAAAAATGTAAAAAAATCGAATTTTTCTGACAAATGTACTGTAATTAGTAATTATAAAATTTCCAGATTGCATATTAATCTTAAAAATTTCATTTTTTTCAATTTAATAATGTCAATTTCAAACTTGCAAGTTGAACTATAAGTTATGGTAACAAATTCATTTTTTAGCTTCGATGCGAAGCTGAGAAGGTATTTTTCATTAAAACTTTCACTTTAAAAGACAATAAAAAATAGGTTCAAAATGATTACCTTTAACATATTAAAAATCAAAATCAGTATTAATTTAATACAATTTTTTTTGTTCTTAATTATTTTTTTTTATATGTAAATACTTATTTTTTAATAATAAGTAATAATATTAAAACTTAGAAGTAATAGAAAAAGTTTAATTGCACATTTGAAAACATCACGAAAAGTTTATTTAGAAAAGTATATTTTTTTTCTGATGAAAGTTCCTTTTGTTTAGTGTATTTATTCATAAGTAACAAAATTTTTTTATTAAAAAGTATTGCATAAATTCCTTTAAATTTGTATACGCATTAAAAGTATATGAATATACAACTCCTTTTTATTTTTATAATATCTCCGTAAAAATTACAATATTATATTATTGAATACCACTTTCATACTCAATTTAATTACTGTAATTATTATGTATTCATATATTATAGTTATAAATCGGGGTAAAATTAAGGGAATAAGTGTTATTGTTGTTTTTGAAATAATCTACCAATTTCATTTTTTTCTATTTAATAATATTTATTTCAAACTTGCAAGTTGAGTTAAAAGTTATGGTAATAAATTCATTTTTTTTTTATTAAAACTTTCACTTTAAAGAACAAAAAGAAGTAGGTTCAAAATGATTACTTTTAACATATTAAAAATCAATAATAATTTGAAAATAATTAATTATAAAAATTATATAATATATAATTAAAATAATTACTAATCTGGATATAATTAAGGAAATAGGAGTTGATGTTGGGTTGGGTTGGTTACATTTTTAACTTTATAATGCTATAACTCATTGAAAAGTGTACGAATCAACACAATTTTTTTATGAGAAATAATATTTTTTAATAATCCCTTTTTCATTCGACATACTTTATCTTAATCAGGGTATTAATAAGAAACTAGCAGATAATGTAGCTTTTGTAATTATCCACCAATTTCTTAGAATTAAACACTATCTACTGATTTGCATCGAAGCGTTTCTTATGATAGTGATTTTAATCACTGTCAGATTAAATCTATACTGGACCCAACTATGCAACATCCCCACTATGCCGCGACCCCACTGTGCTGGGTTTTTTTTTTTATGTTTTTACTTTATTATTTTATTGATAAATTTTAAATTATTTTTCTTTAGATAAATCTATTCCATTTGACACAGTTATTAAAATATTTAGTCAAATAAAAATTCAAATTCTTAAAATCAAACAAGATAATAATTTGAATTATAAAGAAGTTTGCAATCCAATATTGGAACGATGTAGGTATGTATACCTACATAATTATTTTTTATCATTTTAATTTAGTAAGTATTTAAATCTGTTTTAGATTTTTACTTAATGAAATAGCTCCTATTTTATCACATAAAGTTACCATTGCTGAAAAATTTCCTATTATAAAAGTGGAATCACATTGGAAAAATATAATTAACTCTGTAATTTCCAGCATTAAAACTAATAAAAATATAAAAAATCATAAGGCTCGTAATCAAAATTTACCATTGTATCACAATCCAAATATTAATGAGGTATATACATTTATTTAGTAAAAAATCTAATTTGTGTAAATTGTTTATTATTTAAAAAATTAAATACTCAAATTATAGCATAATTCAACAAATAACTGTGCTAAAAATCAAAGCACTTATTCAAAACAAACTGAAATTACAACAGAAGGTCAGTAATCAAAAAAAATTATGCATTACTATAGTACTCAAAATATCTTTAAGTTATTTTAAAAAAATAGAAATTAATAATCCTCAACAATTAAAAAATTATAACCTTAACCTTAAGTAAATGGTTAAATTTAGTTTTTTTTATGAAATATTTATTGGGTTTTAAAACTGTTTCAATTGTTTTATCAGATCAATAAATGGTATATTTTGTTTCATTGTATTAAAATCTCAAACAAAATTTTTTGTATTATTATTAAATTTACATCTACATTTAAGGTACTAATACTGATTTAAAAATAACATATGATGAAGAGAAAGAAAATAAAAAAGAGAAACGTATTAATATTAGTAAAATTATTTTATCATTCATATTGTCAAATGTTAATATTGATGATCTAAGAAATTTAATGCATGCAGAAGTAATTCCCATTTATTTTACTTTTACATTTAAATAATCAATTTTATGTTTGCTAATTTTTTTTTGCTAAGGTTGATCGATGTTACATAATAAAATCTGGTTTTGAATTAATAAATAAATTATTTAAAAACCCTTCCATGATTAAGTCTGTAAAATATTGTATCTTAACTGGATGGTTATCAAAAGTATCTAATAACATGTCATCTAGGTAAAAAAAATTATTTTTAATTATTTGGTTATCATATTATTTTATTGTCTATTGTTTTTTTTTGGGGGAGGAAATAGTATTTGTCATGATGTTGAATATGCAGCAGTACCATTAAAACTGAAGTTACTTATAACAAAATGTGATTTTATGCGGTGTTTTTTAGACCAAGTTAAACATATTGTCTTTAATATAGGACAAATACAAAAATCAAATAATGTTAGAGAAAAAATATTAAGTGTTAAAAAGATGGTTTGGTGCAGGTAAGAAATTATTAAACAATTTGTTTCAATAAAAAAATATCAATATTATATCAAATATATTGATTTATCCATTTTATTTATATTTATGTAATTATTACTTATACTTTTTTTTTTTGCATGATTAATTTTTTAGATTTGCAATTGCAACTTTTGGGTCAATCACTCGCGTTCTTAATGGAAAAGAATCTAATATTTTAATAAGCTGCAGCATTTTATCCACAATTAATTCAGTTATCAATTTACTTGATCTTACTACAACCCAGCCATCAGAAATAACTAATATAAAACAAGTTATATATGAAGAAGATTTAAATAAAACAAAAAGCTTAAAGGGAGCTGAAATTATACCATATTTAAAATTAGGAACAAGAGTAGTAAGAGGAGAAGACTGGAAATGGGACAATCAAGTATTATATTAATAAAAATTTAAAAAGATTGTATAATAAATAATTATCATAAATCTTATACTATAATTAATTTAGGATGGTTCAACACCTGGTGAAGGCCAAATTGTAAGTAAAGTTGGTGATGATGGTTGGGTTAGAGTTCTTTGGGATCATGGAGTTTCTAACTCATATAGAATGGGTAAAGAAGGAAAATATGATTTAAAACTTGCTCCTGGTTTAGAGACAAATGAAGAAAAAGCTGATAGTAATGTATCTTTCACAAATGATGGTGGTAATTATCAGTTTATTATATATATAAATTAATTTAGTTTTATCTCAAAAAAAAAAAATAGTAATAATGATATTAATTGAACTAGGAATTTTAGAAAATGCTATGGAAAATCCTTTTGAAGTGCTTAAATATGTGATGATCAAATTTCTTAATTGTTTAGCATTATCAGTTGCAATTTTTCCAAAAAATAATGAAAATTCTGTTCAAATATTATCAAAGTATTTTTACAGTACACTTAAGGTTAAATAAATACTAATCAATAATTGAAAAGTACCTCGTGTTATTAAATAATAATTTGTTAATTATTTTTTATTTATAGAAAAACTGGCCAAAGAGCAATTTTTCAAATTCAACTAATTTTCATTTAGAATGGGTCAATATTCCTTTATTGAAAATCATTACTACTGTATCACATGAATTTAAATACCAATTATCATGTAAACAGTGGGTTAATGTGCTTTTAACATTTGTTTCTCCATCATCAAACTGCACAAATTTAATAATTAAGGTATTTTGCAGAAAAAACTTTAAAAATAAAAATAATTTTTAACAAAATTTGCCTAATATGTATCAAGCATGTGACTTCTTTTTAAAATAACATTATAGTTATATAATGTATAATTATAGTTAATAGTATAACATGAAGAAGATAAAGTTTTGTTTGAAAATGGGCTACGTTTTGGATTTTGCCAAAATTACCATAATCTTTATTTGACTTTATTATAATTTATTTAAATTATAATTTTGGTATTATGTGTAAATTTGTATGTATCTTTTTTGATGGTTCTTGCATTATGAATAATTTTTTATCTTACTAATTTTTTTAATGATTCTATCAAAAAAAAAGATTTATTTTATAACTAATAACAGAACAAGTTTACTTATTAAACTTATTTACTGGTAAATTAAATATGATTTATTTTTTCTGTAATTAATTTGTATTTTTTATGAATACAGGGTGATCAGTTTACCATAAACCACTCGATTATTTGCAAAATAAATACAATAATGGGAAAAAAAAGTTTTTAACAATTTAAAGTTATAACTGAAGGTGAGAAGTGAGTACAGTACTATTTTTATGCCTAGTAATTTTCTGGCCGTACTGTTCTTCCCGCCTAGGTATAAAAATTTAAATAGCTTTAGAAGTTGACACACCTATAAGTTATTAGAGATGATTTTTAAAAATAATTTATATCTGATAAATCAAAAATTATATGTAACTTTAAACAACCAAAATATTTTTCCCATTATTGTATTTATTTTGAATGTAATCAAGTGGTTTGTAATAAATCACCTTGTATATAGCGGTAAAACATCATTTTTCCCCCTAGAAAAGAAATCTACAAAATTTATTTTTAGAACTCTCTGGAAAGTACTAAAATAACTTAGGTAGCTGATATACCCTAGATATAAAAATAATATTTAACCCAATCATTTAATGAAAAAAAATAATGTATTCTTAGATTCAAGCTTTACAACTAATAAAAACTCTAGTAACATCAAATACTATTGATTCATCAACTATTACAACTATTGTTGAAGCTCTTTTGGAAATAATTGGATCAACTGTCATGCAAAATAATTCTAAATATGACATTATAGGTAACTAACATATGTTTAGTAGGTAAGGAAATAAGTTTCTATTGTTCTCATTGTTTGTAACAACTGACCACTTTTTTTACTTACTGAACACTGTATAATTGATGTTTTGAAAATTTATATTCTATGATCTTATATTAATATCACATGAAAATTTTTTTAAGATGGTAAACCATCAGTACCGCTTACTGCTTCATATTCCACCACTTTAGCTGAAGAATGTATATTATTATTACGCACTCTACATAATATTTCAAGACAAATAAATGAACCAGATTCACCTTCTTACTTTGATTCAACACTTATGTTGAACTTAATAACAGCTACGGAATATTTAAGTAATCCTGTGCTTGAAAAAAGTCCATTTGTAAGTTTATTTCATAATTTTGTATAACTTAAGATTCTCTTATTTTTAATAAATATTTTTAGAAATCTCAAGGATTATCATATACTTCAATGGCATCATTGATGGTTGTCGGTGGATACGATAATCGCCCTAGAATTGGGGGAGATATTATTTTTAAAGATAATATTAAAGGTAAAACATTTAAGCATGCTAACCTGAATACTTAGAATATGTTATTATATATAAATTGGGGTGGTTCATTACATTTTTGTGATTTAAGGTAATATGTAATTACAAAATAAAAATATTTTTATATGAAATTTTCCTGAGTGTAATTTATAGGGCTGACTTCAAAAATTTCAAGTCTTATAAAAGATCTCATATGACAGACTCTAAAGTCAGTATGTTAAGTGAATAGATTTGCGTACTTTTCTTAAATTTTACATGAAAATGAGTTTTTTATTAATCCAATTCAATTAAAAATGTAATAATTCAGAATTTTATTTGCATATTTTTTGGGGTACTCTCAGTTAAATATGGGTTTTAAATTTTAATGAATTGTGATATACTTAATTAAATAGTAAATTTCATTTGGAAAAAAAATTATAAAATTGAAATTTTTTTTTTTTTCATTGAATAATAATTTATTACAACGAGACTTTTTAAGGAAAAAAAGGTAGTTTATACAAAATAATTTAAAAAGTTAAAAAATTATTTCAAGTTTATTTTATTTTATAGAAATTTACAGGATGATCCAATTGTGATGTGATGCCCTTTTTTTGAGAAACTTTTGATAATTTTACATTTTTATTGAAAGAAAAATGATTAGGTTTTAAAAATCTACAATATTACGTAGTTAAATAATTTTTTTGATCCTTCCAGTGTTACAGTTTGATTGGTGTATGTGCACTCTACCCTCACTACATGCCACCTGTGTATTTAGATTCCCATTTAAGAAAATTAAATTAGTTTTTTTAACCCTGAAGGAATGAAAAAAAATTTATTTAATTACGCGTTATTGTGGTTTTTTAAACCTTATATTTTTTCTTTAATAATTTTTAAGAAATTGTGTATCAAATTTGAAACACATTGTATACCTGTATAGAACAAGCTTTTTATTAATGAAAATATATTTTCCGAAATAAAAGTAATTTTATAAATTAACTTAATATAAGCAAAAACTAATTTAGTGCTTTATTATTATTTTTTATGCTAATAAATGTATATTTCGATTTTAAGATATTTAAGATAATTTTAGCATATTTCACTGATTTTTTAAAGAATATAAAAAGAGTATTTTCACCTATATGAGAATATCAGCATCAAATTATGTCTAATTTAAAAGAATATTATTTCACCCTTAGTTATAAAATTATATTTTCCATTTAGCTATAAAATTAATTACTTTTTGTAAAATTTAATCACTCCATAATTTTTGGCAATAAAAATTTATAAGACTGTACAAAAAATAGTGATATTATAAACTATTATTATTTTTTTAAGCCACGGTGTTAGAAATTGAGAAAAAAGGTAAACTCAAAGTACTTGTTCATAGTTCTGCAAAAATTGACAGTTTTTTCATAAAAGATGTTGAAAATATTCCAACTTGCAAAATAGCTATGGATTTCATGGTAGAATCTATGATTGATACATGGGCAAAAATGTTCTCAGTAGTAATTAATAATCAATTGTTTAAAACAGTTACTGGTTAGTGTCAAAAACTGATACTTAATATTTTTCAAAATAACAATTTGATGATAATTTTATTTTTAGGGGGTTCTGTTAATGAATCTTTTCTTAACTACCAAAAAGCATTATTAGCTGGTATAAAAGTAGTAAATAGTCTTCTTGAAAACCGAGTTTTACTACGTAAAATTATGATTAAACCAATACATAATGATGTAAAGTCTAAAAACCTATTTCAACACATCTTGTCTAAAGCAGTACAACCTTCACCGATAAAGCCAGAATATTCTAAAAATGAATTGGAAGAAGCTGCAATTAATTTAACACAATATCTTACATCAAATATGCAGTCTTTTAATGCAAGGCAATTTAAATATTCTAAATATTTTTCAAAAAGCACTTTAAACATGCTGTTAGCTCAATTATCTGACATGGGATTTAACAAACAAAGTGTCTTCAGTGCTATAGAAGCTCATGGTTATACAACTCTTGATACATTGGTTTCTTTATTGATGGAAGGAAAAAATGAAAATCTTTCTGATGTTACTGATACTTTCTCCTCATATGAAGATTACTCTGATAGAGATGAAGCTTCATTTACTGAAGAATGTACAGATCTCGTAAATTAAGAATCTGTACATTGTGATTTCTATATAACAATAATATAAACTATATTTTATTTCTAGCCTATAAATGAAGATAAAGTTGTTTTTAAAAAGAGAATAGATTTTGACAGTGCAGATAGTTATGCAAAATATGTCCAATCTGCTGTAGATGTTGGAATGATTGTTCGCTGTTGCAGGGAATATGAAAGTATTGGTATTGGTAGTGAGGGCAAAGTAATAAAAATAATGAGACAAGGAGGCCTTCATGATCTTAATGTTAAAGTAAATTCTTATACTATTTAATTGAAATTATCATCAAAATATAAAACATTATTAAATTAAAGGTAGAATGGAAAACTATTGGTATAGTCTACTGGGTGCGGTACATTCACATAGAGTTAATAGATTTTGGTACATCATCCATTGACTATACACTAATAGATAACAATAAACAAATAGAGAAAGTAAAATTATCAAATGACAATATTGAAGGTAAGTAATATTCAAAAAAAATGTATATTAAAAATAATCTTTCTTTATTAATTCAATTTTTATTTTATAATTAGAGAAAAATGTACAAACATTTTCAAATTATCCAAATAAAGAGGAAATATCAAAATTTATTGCTAATTATTCATCATCTGCAGAAGAAAATATTTTATCCCATTTATTTGATTGGAAATCTGATAATAATTGGATTAGTGAAAATCCTAAAGGAATTGTAAAACTTTTTCAGTACCACATTTTAGATATAGTTCATAAAGTATATAACATTTTTAGCATTGGATAAAATTGGAATTTTTATCAAACATAGCTATTTGTTCCTTAATCATAAAATTAAATGAAGAGAATGAACAATATAAACCTATACTTATTATAGTAAAAGGTGGCGTTTCTTTTAATATTATGGAAGAAATAAATAGAATCACGGTTAATCCTTTAGATAAATGCTTACAACTATTAAATTATACAAATAAGGTAAATAATATTATAGATTTGCTTTAATTAAAACTTAATAATAATTATCTGTTTAAAATTAATGTATTTTGAAATTTACAATTTTTCCTAGTGTCATCAATGTATTGAGATAACAATGCGTACTAATGATTCCACATGTATTGTCAATAGCTTAAAAATTGATGTTACATTATCAAATGAAGAAAGCATTCCAAATTCATTAGTATCTAATTTTGAAACAGTTCAAGTAATATTTTTATTAAAAACATTCATTTAATTATATTTATGTTTTTTTAATAATTTTACTTTATCAATGGAAATTTATAAAAAAAAAAAAAAACAATACTTTTTGAAAAAAAATTGTAACTTTCTTGTATTTTACATGTATTTAAATACCAGTTATCATGTAAACAGTGTGTTAATGTGATTTTGACAATTGTTTCTCCATCATTAAACTGTACAAATTTAATAATTAAGATATTTTTCTGAAAAAACTTTAAAAATAAAAATAATTTTTAACAAAATTTGCCTAATATGTATCAGGCGTGTATTTAGTGAGTAACTATTAAGTCTGAACCTCTTCAAAATTACATTATAATTTAATAGTAAATAGTATAATGTAAAGAGGATGAACATTTTGTTCAGATGTTCTGTAAATTAAATCATGATTACATGCTTGCAAGATGCAGATGACTCTTGTACACCATAAATTAATAAATTTATACCGTTAAATAAGATTTAATTCCTAATTAATAATTAAAAACACAAGGGAAATTTTTAGCATAGCTACTACAAATTTTTCATAAATATCATTTTTGAGTTATAATATTATATAAAATATGAACAATATTTTATGTAAAGAAAATAATTAATATTCATTTTTTTTAATACTTCTATGTTTATTAAGGAATTTCCACCTTTACCCGAATCTGAAAATAAGATAAAAGTAGATTCAGAGTATGCTGTTTTTGTTTGGGGATTAAATGATAAGGGTCAACTTGGAGGCTTAAATGGTTCAAAAATAAAGAGACCAACATTTAATGAAGCCCTTACAGCTCTTAAACCAATTGAAATTATTGGAGGATCGAAATCTTTATTTCTTGTTTCAAATGAGGGCAAGGTATAAGAAATTTAATATCTTAATATTTAACAATGATATAATGTGCAAAAATTTTGTAGGTTTTTGTTTGTGGTGATAGTAGTGGTGGTCGACTAGGTATTCCATTTTGTGGTAAAGTTACATTACCTCGACAAATACCAGGACTTAGCCAATTTGTTATTAGAATTGTAGCAGTACATTCTGGAGGAAAACATGCTATGGCTTTATCTCTTGATGGAAAAGTAACTTAAATAATTCTAGTATTTCTATAATAACACATGACTAATTTTTTTAATAAAATTCAAATTTTTAAAAAAATTATTGTTTTTATCATACATTATAGTTAATAAAATTATTTTTATTTATTTTATTTTCAAATATTTTAATTAAGTTTACATTGTACCTTCCTTCTCTGTTTATAATTCCAATGATTATTTTTTTAAATATTTATGCTAATTGTTGAAAGTAAGAAGTTAAAAAAAAATATTTAATTACTGTCTAAACAAAAGTATTATAACAATTAATTTAGTAAAAGTAAAATAGACAACAATTATAACAAAAGACAGAAATGACGATGCAACAACAATGACAATACAACTAACCATCGCCTGAGAGTCCCAAAAAAAAATGTTTAAAGTAGCCTACTATTTTAACTTTGATGCGAAGCTGAGAAGGTATTAATTTTACGATAATGTGATTTTTTTTTTTTTTTGCCACTTTTTCCTAGCACTCACTGGACCAACTTTGATGAACAATATGTCAAAAGATCACAAATCGTATCTAGTTGATGACATTACCCTTAAAAATTGAAAAAATTTCTCTCGTTCCTGGTAAATGGGAGAAATCTCCATAAAAATTACAATTTTTAAAATCGGTGAATTTTGTCATTATTTTCATTTTTTTTCTTAAAACTACCATAACTTTTTGAAAAATTAACAAATCAACTTAATTTTTTTTTTTATTGAAACCTTAAATATTTTTCTTTTATTTGAAAATCTAACACTTAACCTGCTCACAAGGGGGATTTGAAATAACAAATTTTTTACAAAAACTAACTTTTTCAAATTAACTTTTGACAATGTTCCGGAAATACTGCATCCTTTAAACATATATCAAATTAGCTTAAATTCCCAATTTTATTAATTGGCGAAAGCGATGAACAATTGTCAAATCGATAACACTTGTTTCTTTTGCGGTTAGGGTACCAAATTCGAATCCACCCGTGGCAATTAATATTTTGCATTTTTTTTAGTTAGAAAAATGTTCAAATCATTTTATTTTTATCTCATTTAGATTCATTAACTTTAATAAATATCAAGGATCCGATCACTGTAGTCTACCCTCATGAGAAGAAAATTTCTTATTCATGTTCATATTATTTTACTATGTGTTTATTTTTGTGGCTGCGATTTATTTTTCCAACCCTCAATTAACCTATTTTTTTCAATGATATGTCAAATGCTTACAATTCGTATTTAGTTGAAGATATTACCTTCAAAAATTAAAAAAAAATTTCTTAATCAAATAAAAAGTACCTTAAACAGCTTTGTCCATAAAAACAATTAAAATGATTCATTTCTAATATTTTTAATGTATTTATTGTCGAATTTGATATGATTATTAATCTTTAATCTTTTATTATAGAATTTTATATTAAACTTTTATCATATTAAAAATCAAAATCAATAATAATTTGAAAACAATTAATTATAAAAATGATATAATATATAATTTAAAAATTGATTATTATATATAATAATTATAAATCAAATAACTAATCGGAATAAAATTAAGGAAATAAGAGTTATTGTTGTTTTTGAAATAATCTACCAATTTCTTAAAATTAAACACTATCTACAAATTTGCATCAAAGAGTTTCTTATGATAGTGATTTTAATCACTGTCAGATTAAATCTATACTGGACCCAACTGTGCTACGTTCCCACTGTGCTGGGTTATTTTATACTACATTAGCATAAATTACAAATATTTACTTAACAGTAAAATAAATAATTACACTAAATTTTATTTTATTTTCAACACTACTTTTACATAAATTTAAAATAAATAGAGAAAACATTGTTTTTTATATTGTTAGTAATTAACTATTCTAATAGCTTATTTTTTTACTGAATAAATAAAAAATAATTTTACTGTGGCTTTGATTTTCAAATTTTATTTTCATAAAATTAAACAAGGTGTTATCATGGGGAGATGGAGAAGATGGTAAACTTGGACATGGTAATACTACAACTCTAGACTCGCCAAAAATCATTGAAACACTACTTGCAAAAAGAGTAGTCTATATAGCATGTGGAAGTGCTCATAGTGCTTCAATTACTTCTGATGGAGAACTTTATACTTGGGGTCAAGGCCAATATGGTCGTTTAGGACATGGAGATGAAATTTCTCAATATACACCAAAACTTGTAAGGATTTTTGTTTTACATAACTTATAGCTAATAACACTTAATAAGAGTAATTAAATATAGGTTATTAATATGTATAATTATTTTAACAAGGTCAAAGAACTTATTGGGAGAAATATTATTCAAGTGGCTTGTGGTAGCCGTGATGCTCAAACTCTTGCATTAGACTATGATGGTAATGTTTATTCGTGGGGTGATGGTGATTTTGGTAAACTTGGTAGAGGAGGTAGTGATGGTTGCAGTACTCCTCAAAAAATAGAAAGACTAGTTGGACACAGAATTGTACAAATCGAATGTGGCGCCCAGTTTTCAGTTGCATTAACTGCTACTGGACAAGTAAGTTGTATATGAATCTCTTATTTAAGAAACTATGTAGGTCACAAAATTTTGATAAATAATTTTTCTAGTACATTATATTTTTTGACAAATTATTTTTAAAAAATTTTTAAAAACTTCATACGTTTGAAAGTTCTTCAAAAAGTTTTAAATGAATATGCGTACATGAAAATAAACATGTATCTAGTAGCTGATTAACTTCCAAACTTATTAAGTTTTTAAATATTTTTCAAAAATTATGTGTCTGTTCATAAAAACATAATACACTTGAAAACTCGTTTATCAAAATTTTGTGACAGTTTCTTGAATTAGTAGTTTTTAAGTATAAATAATAAAAATAAAATGATTAAAAAAACGCATGTGGTTTTGACACATCAAATGAAATTTTATATTTTCTAAATTATAAAATATTCTTGTTAAAAATACCAGATAAATGACGTATGTATAATATACATCATTTACATATTATGTAAAGTTATTTTAGTTATTTATATTATTTTAAAATTAAGATTTGAAAACTTGATTAAAAATTGAATGAAAATATGATAAATAATAAAAAAATATTTTTCAAAAATACATTGGAATATTAATTTTTAGATTATAACACTTATAAAGGAATTACAGTACAGGAAACTGTACTATGATTTGGCAATATAAAACTAAAAAAAGATAATAATTTTACCCCAGAAAATTTAAACATATGATCACATAGATATAAAAATGTCTTCCTAACAAAAACATTTGAAATGGTTGCATAAACTTTAATTTTATTCTAAAAAACCCAGCACAGTGGGGTGGCGGCACAGTGGGGTCGTGGCATAGTTGGGTCCAGTATAGATGATATCTGACAGTGATTAAAATCACTATCATAAAAAACGCTTCGATGCAAATCTGTAGATAGTGTTTTAATTAAAAAAAAAAAAATTTTGTTAAAATAGCATATTTTTGAATATGGTAGCCATTTGCGCATAGAAGATAGGTCGTCGGAACAAATTTTTTTTTTTTTTTTTATAGTACACAAAATAAGCTTTAATTTGATATATGTTTAAAGGACGCAGTAATTCCGGAACATTTTCAAAAATTAAGTTGAAAAAGTTAATTTTTGTAAAAAAGTTGCTATTTTAAATCCCCCCTAATGAGCAGGTTAAGTGATAGATTTTCAAAAAAATGATATCAAATGAAAGGTAAATATCTAAGGTTTTAGTAAAAAAAAAAATTATGTTGATTTGTTGATTTTTCAAAAAGTTATGGAAGTTTTAAGAAAAAAAAGTGAAAAAATTTCGAAAATTATCGATTTTTAAATTTGTAATTTTTTTGGATATTTCCCCCATTTGCGGGGAACGAGGGAATTTTTTTCAATTTTTAAGGGTAATGTCTTCAACTAGATACGATTTGTGATCTTTTGACGTATTTTTGAAAGAAATCGGTCCAGTGAGAGCTGAGAAAAAGTGGCAACAGACATAAAAAAAAAACACATAATAGTAAAATTAATACCTTCTCTGCTTCGCATCGAAGCTAAAATAACTTTAATATGCTATCTCCTATTCTATTTTCCCTGCATTTTTAAAACGGTGAAATTATTATTACCTATTTTATTTAACTCTTATAGATAATGTTTTGTACCTTTTATAAAGCCTTAATAGTTTATAACACATAACTTGAACCAATTGCTTGTGATACTGTGGTCATTAAAAAAAACAGAACTTAATAGATATGCTATGATCACCTTTAATATAGAGGAATAAATTGATTTTTTGGGTTATCTTGATTTTTAGAATTACTACCAACATCAATTCTAAAATTTGTAATTTATTTTCTATCTATTTGTGGAGTTTGGTGAGAACTTAAAGGATAATTCCTCCCAAAAATATTATTTGCCTCCTCCCCAAAATAATATTTAGAAAAAATACTGTTTTCATATAAAAGTATTTCTAAAATTGGACAGTAAAATTAATTTTTCCAAAAATGTTTACTAACTTGATCTTAGTATAGTTTTTATTGTTAAGTTTTTAACTAATATTCCTTTGATTTAACATTAATGAATATTTGAAATTAATAATGTAGCAATTATTTGATTTTGAATTATTCAACATTTTCTACATTTTTAAAAAACCTTGATTGTGTTGGATTGGTGCATGCCTTAGACATTTTCTTGTAAATATTTTTTAAGTCATTAGTAGTAGCTCAATGTACATAGCATGTTTTACACATTACTTACTTTAGGATTAACTTCCTAAAATATTTTTCTTTTAAAACTTTTTTTAACCACAGCACGTTATTGATTTCAAGTCTTTAAATGTTAATATTATTTTATAGGTATGGACTTGGGGTAAAGGTGATTATTATAGACTTGGTTTAGGGAATGATGAACATGTCAGAAGACCAACACTAGTTAATCAGTTGAAATTAGTAACAGTAGATTATATAGCTGTTGGAACTTTACATTGTATTGCAGTGTCTACACAAGGAGAGGTAAATTTCCATTATTAATATGATTTATTCATGGTGAGAAAATACTCATAAATAATGAGTTGAAACTTGTTTTAAAAATAGAAAGGGTTTAAGTTTTTTAAATGAAGAACCATAAAGCTATTTTTTCTATTAATTGTAGTTTTATCTTAAATTTGTTTTTTATTTGAAAAATGAAGATAAAGTACTAAATTTAAAAAAAGGTGTCATCAAACAATAACTAAATGGAGTTTTTGTCCTTTTTTTTTTTTTGGCTCATTCACTGCTTTTTAATACAACTAACCTAGCCAAAAAATGTCTCAAGGAGATACTACAGTATTCTAGTACCATCCCANAAAAAATGTCTCAAGGAGATACTACAGTATTCTAGTACCATCCCATTAGACCCACCTCTGCTCTATGTTTTTAAATATCATACTTACATAGCATTAATTTTATATTTATTTAAACCAAGATTCTATTAAAGTAATACTTAACTAGTAACCATTTTTTTATAGATTGCTTAATAACAGCTGTATTAAAATGTTTATATTATAATATGTATAATAAAAATTATATTATATTATCTTTCTAAATGATATGTACTGTTGATATTATTTGTAATTATTATATAAGTCAAAGAATCTTTCTATTTTCATTTTTTTAAATATTTTTTATATTATTTATTTTTGTCTTACTATTGATAAAAAAATGTCTAAATAATTTTTAATTCAGTATCTAAAAATGTAGTTTATTAAAAAAAAAAAACGGTAGCACAGTGGGGTCGAGGCACAGTATAGACGTGGCATAGATGAGATAAGTATAGATGATATCTGACAGTGATTAAAATCACTATCATAAGAAACGCTTCGATGCAAATCTGTAGATAGTGTTTCCTTTAGAGAAATTGGTGAAATATTTTAAAAGCAACATGAACTCTTATTTCTTTAATTATATCCTGATTAGTAGTTCTTTGATTTTAAAATATAATATATGAATAAATACTAATTATAGTTTTTAAATTTAGTATGAAATTGTGAGGCCAGCTATGATGTATGGTTAATAGTGTTGGGCGGTTGATAAGAAAGTAGAGCAGAGAATAAGTGTAGCAGAGATGAGAATGCTTAGTTGGATGAGTGGAGTGACTAGAGAAGATAGGATAAGGAACGAGCATATAAGAGGAAGTATAGGTGTTGCGTCAATCGTGGATAAGATGACAGAAAATAGACTTAGATTGTTTAGTCATGGTATGAGGAAAGAAGAATCGAAAGCTGTAAGAACAGTTATAGAAATGAATGTTGAAGGAAGAAGAGATAGAGGAAGACCAAAAAAGAGATGGAGGGATGCTATTGAATGCGATTTGAGGACAGCTGATGTGAGCGTAGAAGATGTGGGAGATCGTGTCAAGTGGAAGCTTAGGATAAGGGTGCCCGACCCCAAGTAGTTGGGATTAAGGCAAAGAAAAAGAAAAATATTACCAGATATTCCGGTGGCAATTGACATAATATGATTGTTATTTCGGAATGTACAATTTAGCGTTTAGTTGGGTTTAAATAATATAGCGTCAAATCAATTACCTACTCTATCGGTTGTATCTCAATATACACTACACTTTAATGATACAATAAATAAATAAACTCACACATACACACATATGCATTTATAACATTGTGTCTAATGTAAGTATAACATGATAAAAAGTAACCGTAAAATGAAAAAAATGGAATATAAATTTTATTACTCATATTAAATGTAATGTAACTCGAAAAATATTTGTTTAAATGAAAAAATATAAGATTATATTTTTATTTATAATTGTCTTTTAAACAACTTTTGTGCGAAACTTTTTTTTGTAAGTTAAATATTTTTTTTTGAGAAAATTAAGAAAGCTCATATTTTTGAACTTTTGCGAGGATTTAAAAAAAAAGCTCAATTCCAATCTTGAGGACTATTAGTATGTCATTATACATATTTTAATTCAACTTTTAAAAAAACAAAATTTTTTCCGCAATTTTTCCTTTGTTGACAGGCCTAGATGTCAATTTTAAACTTGTAATTGAGCTAAAAGTTATGGTAATATATTCAATTTATTTTACTATAAACTTTCATAAATCTTTATCAAAAATTTTTCATCAACTTTAAAGAACCAAAAAAATAGGTTAAAATTGAAAATTTGGACTGATTATTTTTAACATATTAAAAATCAAATCAGTAATAATTTGAAAACAAATTTTTTTTTCTTTTAATTATTATTTTATATATATAATTAGTAATAATATAAAAAATTAGAAGTGATAGAAATAGTCTACTTGCAGATTTGAAAACAACGCGAAAATTTGATTTAGAAAAGTATATTTTTGCTTCTGATGAAAGTTCCTTGTAGTCCAGTGCATTTTTTTATAGTAACAAACAGTTTTTATTGAAAATTATTGTATCAAGCCCTTTAAATTTTTATACACGTAAAAGTAAAGCAAAATATAACTTCTTTATTATTTTTATAATTTCTCCGTTTAAATTACAATATTAAATATCAATTTCATACTAAATTTAATAATTATAATTAGTATATATTCATATATTATATTTTAAAATCAAAGAACTACTAATCATGATATAATTAAAGAAATAAGAGTTGATGTTGCTTTTGGAATAATCCACCAATTGCCTAATTAAAACAAAAAAAAAAAAAGTTTGTTGGGAATTTTTTCTGCTATTCTGCAAAATTACTCCTTCGTTGACTAGAATGAATCATTAAATAGAAAATTTTATGAGAATTAAAACAATGTTATTTTTAAGATTAATATGCAGTCAGAAAGTTTTATAATTATTATTTATTGTAAATTTATCAGAAAAACTCATTATTTTTTGCATTTTTATCGTAATAGAACACTTAAATAGAAATCATAGTAATCATTTCTAAGTAATTTTTGATATTTAAAAAGATTCTACTATTGAAATATCCAGAACTGAATTAATTTTAATGATTTACTTTAACTAAAAAAAAAAAAGTTAATATTTTGAATCCCTCTTGTGGGCAGGTAAAGGGTTAGATTTATAAAAAAAACCAAATGATAGATAAAGACATGCATCTAAATAAAAAAAAATATACTGATTTGGTCATTTTTGATAAAGTTATAACAATTAACAAAGTTATAAGTTTTATACACTGGACTACAAGGAACTTCCATCAGAAACAAAAATATACTATTCTAAATCAACTTTTCGCGATGTTTTAAAATGTGCAATTAGACTTTTTCTATAACTTCTAAGTTTTAATATTATTAAAAAATAGTTTTTACATATAAAAAAAAATAATTAAGAACAAAAAAAATTGTTTTAAATTAATACTGATTTGATATAATATTTAATATTAATTTGATTATTAATAAGTTAAAAATAAGGAAAATGACATATTTAACCTATTTTGTTAATCGTTTAAAGTTGATTGTTGTAAATGTTTATAATAAAAAAAAAAAATTTATTTTACCATAACTTTTAGCTCAATTGGTAAGTTTGACATTGACATAATTAAATAGAAAATTTTATGACAATTAAAAAAATTGTATCGTTAAGATCAATATGCAGTCAGAAAGTTTTATAATTACTATTTATTGTAAATTTATCAGAAAAGCTCAATATTTTTTTGCATTTTTATGGTAATAGATAACTTAAATAGAAGTAATAGTAATAATTTCCTAGGAACTTTTGTTGTTTGTTGAAAAGATTCTATAATTGAAATATTGAGAACTTAATTAATTTTAATGATTTACTTTAACTAAATGTACCAATCAAAACAAAGTTGTTAAAAAGATTTACTCAATTGAGTGTATTATAAAATTTGATTATATTTGTAAAAATCAATTGTTAATTCAGGAGAAAAAACAATCATTTTTTTTAGAAATGATTTATATAGCAACATGTTACAAAAAAAAATTGTAATATTATAGTCTAGTAGTAGCACACACAAATAGAGTAAAAAAATTATTAAATTACAAAGTAAAATGATTTAATTTTGTAGTTGAAACCTATCATATCAAACTTCATTCGTTAATAAATATTTTGAAAACATTAGAAATTAATGATTTTAATTGTCTTTATGGAGACGATGTAATAACTAACTGTTTAATTGATAAATTAGAATTTTTTTTTCAATTTTTGAGAGTAATATCTTCAACTAGATACGAATTGTAGTAATTTGACGTATTGTTGAAAAAAGTAGGTCAAGTTAGAGCAGAGAAAATAAATGATAGTCACAAAAAAATATCTTCTCGGCTTTGCATCGAAGCGAAAACTTAAAATATAGTAAAATAATTTTAATACGAATAAGAAATTTCTTCTTGCAAGGGGCGACTAAAGTGATGGGATCCTTGATCTTTATTGAAGTTATTGAATCTAAATGTGATAAAAATCAAACGAGTTAAAATTTATACTAACTTAAAAAGAATTAAGAAAAAATGCAAAAAATTCATTGCCATATGCGGGTTGGAACCTCGTACCCCAAGCGTGTAAAACATAAATTTTACCAACTCGGCAACCGTACGTTGCTTCCGGCGGTTGAAAAATTGGCTATTTAAGCTAGTTCAAATTTCAAAGTTATTTTTCTCGACTTAAAAGAAACAAACATATTTAAATAAGTTTAACTATCTATACTATATCAATTTTAATTTATATAATATTTATGAAAATCTGTACTCCCCTTGTCAGGTATTTTAAAATAAAATAAAATACAAAACCCAGAATTTTAACACAAAAATAGCATATTTTTGCATACGGTAGTCATTTTTACCATGAAGACAAATCCAGAGGTCAAATTTTTTTTTTTCACATTAAAGTATATTACATAAGCTTTAATTTAAGATATATTTAAAAGTGTCAGTATTTCCGGAATACTTTCAAAAATTAAATTGAAAATATCGTAGTAACAATACGCATGTTTAAAGTTTTGACCCCCCTTGTTAAAGGGGTATGATCCGATTTACAAAAAAAGCGTGCCAGATGAAAGGGGTATATCAATATTTATTATAAAAAAATAATAATATAGATCCATACATTTTTCCAAAAGTTATATAAAATATAAATTAAATAATATAACATATAAAATCGAGATTTTTTTCACGGAAATCGTACGTTTTTCTTTAACTTTGATGTCCGTTTTCACCACGAAGACAAGTCCAGAGGTCAAATTTTTTTTTTTCAAATTAAAGTATATTACATAAGCTTTAATTTAAGATATATATAAAAGTGTCAGTCTTTCCGGAACATTTTCAAAAGTTAAGTTGAAAAAGTTCTACTTTCTATACGCATTTTAAAAGGTTTGCACCCCCCCTGTATAAAGGGAAATGGTCCGATTTTAAAAAAAAGTATGTCGAATGAAAGAAGTATATATAAAGTATTTATCATTAAAGAATAAAGTTGATTCATGCATTTTTTAAAAAGTTATAGCAACATAATGTTAAAAAATGTAAAATATAATATCAAGAATTTTTTCACAAAAATAGCATATTTTTGCATACGGTAGTCATTTTCACCATGAAGACAAGTCCAGAGGTCAAATTTTTTTTTTTCAAATTAAAGTATATTACATTAGCTTTAATTTAAGGTATATATAAAATTGTCAGTCTTTCCGGAACATTTTCAAAAGTTAAGTTGAAAAAGTTAATTTTTTGTAAAAAAGTTACCATTTTGAAACCCCATCCTTTGGGCTGTTAAAGGGTCAAATGTTCACAAAAATATATAAAATGATAGGTAATTATCTAAGGTATCTATAAAAAAAAAAATTATATTGATTCGGTCATTTTTAAAAAAGTTATGGCAATTTTAAGTAAAAAAAATTGAAAAAATATCGAAAATTAGCGATTTTTAAATTTGTAATTTTTTGGGGGATTTCCCCCGTTTACGGGGAACGAGGGAATTTTTTTCAATTTTTGAGGGTAATGTCTTCGACTAGATACGATTTGTGATCTTTTGACATATTGTTCATCAAAATCGGTCCAGCGAGAGCTGAGATTGAGCGTTCACAGACACAAAAAAAAAAATAAAAAAAAAAAAAAAAAAATAAAAAAACACATCATAGTAAAATTAATACCTTCTCAGCTTCGCATCGAAGCTAAAAAAACAGTACAGTGAGAACCTGAAAAAAATGAAAATATTTTAATCAAAATTTCAAATTTTAGTAGCCGAATTGACAAATCAGGACATTTCCTTTTTAATATTATAGTATACTTCAAATGCTTTAATTTGATATAGGTTAATAATCGACAAAAGTCTGGAACATTTTCAAATATATTTATTAGTCTCGATTAAATGCTTCCTATACTTAAGTTTTATGTTTGATTTACATAAAATTCATACCAAAAGAAAGTTCATTTTTTCTATTGTATTATATTAACATTTGTATTTTTAAAAAAAGTTATAGTAGTTTTGAAATGCAGAAAAAATTCTGAATATGTAAATTTTTTACATATTTTTGAGATATGTTTTTTCAGTTGAGAGGATTTTTTTAAATTTTCGTTACTAATAAGTTGAACTAGATTAAAGGTTCTTTTAACAAAGAAATTATCAAAATTGGATTGATGAGAGATGATTATTTTTATGGACAGAGACAAAAAAGACATATGGTAAATTAATACCTTTTCGTCTTTGTAAAGAAGCTAAAAATTAACTGAATAAAAAAATGAACAAAACTAGTTTAAATTTAAAAAGAATTTACCAGCAATATAATTCTTTTATTTTTCAAATAATATTTTATAGGTCTATTGTTGGGGTGATAATGATCATGGGCAACAGGGAAATGGTTCTACATGTGCAAACCAAAAACCTAAAATAGTTACTAATTTTAACAATATTAAAGTGAATCGTGTTGGATGTGGATCTTCTCAATCTATTGCATGGAAATGTCCAGAGCTACCATTATTAATGTCAGATGAACCTATTCAATTTACACGACTAAAAGATTCTATGGGTGCAACTACTTTAAGTAATATTTCCCTTTTATATTTTTACATTCATTTAAACACATTTCTATTTTTACTAGATCAAAATGAAAATAATAAAATAAATAATGAAGATGATCAAAATAATATTGAAAGAGATTCATTATCTAGAACAATATTATCATTAGATTCAGATGCAGCTAAGCAAAATGCTTTGCAACATGTTTTAAATGCCTTACGAATTACTTTAGCCCGAGAAATTGTCTTAGCTACTCTAATGTCAAATTCTGGTAATAGTAAATATAAAAATAATTCTTTTAGTATGGATATATAATTATTATTGATCGTTATTTACTTTTAAGATATTGATATAAAAATATCTGAAGACATTATCAAATCAGATCAAGGAGGTGGCGAAGCACCAGCTCCTATTTCAGAAGCAGACCCATTTCTCATGGTAGTACTTTTTTTTTATTAATATTGATCTACCCATTTTTTTTCTCAATTTTTTTTTAATTATATAGAACCAAGTTATTACACCTGACAGTATAGAAAGCTCTCTACAAATGCATTCATCACTCACTGCTTCAGCTAGTACATTATCTTCCAAAGCTACAAATACTATGTCCATAGTAGCAGCTACTATAAAATCAAAGAACCAAGTATTTAAATTTATAATTTTCTATCTCTTCAATATGTATAATTTCATCAATTTTATAAAAAGTATATTCATTAATGTTATTTTTTTTAGGTGATTGGTTTAAATGACTCATCATTACTAAATCTAAAAAAAATTGATGAATTCTTGAATGTTTTAAATGAAAAAGATATTAGACTTTTATTAGATTTGTTAAAGTTAGCATTTGTCAATAGATTTAGTTCTAATGCTGATAAAGTATTGATTAATACATTGATTGGTAATAAATTATATTTTCAACAAAATTATTCAATAAGATTTTTTAACTATGTTTAGAGGTATTTTTTCTCATTTTATAAATATTAAATTTTAAATTCAATTCTTATCCCTTATAGAAATATAAAATTGATTTTTTATGTAGTAATATACATATAAAACCAGTTTAAAAATCAAATAATAGTCTATTTAAGAAAATTGCTGTCATTATCAACTTTTAAACAATCATTTAAAAGATATGTATACTTTCTAATGCTTGTTCAAAAGATATTATTGGCTTGACATTATTTTAATTAGACTATTAGATCTAAAACATGATAAATCCTTTAAATCCTTTAAAATTAAGAAATAATTGCTACTAACAAAGCCAAGAAAAAATATTCTCAAAACTATTGTTATTTTAAGAAAAATCTAGAGATTAATAAGAAATCAATCACTGTAGTAGAATATATAGATGTCATAATTTATTGTATTCTTTTCTATTTCAAAGCTTATATACATGCAAATTTACACGTAAATTTATTATTGGAATACTGTGTATCAGAAATGGAAGCAATTTATACTCATTGTTCATTTTTGGTATCTCCACCTTCAAAGCATGTTGTACAAGAAAGTACTCATCCATATCAAGATGATTCTTATCTTTCTGGATATGTGTCTATACCAGGTTTTTATTCTATATTTCACTAATAGTACTTCAGTAAATATTTACAAGATATAAGCTCAATCCAGAAAATTTGCAACATAATTTTAGTTTTCACAAAAATTATCATATTTAAACTTTCAAATAAACTTACAAATGATTATCTATCAAAATTTCTAAATAAATACTATTTTTGTTTATCAAAATTTATAAATAAATATTATTTTTGTAGGTGCTATTGCATTATACATAGAGTTTAATCCAAATTGTTCTACTGAAAAACTTAAAGATACCTTAACATTAATGGATGGATCTGAAAATGTAATTAGTGTACGATCAGGCAGGGATTCTGAATGGTCCACTCCGTTATTTGTTCAACGTATATTTTTTAATTTAGATTGTTTTGAATGCTTTTATCTTATTAAAAAACCTTTCTAGGTGATGAACTTCATTGGAAGTTTATGAGTGATAAATCAGTAAATGGTTGGGGTTGGCGATTTGTGGTTTATCCTATAATGCCTTTAACAAGACAAAGTGGTACTGATCGTGAAGTCTTTTCCAGACCATGTTTGCCTATAGTTCAAAATTTGCTGCAAGAATGTTTTAAAAGACAGAATAATATTCCACTTACGAAACGATTAACTGCTACATTAATGCTTTCATTGCATTTGACAACATTAAGTATAAATAAGAAATTTTTGTCCTCAGTTTTTTTTTTTTTTTTTTACTTATAATTTTTGTGTAAAGCTCTTGAAGAAAGAATCTGGTGTGTTAACATTCTTAGTGAGATATTTAAATGCTATTCAAATTTAGCATATGAACTTCTTATTTTACCTTATGGTGAAAGTGGGGTTGCTGATATATTAGTTCGTACTGAACGATTAATGTTTAAGCAATTTGAATATGAAGAAGCTGCTGTCTTATCAGGCAAACAACTCTGCTTTTCGGAGTATTTTAAAGTAAATAATAATGCCTTTATTATTATTTAAATTAATATAATTGTTATTTTTTATAATTTTATATCATTACAGTCACTGGTGATTATGATGAAATGGCTTAATAGTAGTTTAAGTAGTTGGCATTTTGATGCTAGTTGGTTTGTTGATTACTGTTATGGGAGTGATGTAGCAAATTCGTTAATTAAACGTGAACCTATGCCAGAAGAATTTATTAATCAAGTACATAAAAAAGTTGAAACTTTAGACAAAAATTATAAAAAAGACTCAAAAAATGCCTTTTTAAACAATTCCATTTTCACTAAAGAACATGATGAGCAACTTCTTCTATGGTTAAATAGGTAATATTGAAGTTTACTATGCATAATACAGCTATATTAAAACTATATATTAATAATACAGTTTCAATTAAAATTAATTATTAGTAAACCTGTTGATTGGAACATGACATGGGGTGGAAATGGTCATGTAGTTTATGTTTGGGGTCACAACCATAGAGGTCAGTTAGCATGTATTGATTCCAGTCAAGTAAAAAAACCCTTAAATTGTGATGCTCTGTCTGTTTTGAAGCCTATTCAAGTTATTGGTGGAGAGCAAACAATGTTTGCTGTAACTCCATATGGGAAAGTTTATGCTTCTGGTAAATTTAAATAAAAATAATAGAATTTGTATTTATTTTTAATCAATGAAATTTTGTAAAATCTATATAAAAAAAAAAGGCTACACAGAAAATGGACGTCTTGGTATAGGGCCGTATAACCCTAAGAATCCTTATGTTGTAACTCCTCAACTAGTACAAGGACTTAACAATATCATAAAAGTAATATTTATATATTGTTATTTGACCTTTTATATTTTATCAATTATTTATTTTTTTTTTTTTAAGGTTGCTGTAAATTCAGGAGGACGACATTGTTTAGCATTATCTTCAAATGGAGAAGTATTTGCTTGGGGTGATGGAGATGATGGTAAACTAGGATTAGGAAATAGAGTGTAAGTATAAAGAATTTTTTGTTTATTATTAATGTATGCTTAATAATGATTAAAATGTTCAACTTCTAGTTCTTATGTTAAACCTCAATTAGTACAAGCTTTAAATGATAAATATATTATTGATATTGCTTGTGGAGGTTTTCACTCAGCTGCTATATCTCAATTAGGCCATTTATATACATGGGGAAAAGGTCGTTATGGTCGTTTGGGTCATGGTGACTATGAAGATTACTTGTATCCGACATTGGTTAGTTGTGTATTAAATTAATGTCATAAATAAGTAGTTAAATTAAATACAATTTATTTTAAAATAATTTTATGTAGGTGCAAAGCTTAATAAACTACCATGTATTAAAAGTAGCATGTGGTAGTGGTGATGCTCAAACTTTGTGCATTACATCTGATGATAATGTTTGGTCATGGGGTGATGGGGACTATGGTAAATTAGGACATAATATATCAGAATCATGCAAAGTAAATTTTAAGTTTAGATACATTTTAATAGTTAGTTAATTTTTTTATTTATTTACTAGTTACCATGTAAAATTGAATCACTTTCTGGGAAAGGAATTATTCAAATAGATTGTGGCTCTCAATTTTCTGTTGCTTTATCATCTAATGGTACATTATACACATGGTAAAAAAATTGAACTATCTACTCTATTTGTATAATATTTAGTATTATATAATATACTATTGAAATTATAGGGGAAAAGGAGATTACTTTAGACTTGGTCATGGTTCTAATGATCATATACGAAAACCAAAACCTGTAAGCGGACTGCATGGAAAGAAAATTATACAATTTTCAACAGGTTTAAATAATTAATTTAATAATTTCTATGTATTATTGACTCTACTTTTACAAATTGATAGAAAATTATTATTAGGTTTAATTTAAAATATTTATTAATATGTTTCAGGGTCCCTCCATGTATTAGCACTAACTGATGATGGAGAAGTTTTTGCATGGGGTGATAATGATGAAGGTCAGTTAGGAGATGGTACAACACATCCAATTTCAAGACCTCGTCCAATTACTGCTCTTAAAGTAACTGAAAACTTTACTAAATTTTTATTTCTATTACTTTTGTACATTTTTATTTGTATTTTAAAGGGTAAACCAATACAACAAGTAAGTTGTGGCTCAGCACATTCATTTGCATGGGCTAATGAAGAAATTTGTCAAGTAGAAAAATCTACTCCAACCTTAGTGCCTTTAGAGTATGATTTATTACAAGAATTTGATATAATTGAGTTAAGAAATCGTTTGTTACTTTTACATCATTTTTCATTAATAATCAATCAAACAATGCTATTATTTTTGCCATTAAATGGTGAAATTAGTTTAGATACCATAAGACCATATATGATATATCCTGTTAAAGAAAGCATTTTTAAAAAAGTAAACTATTACTTCATATTAATTATCTATCAAAATTAAGTAAACAATATATCTAATTAGGTACTTCAATTGTCAATGGTGAGAGAACAGCGACATGGGCCTGTGTTTGAGTTAAACAGAATTCGAACCCGAAAAACTCGTAAATCTATAACAAATGATTACACTCACACGGTTTTTGGTCAAATGGTAAATAACATGGACTTTTTAGATGATGATTCATTGTTTTTGTATCATAGAGTTTGGAAAGTTCAGTTTGTTGGTAAGTATCAATTAGTAGTATTTATTTATACACACAGAAAATTATTTTGGATAACTTTTTAAATTAAGTAAACTAAAAAATATTTTATAGTAACTATTAAACTATTCAAACAATGAAAATATTCTATAATTATTCAATAGTTTTTAACATTAAATATTTTTGTAAAATATTCAATACTAAAAAGATACTATTCAGTTATATAAAAAAAATGTGTAAATGCCCATTACTAAAGTAATCCTTTTTATCATCAGGTGAGAGTGTTGATGACTACGGTGGAGGTTATAGTGAGAGTATTACTGAAATATGTGAAGAACTGCAGAGTGGATCCCTTCCAATACTAATTCAAACACCTAATGGTAGAGAAGATACTGGTACTAGTCGTGATTGTTTTATTATAAATCCATCTGCTACTTCTAAAATACACTTGAAAATGTTTGAATTCTTTGGTAAATTATTTATTTATATATTTTATTTATTTATTTAAATAAACCTTGGTTAAGGCTCAAGTATATGAATGTTAAATAATATTATCTATACATTACTTTATAAATTATTTTAAAGAATAAAAAAAAAAAAGAATAAAATGCATATATATGTAAATAACTAGTATTTTATTCATATCTAAGTTAAAATAATTTTCTTATGATATAGTACATTATTAGGATAGAAAAAATGAAAATTAATTACAGAGGTACATTTTATGGGAGGATTATAACCATATGACATTTTATATAAAGGAATGAAGAAATTCTGACAGGAATGTGAAATATATATAGGTACTTGGAGATTAATGAAACCTAAAGCTCAAAACAAGACATGTAACCATTTATTAAATGATACATAAAAGAAATATAAACTAATTTACATCTAGTTGCAAATGTTTTAAGTTAAGGCAAGAACACGTTTATGTAGTTGTGAGGACTTCTTTTATAGCGAATATAACAAACAAAATGCCTTCATATGCTTATAAAAGCTTCAAATAAATCAGTTTGTGATGGATTCCACACCAATGAACTATACTCTAAAATGTATACTGTGCTTAATAAAGCACAATATTTTTTTACACATAAGTATTTATATATAAATAAATTATAACTTGTCTTCAAATTATTTTGATACTACTAAAATGTTATATTTAATACTAATTGCTATAAAAAATTTTAATAGGTGTTTTAATTGGTATAGCAATTCGGACGGGTAGCCCATTAAGTATTAACTTAGCTGAACCTATGTGGAAGTTGTTATGTGGAATGAAACTTATGCCTACAGATCTCATTGAAATTGACAAAGATTATGTTCCTGGTAAAAAAATTCATCAAAAGAATCAAACAAATGATTAATTAAATAGCACAGAATAATTATAAAATATAAATTTTAGGATTATTATATGTTCGAGACTTAGAAGGAGAAGATGAGTTTACTAATCTTGATATTTCATTTTGCACTACATCCTCAACAGGCCAAACTGTTGTTCTTAGTTCAGAACATAAACTTGTTACCCATTACAATAAGCATGAATACATACAAGCTTGTTTAGATTTTAGGTAATTAAAATTAAATTTATATCATCACTAAACATTTTTTTATATGTAAAAATCAATTTTTTATAGATTACATGAATTTGATTTACAAATAAAAGCTGTACGAAATGGCATGGCTAGAGTAATACCAGTTCCTTTGTTATCACTTTTTACAAATACTGAATTAGAGTCTATGGTATGTGGATCACCGGAAATTCCTATTAATATGTTACTCAGTATTGTTTCTTACAAGGGTAATAAATTTTATAATATATGAATGTTTTTATAATGTATAAAAATTTTAACACAAAAATAATTAATTATTACAGGTATTGAGCCAAATGATAAACTAGTACAATGGTTTTGGGAAATTTTAACTGAATTTTCTACACATGAACGTTCTTTATTTTTAAGATTTGTTTGGGGTCGTACTAGATTACCAAGAACTATAGAAGATTTTCGAGGAAGAGATTTTGTATTGCATGTTAGTATAAATAATACACATATTTTTTAGTTTTTAATTTAATATCTTTTTCATTTTAAGGTTATTGACCGATATTCACCTCCTGATCACTTTTTACCAGAAAGTTACACATGCTTTTTTCTTCTTAAAATACCACGATATAGTAATAAAGTATGTATATTTATTTTTGAAAAAAAAAACTATTTTATTGCAATTACAATTTATTTTAATGATTTTATCCGGTCCTTCTGCTATTTAAACAGTCATTGGAGAAAACCAAATTTTAAAATAAGGATTCTTATGTTATATGAAATATTAAAATAAGGAATAAATTATAATTTCAGTATTGAGCAAAAACTAACTTAGTAAAAATGAGTTTTCCAATGTTTCTTTGAATCAATTTTTTAAAAACTTTGACTTGGACAATTGATTGACTCGAGCACAAATTTTGTATAGTTGTCACATATTAAACTTTAATTTTAGTGAATCAGATATAACATTTGCTGTATTTATTTTAAAATATTGAGAAAATACAGGCAAAATTTAATTGTTGATTTTTTAGTAAATATTTTCTTTACTTGTAAGAGGACAGTAAAATATTTGTATAAATATATATTGATTTTAAATTATATTCTATGTATTACAGGATATAATGAATGAAAAACTTAAATATGCAATTCATTTTTGCAAATCAATAGATACTGATGATTATGCTAGAATAGCGTTACCTCGAAGTATAGATGGATCATCTATTGATACTGAAAGTTTAGTCAGTGATGACGATTAAAAGACTTGAAAGATATAATTTTCTTTTTAATTAACCTATTATTATTTTAATTTATATGATAATGTTTATCTCTTTTTGTTAACATCTAACTATTTAGCTATTAATGTTTTTTTTATTTTTATTTAATAATGACCTTATAATTCATTTTTTTAGGTAATTTTTCAATAACTATCTTGATAAAAATTTGTGTATTAATAAGAAAAAATATAAGAACGATGTAATAGAAAATATGAATGAAATTAATTAAAATGTTCAAAAAGACATTTGTTGTAACTAAAAACTTTTTTTAGTGAAATTTAGTGTATTATATTCATACTACAATATAAAATAATTGCCTTGAAGATAAATTATTATTTTGATTGGAAGGATTAAAAAAAATATTAACATGCAATGTCCCCATGAGTTACAGTTACTCTATACTGTAAATATAACCATTAATTTAAAAATTATATTCTGTTGTCTATATAATTTATATATAGGTGTTCAGTAAGTAAGGAAACGAGTATTTATTGTTCTCATTGTTTGCAAAAAGTGACCTGTTTCCTTAATTACTAAACACTGTATATTTACTTCTTTAGTTATGCATTTTTAGTTTTAAAATTTATATTATAAACAGTAAAAGAGTAAACACCAGACCTGAATTTTTTGCTCTTAACAATATTTTTTTAACTACCTCTTTGTAAACAGTCTTTTAATATTATCTATTCGAATTTTCTTAAAATAATAATTATATTAAGAACATTTTTTTTGGTATTATTTAATTTTATATATTTTTTTATTTATTATCAAGTATTTATTTAAATTATCCCTTATATCATATATATATATATATAAATCATATAAGGGTATCAACTTTACTTGATTAGATGACAACATACATATTTAACTAACTTATAAAATAAAAATTATCCAATTAAAAAAATTTCTGGTTGATAACAACTTTCGATCCATTCTTTCAGAATTTATAGCAGTGTAGAGTGATGGTAAGATGTGGGTTATGTTATTTTGTTACGCATTACTCCGCCGTGCTTTTCCTCTACTCTATATTTAAAAATGTTAATAACTTCCGAAGTACTATTTCAAAAGTTGTTATCTGCCAATATGTTGCTATTTACAAAAATGTAGTTAACATCCTTATAAGAATTAGAGAAGAATTCAAACAGTAATTAATAATTTATAAATCAAATAATATATGACACTAAAAATACCAAAAAAAATTTTCTCAATATAATTATTATTTTAAAAGAAATAAGTCGCTAATATTAAAAGATTCGCTCTGTGTAATAATAATAAAAAATCAACATAAATTGATTTCTTTTTTATAAATTAATATAGTTTTCGTAATACTTTATTTACTTTGAGGGACCAAAACTTCTTAGATAATTGATATTAAACTCCCAACGATTTAGTATTTATATTAAGCACTTCGTCACTCAGTAATTATTATTTACAATCAAATTTCTTTTTATTTTGTTTTATAAGTTTTAGAAGGACACTTTTATTTTAGTATAAAAACTATTGTAATTCTCTTGAGAGTTAAGAAGAAGTAGAAAACCTACTCAGTCTCTCTCTTGATGCTACACACCATTAATTCCCGAAGTAGTCGATTGTAAGAGAAATGGTAACGGTGCGTGCGTATATATGTTTTATGTATTGTCCGAGTTCCCTTAGTTTTCTCGATTTGAAAGAGAAAGGAACAATTCCGATATGTGTGGGTGAAAAAAAGCTTACTAAATCCAATCAATTCTCAAGCGGCACAACGCCCTGCTTCTCTGTTTTAGATAAGTTGCTCGTGTTTCTTCACCCTTAAAAATCAATTTCCTTAAAAACTACTAATATTTTACCTTTAACCAGTCAAAATAAAAATTCTTATAATTGTATTACAGTTGTTGAAAAATGATAACAATTTTTTTTATGACATAAAATTTGCATTCAAAACACAACATATAAAAAGTTAATAAAATAAAAATGATCACAATATTAATATTTGATAACAACCTATTCTTCTTTTAGCTTCGATAAAAAGCTAGAAGGTATTAGTTTTACTATGTGTTCATTTGTATTTTTTGTATTCATCACCTACTATTTCTTAGCTCCCATCGGACCAATTTTTATCAACGATACGTCAAAAGATCACAAATTGTATCTAGTTTATAGCATTACTCTTAAAAATTGAAAAATTTCCTTCGTTCCCGTTAATAAAGAAAAATTCCTAAATAGTAGTTCAACTTTTTTTACTTAAAACTATAATAAATATTTAAAAAATTAATTAATCAAAATCATTTTTTTTATAAGTACTTAAAATGATTTTCTTTGACTACGTATAAAGGAAATAGGAGTTCATATTGCTTTTAGAAAATTCAATAATTTCTTCTAAAAATTAAACACTATCTACAAATTTGCATCAAAGCGTTTTTTATGATAGTAATTTTAATCGCTGTCAAATATCATCTATACTTGTCCGATCTGTGCAGCGACCTCACTGTACTGGGTAATTTTTTCTATTCTAGTTTGATTGAATATAAAACTTCGACTTATAAAGATATAGTGAATTTTTGTTGTAAAATTGACTATCTTTAAACAATTTTTGTATGTTTAGTTTAATTGTGTTGACTATCAAATTTTACCTTAAAACAGTTTATACTATGTAGGCAATATTGTCTTCAATTTTATTTAAGCTGTACACTTTATTTTCTTGATAAATATTATGAGCACGTGTAACTTATCACGTCATTCGTGGAATACCATAGAGATGGTTACTCATTTTTTAAAACTAATTTAACTTCAAATAGTTAGAAAAAAGTCATTAATTTTCCCAGCTTTGCTTATATTTTTACTTTATAATTTCTTTGTATAAATGACAGTACTAAATGATTTAATATTAAATCCATACTAAATTTTATTCCAATAATTTATTCATGTATTTATTATTCATTAATTCATTTCTTCTTAAAATTAAAGACTATTTGCAGATTTTCATTGATTTATTTTCATGACAAAGTTTTTAATAATTGTCAGATATTATCTATACTTGTCCCCACTATACTACTGAATTAATTATATTAAGTTCTAGTATTCATTAAATAAGTCATTATTTTAATATAGTGTTAAATAAAATAAATTAAAAATTACGATAGAAAAGTTCTGAGTTTGCAACAAAACTAAATTGGACAATGTTGTTATGAGTGTTTCAATTTTACTTCCTATGATGTCTATACATAGAGCGCAATTTAATCGTTATATTTCTACCGTCAAGACATAATAACTTGTATAATATATCACCTAAAGATTTTTGTAATCTCTCCATAAATCTGCCATTGAGAACGTAAAAAGAACGGGAATAATATATGATGCTCAAATAATTTTTTCTGTAGTTATTTTTGTGATAATAGGATTTTTCCTTTGTTTTATACGTTATTTACAAACAAAGTTATTTATTGGTTGTTTTTATTTGTGTAAAAAGAATTCTGTTTAGAGATTTAAAGCCGACACAACTATATTTAAACTGTCTACGAAATATCAGGAGCCTATCAAAGGGTCTAAGGATATACCCCCATTGAATAGCTCTATTAAAAAATGTCATAATTTTCGATTGAAAAATGGATTTTACTACCTCTTTAGTTTATTTATTCTCGACATTTGCATGATAACATTAAATTAATAAACATAATTAATAAATCAACGATAATTGTTTTAATAACCCATAAGTTATATAGCATTTTTGCTTCAGTTAAGGACAACCTAAAATAACGTTACAAGCTCGCTCATATTAAACACTATAGGTATAGCTTCTGTGTAATGTATACATTACACACTATGTAAAAGGTTAATGTTAGGGTCTCTCTTTTAATAGGGTAGCCTATATTTAAGTTTTCCTGCGTCTTTCCTATTTTTTTTAATTTTATTTTAGTGTACTCCCTTCGGGTCTCCCGTCGACTACATTAAATCAACGTGTGCCGCATGTGCATTTTGTCAAATGTGTGCGTGAGCTCATCACAGAGGTACCTATATTAGAGTCCTCCTCCAGTACTCCGCGCATAGCATACGTACACAGATTTTTAACATTTTGACATGTCCGGTAGTTAAGGGCCAAAGGGTCTGACAGGAAGTGCGAAAAGGTCTCTGGAGGGGTCGTTGGGACATCCTCGTGAACAGACGTCGTTAGAGAGACTAGCAAGACAAGATTTTTTGAGTGGAAATAGAAACAAATGATTATTAATAATTTGCAGAAAAATAACCACGTGAAGAGATTTTGACTCGTTAGTAAACATGCAGAACTTCAGTTAAATGAATGAAAAAATATATGGTCAGTTATTTTGTGGTGCATTATGGGAGACAGAATTATTACCACAAAAAGGCCATTAATATTTCTCATTAAAAAAATAATAGCATGTATGACTAAAAAAATAAAGTGCAATCATTCTATCGGTAAGCAAGACTGTGAAGAGAACTGGTACTACCTCTCCTAAACTTTTGAATTTGAAGTTTCATATTGGGAGAATAATTATTATAAAAGTGTAACATGATATCAAAGTTTATTTCACATAATTCTTCGCTAATTTGTTTCTGCCTGCTGAATAATAGGTAGAGACAAACTAGCAAAATCGCAACCAAACCCCAATACGTTGCTAATAACAGAACATTTATTAATGGAATCATTATAATATATTATACTACGTAAATATCAATGAGTATCGATAAGATTTTATAAACAGTTTCAGTGTTACTTTGTTAAAAATTGTATTTTATTTCTAAGCAAATTAGAAAAGAATGAAATAGAAATAACCATTTTATATTTATTCAAGTGTGATCGGTAGCAGTCAATCGAATTCTTAAACCTTAATCTTTTGGTTGAGCATTGGCTATGGAATATTGTGTTCTTTTTGAAAATGAAGGTTTCTTGTACTTATACATATATATTATAATCCAACCCGTTTGTTGAGCGTGCGAAATTCGACAGACACAGAGAAAAGGTAAAAAAAGATTAAAAATCGCGAACCATTAATATGTATAAAGGAATGTATATGAATAGTTTATTCGTTTTACATTAAAACATTTTTCAAACACCATGACGGTAGTAAGGAAGAATTTTCGTGGGTGTATTAAGTACTCCTCATTTCAGAAAGATGCGTGAAATGCGCTTTTTCTATTTTTAATATAAAAATGTCGAAACGAAAGGGGTGGGATACTACAGCGAAGGGGTCCAAAGGCAGTGGATTGACAGTCCGTGCGCGTCTCCTAGCA